TAAACCTTATCAGGTTTCATCAAGGCCCTTAGGGTGGGCATCGGATTTAATTTCGAATGATTTATTTTCATCACCCTGAATGCCGTTGGACGATCGCTCATTTGCACGATGTAAAAATATTTATGTAATGATGTTTGTGTAACACTAAGTTTTATATCATCGCCAATGTCACTCATGATTCATTGAAGTGTACATACCTAAGTTGCCAGTAGGTAGGTAAGTACTAATTTTTGTGACAATAGTCAGCAGAGACAAATTACTTTATTGACCTAGCGAGTCGGGTAGGTATTAGAATATTTCACGAGGCTGTTGTACTTAAAACAAGTTAACTCGTAAACAGTTGTGTGTGCCACAACATTTTGCTTGTGACTACCTTCGTTACAGTATAATAATTGATGGATTTAAATCACATCAAATACGAATTTTGTAAATTGTACTATGAAGGTAGGCGAAGGACTTTCGGCCCCAAGCAAAGAGCTTAAGAGTGCGGCACATTATCCAAAATTAATTCCAACCATGTTTATGTACTTCTGTGTGACCCTAAGGTCACAGTGATAATTGGAAAAATCAGAGTTAAATTACTTTCTTGGACTGAAGGTTTTGATTTATTCCCTTTAACTCCTCGTAAAAGTCGTTCATATTCATACGACAATTTTTATTGAACCACAGAGGTGCACAAAAGGTCGAATTAACAATATGACATGGTGTCATATGACATTAATAATAAATTATATTTATTTACTTAAATTAAGTAGACAAGACGTAGTCATTGACACTATAATAGGGCACACGGAAAGTTCAGTTAAGAGACTGAAGACTTGTGTGACTTTTGGTATGCAATCTTTTCTCCAACGAATGTAATGGCTTGTATAAATGAGAAAATAACAAATTGTAGTATGTAAACCTACGCGGTTTAATATATATTTAGTAAGTACGGTTTACTAAAGTCACTGTTTTCGTTGTACAGTGAAATTCAATTGCGAAATGCGTTACCATGCAGCGTGCCCAATTTGTTTTAAGCTCAGATAAGCTTTATACTTTTGGTTATTGTGGATCATAAGTATTTGGTATTGGGTGCCATGAGCGCCTCAAGTTGGCGGTTAAAATGCTCTTTGCCTCACGCAAATCATGAATTGTAGTGTTATAACATGAGAAGAGCCAATGCTTTAGGATTTGTAACGTTACGTGACTTGATCTGTATGTTTTTGGTAACCGAGACTCGGTTAGGCCATTTTGTATTTATGGAGTTCACCTTTTACTGTTACTAGTTTGTAAGACTGTTATTATTTTGTTTATTTATTTTATATAGGTAAGGACCGACTTCATTGTGTTTATTATCCAGACTTGTGTGCTTTTATTACAATAGGGGCATGGGTTATATCTGACCCCGAAGCAAGGATGGGTCCTGAGTTACCCCAGAATGAAGTCGTCCAATAGGTAAGGGCGCGAATGTCGCGACTCTTTCTGTGCGAATCAATTGCCGTCAGAACATTTGCATGAGTCTGTCGGTGTACTATAGGTATGTATAGGCAGACAAATACTTATTTTAGTATTCAGTACTTTGTGGTACCCGCCAAGCGTCTATGAATGTATACCTTATTTAAAAGACTATCAGGTCAATAGTTGTAACTTTACTATGCAGAGGCTGCATAAAGGCTTAAGTTTATTTAATTTCTCCAGGCGTTAACTGTTCGGTACCAAAAATTCAGGGCGCATAGCTGCGGCCCCGATTAATTAACATCCTTCAAGATTCTGAAGGTTTAGGGCGATGCCCTTGTATCATCTCGGCAGTAATGAAATAAGCCAAACTGACACGAATCGAGTAATTTTTGCGTAATCTCATGATCTCTGTCTCCACCTTTTACCCATGGCAGGTCTTAAATAGCTTACTTTTGTCATGAAATAAAGCATTTTAATTAGGGTTCCATAACCCTTGAAAATTATGAGGATTTGGGGCGATGCCCTTATGTCCTCCCGGCAACATCACTTTAATTTTGCCGTGCAAAATAGAATTTCAGAACCTTTTATAGTTATGCGGATTTAGGGCGAAGCCCACATGTCTACTCGGTAACTTTACTTATTTTCGTTTGCCGTGGAATAAGGCGTTTGGGTTCTATAACTCTTCAAAATTATGAGGATTTAGGACGATGCCCTCATGTCTTTAAACCGCAAATACAAACGAGCGAGGTTGCTTGGCTCGAAATGTAATGATTTGAGTCCGATTCTCCTTGGGTAATCTCCTATCCCAGAGGGATGAGGGATAACATGAGAGTTTAGAGCGATGCCCTAAGATCTCTCGACGTAAATAAAAATGAGCGAGGTTGCTCGGCTCGAAATGTAGTGATTTGAGTCCGGTTCTCTTTGGGTAATCTCCTATCCCAGTGGGATGAGGGATAACATGAGCGATTAGAGCGATGCCCCAAGACCTCTCGACGTAAATAAAAATGAGCGAGGTTGCTCGGCTCGAAATGTAATGATTTGAGTCCGGTTCTCTTTGGGTAATCTCCTATCCCAGTGGGATGAGGGATAACATGAGGGTTTAGAGCGATGCCCTAAAACCTCTCGACGTAAATAAAAATGAGCGAGGTTGCTCGGCTCGAAATGTAATGATTTGAGTCCGGTTCTCTTTGGGTAATCTCCTATCCCAGTGGGATGAGGGATAACATGAGAGTTTAGAGCGATGCCCTAAAACCTCTCGACGTAAATAAAAATGAGCGAGGTTGCTCGGCTCGAAATGTAATGATTTGAGTCCGGTTCTCTTTGGGTAATCTCCTATCCCAGTGGGATGAGGGATAACATGAGAGTTTAGAGCGATGCCCTAAAACCTCTCGACGTAAATAAAAATGAGCGAGGTTGCTCGGCTCGAAATGTAATGATTTGAGTCCGATTCTCTTTGGGTAATCTCCTATCCCAGTGGGATGAGGGATAACATGAGGGTTTAGAGCGATGCCCTAAAACCTCTCGACGTAAATAAAAATGAGCGAGGTTGCTCGGCTCGAAATGTAATGATTTGAGTCCGATTCTCTTTGGGTAATCTCCTATCCCAGTGGGATGAGGGATAACATGAGGGTTTAGAGCGATGCCCTAAAACCTCTCGACGTAAATAAAAATGAGCGAGGTTGCTCGGCTCGAAATGTAATGATTTGAGTCCGATTCTCTTTGGGTAATCTCCTATCCCAGTGGGATGAGGGATAACAAGAGGGTTTGGACCAATGCCTTACTAAGACCTCTCGACGTAAATAAAAATGAGCGGCGTTGCCTGGCTCAATATGAGACTCCTTGAGTGTTTGAGTTTTCTCCTATCCCGGTGGGATGAGGGAGAAAAGGTTCTGGCTCCTGGTTTTTCCCTGTTTGCTCCAAGAGAACTTACCCTCGCTACAGGATTATGCTGCTGCGTTTTGGTTACACTGCCATCTAGCTTGCCGAGTAGCCAGTTTGAGTTTTCCACTGTAGGTATTTAGCATAAGGCGAAATCTCAGATCGATCTGCGGAGCAGAGTTGCGATCGTATTGCTGCCGAAAAATTTTCCAGACGCCGCTAGCATCAAATAAACTGCGTATCAGGCTGAATAGACGATGTTCATCCTTCACCGTTTATTACACAGACTCACTGTTTATCTACACAGTAACAGCATAGCGTTTTCCTGAAATCATAGTTTAAGAAAACCACAAAGGTATTATTATACCTACGTACCGTATCCTAATAGGACAAACTGCACACTTCACTCTTGGGTTATAAGCCATGCGTTAGACTTCCATAATGGCGGTAGAATAGGTACGTCGGTACGCTACCCTACCTAGTGGAAGTTTTCATACTTTCCCCGGATGCATATTGATAAAGGTAGTTTACCGTTTATTTATTTTGTTGATTTATAAATCAACACAATCCGTCCGATGGAATTCGTATGTCTGAAATGGTATTGGTAAGTTGGTACTTACAGCTTATTGTAGCAAGCAATCACATCTTGCGACTATCACATTACACCACACCATCCTTTGATTTGACCTCTACGCCAACTCTTGCTCCTCTTCTGCACGTGGACATAATATTTCCTCTTTCCTTTTGAAAATAAAGACATCTAACGGAAAACCCTTAGGAACAAACACAGCTAAAAAGGAGTGTTATACCGTTAGGAATGAACATTGCTAAAAAGGAATATTAGTTTTAAAACACATCTAACGAAAACCGTTAGGCACAAACATTGCTAAAAAGGAATGTTAGTTTTAAAACACATCTAACGGAACACGCCGTCAGGTACGAACATTGCTAAGAAGAAAAGTTAGCTTAAAAACATATCTAACGAAAAACCGTTAGAAACAAACATTGCTAAAAAGTAATGTTACTTTTAAAACACGTCTAACGGAATACCGTTAGGTACAAGTATTACTAGAGAAGAAAGATAATTATTTAAAATTACACTGAGTTAGATTGAATGCAATCTACCCCCGAACGGTAACACCGTTGTAAAAATAAATTACACTGCGAAATAAGTAATCACAGTAATTTTTATAAGTTTTCAGCCAGTACATAATAATTTAGAAGTACTTACATTATGATGGTAATATTTTACCTGAATCACGTCACGACTAGTACCTGTGAGATGGGTCGCGAACTAGCGGAGCTAATTCTACGACCGTCTCGAACGGGAACTAAAACACCAATGGCGAGAATATCGAAACCTAGTTTCGAGCTACCGTTGGTGGCGCTAGTGTCGTTAATTGAGGCGTGCTTAGGCGGTGGGGGACCGGAGCGGAAGTCACGTGGGCAGATTATACGTCAAAACTAGTACTCAAACAGGAAAAGACAGACACTACTCTCATTATAAAGGCTTCGAATAACGGTACAGTACTGTTTAATAGCGACGTTTTACCTGAAAATAAAACGTTTATTAAACATACTTACCTTATTCGAAGCCTACTTTCATTATAAAGGCTTCGAATAACGGTACAGTACTGTTTAATAAAAAATTTGTAAAAAAAAATTTAGTTTTTGAATGACCTTCAAGATTGTCATTGTCAAAAAATAAATTCATGTTTGCGGCAAAAAAAATTGTCACAAAACTTTTAACTCCCACACACAGTGCAAGTGCAAAGTTGCTGCTAAATAAAGAATTCTATTGGCAACGAACGTAAGTTTCCAAAACTTATTTTACATTACAAGTTTTGCCGAAAACTGTGGTCCCGGTCTTTGTGAGGTTAGTTACATACATACATTTTATGCATATTAATTACTCATTTCAAAGTATTTTCCAGAAGCGAATGGCTATAATCTTGAGTAAATAGTCACATTATCCAGAAATAAATAGGTTTAAACTCAAAAACTTCAAGTACTTATCATATTTTTTTTAGTTAATAAAAATATAATTTTTAGTTCTTAGTTAAATTGTAGCTTTTTTCTTGTTGGTTCTATCATTAAAATATCTCTCGTAGAGTTATAATCATGATTGAAAATATTTCCCAATGCCCCTTAAACAGATTGCAATAAAATGTTACGAAAACCTGGTATTGAAGTATGTTGTATTTCAAAATAATTTAATGTTTTCTACATTTAACAATTCTCTAAAGTGAGTATTGCAGAGATCAGAGAGATTTGAGGTCAGATCATAGTGTCAAAGATTGAAAAGGCAAGATGATAAACTCAAATTATTGAATAACAGTTATCAGTTGTTGCACCTCAACTTATGTATCTTCTTTTTATTAAAATGCATTGCTAAAATGTATTTATAACTTCCAAACTACTGCACAAAATTGAGTAGATAATTGTTTTTTCTGTTTGGTATTGTTAAGTAAATTAAGTAAGTAATTTTTAATACTAAAAAAAATAACAGTACAAAAATAATGTGAAAATCAATAAGAGAGGACTATGTTCAACAGTGGACATCCTGTGGCTGAAATGATGATGAACTGTGATTGATTGTTAAGCAGAATAGTAGCACTTTACCTAAATTTAACACCTAAACCATTGCATCTATTCTTTGCAAATAAATACTTTGACTTTGATATAAAAGAAAGACTTTCTATTGTGTGTGTCTGAAAAGCTTTTTTTTTACTACTAAAGGCAATATTATTATTTCCAGGCTATCAACCACAGCAGCAAACATGGTGAAGACAGCGCTAGTGATCCTGGCCCAAGGTGCGGAAGAGATGGAGACCGTCATCACTGTCGATATGCTGAGACGGGGCGGTGTAAGTTTTACGCAATAATCATCATCATTTTTAAATAAACACCTGAAAAATTTAAATGCCTAAGGAAAGAATTGAACCCACGACCGTTTGTACCGGGCGACTACTCATCCAACTGAGCTATTAGACACTGGATGAACCCGTCGAAATTTACAAGTGTAATACACTGTTACGGCCGCATTTTATTTCATCAATGTTGGGTATTTTAAACATCCAACTATGATTTTTTCAAGCCATTTCTACAATTTAGTTTGACTTATTATGGCTAAGAAATAATAATAACTGTCATCATCATTTCAGCCACAGGACGTCCACTGCTGAACATTGGCCTCCCCCAATGATTTCGACATATGATTTCAAGTGTCATATTAGCAGATGATTCAGAATCTACTTCTATCTTATCTTAGTATGATAAGATAACTTCTAAGTGGTTCTACTGCCACTTGGTGGACTGACGATGAACCAGGCGTTGTGGAAATCCTTGGGTAAGGTCGTTGTCCAGCAATGGTGGCAATTTGGCTGAAATGTAGATGACTTCTAAATATTTCAACAAATATAATATTCTAAATAACTTAACAATGATTCATTCTAATCTACTATGTTATCATATTTCTAATATGTTATGATTATTTCGAAGTATTTCATCATGTTCACTTCTCAGTAATAGTTCTCAGCTACATTCTCATCATGACGATGCATATTTTATAACTATATCATCATCATGATGGACATTTTTTATCCAAATCATCATGATCACGCACTATTTATAACCATAATATCATGGTTTTTGGGACAAACGTTTTTGGATAGGTATCCCACTAGGTGAATCTATGATCTGGTGAAGCAGCGTATGACTGGTCATTGTAGAGATTCTTGGAGGCCTTTGTCCAGCAGTGGACGTCATTTAGCTGAAATGATGTTAATGAGAATAGAAAATCCCCTACTCTTCCCATGAATGTAGTAAGAGGCTGATAAGGGACAAATATGCGAACATCAGGCCTCCCCAACCCGTCTGGCCAGCATGGGGAGTGTAGGCCAAGTCTTCCATTTGCCTCCGTTTTCGTTGCGGGTCCAATGACAGTTTAACTTTCCCCGGGACAAACTTGACCTTCACTGGTTGGGTTATTGGCGGTCAAGCTGTAGATCCTGGCTACACAGGAGTTGCAGCGTTGGGAACAAGAGGTGGGATAAGTCCCGTGTGTGACTTTTTGACTGTCCCCACAGGTGGATGTGACCATGGCAGGACTGGACAGTGACGCGCCGGTGCTGTGTTCGCGTAACGTGACACTCGTCCCAAACAAGTCTTTGGCTGATGCTTTGGCCGAGAAGCCTCAGTACGATGCAGTAAGTAACTAACTTAAACGTTCAAATTCTAGTTTTTATTGCAAACTATGTGGCTATTGTAATGGTTTATACTTAGGCTGAGTTACACCATAACTTTAACCGAAACTATAACGATAAGCGGGTTTTTTGGTATGGAGTTTAACAGACTTTTGACGTTTGTTAAAGTAAGATGGTGCAACCCAGCCTAAAACAAATGATACTTGCTTAAGTGAAGCAGAAACGCTATGCAACGTCGAACGCACAGCATTGAATAGAGCTCTGTGATAGCTGACCACATGAAGGTATCTTGAAATTAACATCAAATCCGTCTGTGACTGTAGTCCATTGAAGCTGTAAAAAAATAAACTTGAAGCTCCAAAAGATAAAGCCATTTGGTTTACAATTTCCAAGGCAGGCAGCTTCTCTTCCCTGCTTTCCCTTCCCTCAGTTAACTTATGAATAAATGTGTTTTTATTATTTTCTTCCAGGTGATTCTCCCTGGAGGTTTGGAGGGCTCAGACCGCCTCAGCAAGTCGTCTGTAGTAGGAACACTGCTGAAGGAACACGAGAAAGCTGGCAAGATCGTCGCTGCTATCTGTGCTGGTAAGATCTTTGCGTATACAGGGTGTCCCAGAATGGGTGAATCAAACTGATAGGGGAGGTATCTATCCTTAAAAAATATGAAAAAAAATTATGAGTTCGGATTTTTTTTTAAATAATGTGCTCTAAACTCGAAATCTAGTCATTATTTATAAAAGTTTGTTTACAGATAGATAAACGAAGCGATCATGTACAATTAATATTAGTAAGAAAAAAGTACAAATAAACTCCAAACGCAGCAAATATATCCAGATACTTAGGCAAAACTGATTTATTTTTACTTTAAAAAAAATGTACCCTTATGCGCTTTATTTTTTTTTTCTTCATATTTTTTAGGGATAGTACGGTCGACAGCACGTCAACGTAAACACTGCGGTATCTTACGTAGTTGCGATAGGGGCGAGTTTGCAACGAAAATGTATAGCTTGATGTGCTGTCGACTGTACCTACATTAGTAGAGCTACCTTCCCTATCAGTTTGATTCACCCATTCTGGGACACCCTGTATAAGGAGTTTACGTTAGGTGGCTCGCAGAATCGCTAAAATCAAGTGCCAGTGGGCGGGGCACATAACTCGTAGAGCTGATGGCCGCTGGGGCGGTAAAGTTCTCGAGTGGCGACCACGAGCCGGAAGACGTAGTGTGGGCAGGCCTCCCACTAGGTGGACCGACGATCTGGTGAAGGTCGTGGGAGGGGCCGGTCGTTGTGGAATTCCTTGGGGGAGGCATTTGTCCAGCAGTGGATGTCATTCGGCTGAAACGATACGTTAGGTGTGCTCGCTAGCGACTGCGTCAAAATATTTATGAAGATTAGTTCTTAAAAGTAGCCGCTAGGGGCGCTGTGCAATCTGTCACACATTTAATGTCATTTTTTACGCAGTCGCTAGTGGCACACCTAATGTAAACTCATGGTAAGCATACTTAATTGTGCTTGTTATCATCATCATTTCAGCCACAGGATGTCCACTGCTGAACATAGGCCTCCTCCAATGACTTCCACAACGCCCGGTTGGTAGCGGCCTGCATCCAGCGCCTTCCTGCTACCTTTATCAGGTCGTCAGTCCACCTTGTGGGTGGACGTCCCACGCTGCGTTTTCCGGTACGTGGCCTCCACTCCAGAAAGTTGGCTAGTTATGTATATGGCTTATTATGTACCAATAAGGTCTGTTTTCATTCGACAAAGCATGTAACGTCATACGTCTCCGTCAAAAACAAGATGGTGGTTAGTCAAGATGGCGGCTGTTGAAGGAGAAACTAATTAAAGTGTATTTCTGCTTGATAGTGTCCACAGGCATAGCGCGCAGCAAGCGTAATGACGTCATCATACACCTCCACCAAAAACAAGATGCTGACTATATTACTGGCCTTTAAACAGCTAAAAACCTTATTAGGTATCAACAAGGTGTATTTTCTCTCGGCAAAGTGACGGCATTTGACATCATTGATCATAATAATTATGAGCCTCGACCAAAAGCAAGATGGTGGTTGTTCAAAACAGTTGCCTTATTACACAAATGACACTGTATTTCCGACTTTATTACGTAGTATTAAGGTTTATCGCGCGGTAAGCGCGTGACGTCATACCCATCCACTAAGAACAAGATATTGTCTAACTTACTTGCATTTAAAGATAGCTGCTGTTGTAATAGCAACCTTATTCCGTACCATTAAGGCATATATTCCTTCAACAGCGCCCACAGCGTTTGTCGCGCACGGCAAGCGCGTGACGTCATACCCAACTACTAAAGTCCGGTCGCCGAGAAGATAGAATTTCGTACAACGACCGCAAGCTACCCATCCTTATCGCTCGCGCGTAATTATATTGCTGTCGCGACTGCGACGGACGGCCGCAGTGAGTGCGAGCGCGACAGCAACATAATTATGCGCGAGCAATAAGTATAAGTAGTTCGGGGTCATTATACGAAATTCTATCTGCTCGGCGACCGGACTTTAAGAATAAGACCGTCTAACTTACTTGCGTTTAAAGACAGCTGCTGTTGTAATAGCGACCTTATTCCATACAATTAAGGCGTATATTCCTTCAACAGCGCCCACAGCGTTCGTCGCGCACGGCATAGCGCGCGGCAAGCGCGTGACGTCATACCCATCTACTAAGAACAAAATGCCGGCGGCTGACTACACGTACGTGGAAGGAGAAAGAGTGGTGGTTGATGGGAACATCGTCACCAGCAGGGTAAGTCCATTAGAATAGGCTAATTATAAAAAAAAAACTTTTAATCCGTCAATTATATTATCAATCAATCAAACAAGTAATTAAGAAGTTATGGTGCGTTGAAGTTCCGTGTGACGTCACAAAGTGTTGCACTTAACCACGCCTTGACGTCACAGGCCTCTTTTGTTGAACTTTGGCGCAATAAGTAAACTGACGGACTAATTCAAACTCGTGCTTTATTACCCAGAAAAATCTCTATTTTAATAAATTATAATAATTCTGCAGAGTATACAAATAATCCCACATAGTATACAAATAATCCTACAGAGTATACAAAGAATCCTACAGAGTATACAAATAATCCTCCAAAGTATACAAACACGCCTCTTATGTATCGCGCTTTAGAAACTAAACGCGAAGGACCCTGCCTTCAGTTTTGGGGGTTCCTAATTTACTCAAAGAAACTTGAAAAAGTCGAATGCCTTAGGCGGGAATCGAACCCACGAATCGATAAGAAATTTTAATTACTATTAAATCGCTCAATGCTTTGTAAATCAATAAACGTTATTTATGTTACGTACGAAACAATAAACAAAAATTATGTTTAATTAATTTTGAGCTTTAATTCTTTGTCATAAAACTCAAAATACAATGCAAATCACCTCCAGGGACCCGGAACTGCATATTGGTTCGTCCTGTCACTTACCAAACTACTAAATAAACCTTACTTCCTATTTATAAGACTCAAAATACAATGCAACCAATCACAATTTAACTTGATCCGGCCTCCCACGCGTCGAACTACTGAAAAAGAAACCCTATTTCCTTTTTATAAGACCCAAAACACAGTGTAACTAATTACAAAACGACTTGATCCGGCCACCCGCGCGTCGAACTACTCAAAAAGAAGCCCTATTTCATTGTCATAAGACTCTAGTGCAACCAGCCACAATTTAACCCTTTAACTTCCAGGGACCCGGCACTGCATATTGGTTCGGTCTCTCGCTCATCGAGCTATTGGCAGACAAGGACACAGCTGCCCAAGTGGAGAAGGGAATGATCATTACTGGCTATTAATTAGTAATTAAGTCTAAAAATTACACCCTGTATAAGCTTATAACAAGCAATGGTGTAAGTATAATATTTGTATGTTATGTAATAATAGTAATAATTAAGCAAAAAAGTGATAATTCAAAATTAGTATCCATATTTTTAGAATTTGGTTCGTTTTTTTTGTTACTAAAATATCCAGGATTGGTTTTCGTTTTGATTTTAAGTCTAAAATATAATTTGTTTTAAATTGTTAATTTGATTTTCATTTAGCTTTTCCCCCATTTTTAAAGTGCCCCCTCGCTACCTCTAGCACAGACTAAATTAATAGAATATGGGACCCATAATAACTTGACTAAGCATACTTTTTGTTATTAAAAATTGATAAAAAGTTCATTTTTAAGGCACAGAATTGTATAGAAGAAAAATCGTATAATAAAATAAAAATCGATTTCCTAAGCAAGACGTATATTTGATATTGCAATAAGTAATACTAATGCCTGTTTTCACCATCAATCCCTATTTTTTATGTGACCCCTGTGGTAACAATTAACAGGAATTTTGTTTACATAGGGGTCACTTAAAAATTAGGGATTGATGGTGAAAACGGGCATAACTCTAGTAATAAATACAAAATTAAATAAATTACACAGAGTAAATGCATTTTGAGAGAGTAACACACCAATTAATACAATTTTGTTCAAAAAATTGCAGTTCAGTACAGAGTATTAAATTATAGTTTTAATACAGGGTGTTTAATGTACAGTGACAGCACATTTTTAATGCAAAACAGCGCTTAACGAATAAGTAAGATGCTACTACAGTGATAACTTGACGTGCAGTCTTTATTACATACTAATATCATTTGGGGATATTGTTTAACTGCCAGATAACTTCTATCTGAAAGATATAACGGTCTTACTGACTGAGCCATTTCTATACAAAATATGACAAACTTTAGAATACTATTTTTTTTTACAAAAACATTGTTGTTCGGCAAACATCTTGACACAAGACGGTGCCTGGCATAATTAAAGCTGACATTATTGAAAAATCTTTTCCATAAAAAAGTACACACAGTAGCGACACCCTGTATACGTATAAATAAACTTAAATACAACTGTCACAGTCTTACAAAATGAGATTACGAAGCTTTTCTACGTATTTTTGGCAAAATATTAATACTATGAGCACTAACATACAGGCTGATAGATTTAACTAAAATCAGAGTGTAATAAAGGTACAGTTACACATATTTCTCATTACTAAAGTCCGGTCGCCGAGCACGTAGAATTTCGTCCAATGACCCCGAGCTACCCATCCTTATCACTCGCACTCACTGCGGCCGCCCGTCGCACAGTCGCGACAGCAATATAATTACGCGAGAGCGATAAGGATGGGTAGCTTGGGGTCATTGGACGAAATTCTACGTGCTCGACGACCGGACTTTAGCACGAAAGCATGCCACTTTTGGGAAATTGCTACTTAGTAGCATGTGTTGAAACATTGCTAATAATAAGCATGCTTATTTCGAGTTGTTCGACCACGCTTGTTAATATAAGCATGACATTTTATGAACATGGTGCCTCAGTACTAGCAGTAATATTTTAAATAGCATTGTTCTAATATTCTTCCTACATTGATGAGTCGTAAGTGTAAACACGGTAAGCATATAAATATCACTAGAAAATATGGTATAAATTAATCACAAGCACAAACTATAATTGCAAACATACAACACAATTATTTCCACAATTTAAGCCTTATTTCTTTAGTAATAAAGTTAAATATCAACTGAGGATTTTTGCCCATTATACCATACATTTGCATTAATATTAATACGGTTGTCGTATACCTACACACACACTTGAAAAACTAGACACATTTTCAAACCATACATATAAGTATGCGATTGTGTCTATGCCTTTTTAGTTTAATCCCATGGCAATTTCAACCTTATTTTAGAGAATACAAGACTATTTTTAGTTTCTAAATTGAGTTACCTTGAAGTTCTTTCATTAAGCCGAATTTTCTTTACCTTTGTAATTTAAGAAAAATCTTAGGCCCAGTTTTTTTATCCATAGTTAAAAATAACTGTCAAGTTTAATGACATGTGGCTAAATATCAACAAAATAAGCTTGAGGCTGACTAGTGACTGAGTTTCTTGCGCTGCTTCTTCTCAGCACACTGGCCCATGTATTGTTCCGAAGCAGGGTTAATACTGGGACGTGTAAAAGTGGTTTTTAAAAGCCTACTTGCAAAAATAAAATGAGTTTTATTGAGGCTTAGTACAATTTTTAACTATTAGTTTACATTTTGTTAATATTTAACTATTGGACCTGGTAATCATTGCTTATTTTAACTATGTAATTATGGGCCTTAGAATCGATTAGTTACCATAAAATGTGCATATGACTTAAGGACAGGATACTATCAGATCCCCGTTACCAGTTATCCAGGAAGTCGTACCCTGTCTTTGGTAGAGTGGTGGATTCTGTCAGCGTCTCGGTGGACTGGAAGTCGGTTCCTGACGAGGCCTGGCTTGAGGAGAGAAGGCCTCGGTTCTCTTCGGAGATATCTGGAATAGAAAGGTGAGATAGTTTACATGGATGATATTGTTGTATTGCATAGTTGTTTGCATGAACATGCTAGTTAGTTTCTGTTGTACTGTGCTATAATGTTATGTAATCTTTGTAGCCAAAACATGTACATAAAAACTAGGGAACCCTCATTACAGCGGGGTTCATAGTTGAAGTCAGATAGATAAGTATGCTTATTCTTAGAAACTAGTGGCCATGATACACCGTTTTAACAAAGTCAATATTATTATAATTATTGATTCATTGCCAAGTTTAGAACTAAATACAATTAGTATAATGCTATTTATGACAATATTTTATCTAAGCAAACAAAGTCACGAGCACAAGCTAGTCTGGTATTAATATTCAAAACCACGCTTCATTGTAATCCCAACGTTAGGCCCTTTTCACATGTCCCGGTTGCCGGCTAACCGCCGCCGGGTACCCGGTGGTGAAGTGTATGGGCATGGTACATTGCTTTCACATGTTCCGGCGTAATGAATCCGGCATGCCCATACACTTCACCACCGGTTACCCGGAGCCGGTTAGCCGGCAACCGGGACATGTGAAAAGGGCCTTACGCATTTATTAATAAGTAATTTATTATCATCAATATTCTTTACACGTATCTTCCTCGTTAACGCATTGATTTATAAATATTTAGCAATACCTATTAGTTACACACTTTTTAGTTACATTTGTTGTATGAAATATTTACTACAAATCTGCCAAACTACTTTCACCAGAAGCCAATTTAGGCATTTAAAAAGTAATGCGTAATTATATGCGTAACATGTTAATAAACTATATACCTATATTAAATAATTTATCAAGCTATATTATTAAGATTTCAATGTCTGTTTTTTGTGATATAAGTTGACATGCTGTATAAATTGTTTTTTAATTTGATTTGGAGTTGACAACCTGTATAATTTTCCATATTTTGGCTTTTAAAACTAACTAATATAGCGAATTTGTACTCATGTTTTTAATTTGTTTAAAACTCGGAAAAAGATCAACATCGTATCGCCTTTTGCGAGCTGTCAGCAAGGCGAGACGTTTACGTTACGGTGCGGATAAGTGTGCGTTGCAGTATAGTGTTTCATGCAAAGAATACTGACCGCCTCGAGTTGATACGGTTGCGATCCCTTTCCAGTTTGATTAGTGTGCCACGTCCTTTATTCTTTTAAATCGCTTTGGTGGAAACCATAGGGATATAGAGAGATGCCAACATTGCCAACTAATGAGCTGATTTCGAAACTCAGTATCGCATTAGAAATTCACACACACAAAGTAATCAAAATATTATATGCTCATTATCCACTGCGGTATCAGTACTCAACGTTCGAATAATCTTTAGTACTACGCAATGTAAAATTTTTACATTATGACGTCGCTTCTGTCATCATTGATTTCACGAGCAATGTGTTCTGTTTTTGGGCATATTGCTGCGACACCGGCCCCGCCCCCTTGTCACATCTCCCTTTAGTTTCTGTGATCTGTGGTGGAAACCGTGCCTAACTCTGTTATAATGTCGACCACTCAATTACGAAGCTGGTTGAGAGATAACAAATGATTTAGCCACATCTGTGTCACTGACTAATCGCACAATTAACAATTAGTCATCTTGAACGTGCGTTATCAATGTATAATTAACAATGTTATTGTAGGCCAGGCACATTCATCAGTCTACAAATACTGTTACAAAACATCCCACTATAGGTTTAGCGATTAACTGAGTCGCACGGGAGTGTTTTTGAGACGACAAACGTAATCAACACTTTGGCTGCTTTTTTTAATGAACTACACTGAAATGTCCTTTTTTGACACTGACAGTGGGGCCACCGTCAATAGAGGATCGCTAGTTCCGACTTTTGCCACGGTGGAAACCATGTAGTTGAACGAATATGGTGGCGCCCTTCTGTCAATGTCGTCGGAGGGACATTTCAGTGTAGTTCATATCTAGAATAGCGCTGACCGCTCGCTGATCGTCGGCGCTGACAGATCAATATGTATGTAATTGAAGGGAACGTTCCTGAGTGAAGCTGATCGCTCGGCGCCGACGCTTCATACAATTCCGCTGTCAGCGCTGACGGTCAGCGTGACTCTGCAAAATAAATTTTATAAAATCCGATTTGTATGAAAATTAAAATAATTAAAATGAAGATATCAATTTTCTGACTTCACCATACCATTTATATGTCCATGTTAACATGGGCTAGTGTCGGCTCATATACTCATTTACCTAACACCCTGTATACAGCGGCATTTAGCCCGATGTGCTGTGTGACACAATCTATTTCAACACGAATATTTGTTTTGATTCGAGCTAGTAATGTTTAGTTTGTGTCATAGGTTTGATAACATTTATAATTGTTATTCAGTATACATATATACTAGGTCGGTTGGCACTTTCTTTGTGTTGTATCTACATTTTGGTCTATGCATTCTAAAAATGTACTTAAAAATAGTAAATATGGTTAACTAGCTTTTGCCCACAGCTTCGCCCGCGTGAAATTTTGTCTGTCACGAATACTTTATCGCGCGCGTCCTAGTTACAAAAATTGGGATAAAAATTATCCTATCTCCTTTTCTGGGACTCAAACTATTTATATTTTCATCAAAATCAATTCAGGTTCAGTGGTACCGTGAAAGCGTAACAGACAGACATAATTTCGCATTTATAATGGTACATATTAGTATTTTCAATAGTAAGAATTCGGGGCTATTCCCACCTCTCGTTCCCACCGCTGCAACTCCTGTGTAGCCAGGATCTACAGCTTGACCGCCAATAACCCAACCAGTGAAGGTCAAGTTTGTCCCGGGGGATAGTTACTGTCATTGGACCCGCAACGAAATTAATCAGAACAAATAACTTACCACTGCTAGACTTCACGACGCTGTTCCTATATTCATACTTCTCATTCTGAGGGCTTTTAAAGTTCGTTCTGAAGAAATTATCCGACGACGCCACAATATGAGCTGGTTCTGTCACAACTAAACACTCCCTTTCTTCGTCTTTGCTCTTGAAATTATTAATAAACTTCGATATAAACCCAGGTGACGTCACCTCACTCTCTTCGCGATAACTTTTTAGTTTCTCGTGCGTTTTTAAAGCGTTCTTCAACTCTGAGACAACTTTTGAATGGGATATGGCCAGTTCTGTCATGACAGGGAGAGGGGAGGTCGGTTTGGTGTCCTTCTGGTTTCGATGTTCGGATAATATGCAGAGGTTGAGCTGGCTTTTCGTTTGGTAGAGGAACGGGGCCGAGTGTTCATCCCTGAAAAGTAATAAAAAGGTTTATAGATCGTGCCATCCACGAAGACGCGCCCCACCAATTTTTGGTCGAGGGAAGCGCGGGGAGTTTGATCCGAGCAATCCGAGCGTCATTGTTGTCATTACAAACGTGACTGTAAATTGCGTTAAGTAAGGGTATATTCATGCTAACACTAGTGGAACACGAGTTTTGACCTCCGATGTTAAAACACACGATAGAAAAATAAAATTGTGAATCGAACCCATCCAACAATCGATTACATTGTTATTTTTGTTATTTACAACGGAAGTTATCGGAATTGACCGGTAGTCGGAAGTTGCGTGTTACTAGCCTATTGCACATTTACGTTTAGTTAGCACATGCGCATAAGTCGTTTGGAAGAGTACGGGACTATTTCCACCTCTCGTTCCCACTTCAACTCCTGTGTAGCCAGGATCTACAGCTTGACCGCCAACCCAACCAGTGAAGGTCAAGTTTGTCCCGGGGAAAGTTAAACTGTCATTGGACCCGCAGCGAATTTAATCAGAAGAATCGTAAGTAGTTATGATGTATGATGGGTCAGGATTTGGCCCTTGATGTGGTCATGTGGTAAATCGATGGTGCCCTTTTTGGCCATGATGATATTAATTGACTGATAGATACGAAGATCGCGGGGTCATCCAGTTTTTAAGTAAATATGGTATGGTACTTCGCTATTTTCCTCAATCAGCAGCTCACAGAACGAACGCTACAAATCAACATGAATGGGAGGTCATGTTTGATTTAAATCATGTGTAACGATGCTGCAGCCACATTATCATTAGTTCATAATAGTCTGCACTGCAGGAGCACGACCCTCTCTAATTTTTACGACTTTCTAGGCTGGCCGGACTTGGGCCTCCCCTAGCTTATTTACGACAATCACTGTCTTCATATCTGTCATTCCCACTTCTCGTTCCCACCGCTGCAAATCCTGTGTACCCAGGATCTACAGCTGGACCGTCAATAACCCACAGTGAAGGTCAATAAAAACCCAAGCAGTTAGGCGATTATCACATACTGCACCGCGCGGTCCGTGTGGCGACATTATAACAAATCCCGCGCTCAAACGCGTTGTGCCGCGCGTGTTTTCTATACAAACTGAGGTACTTGCATATAATGATTAAATCTGTCGTCCCGTGTACCGCGGCGGAGCGCGGTGCAGGCGATCAGCCTGAAGGTCAATAAAATCCTAACCAGTTAAGGTAAAAAAAAGAGTTAGAATAATAAAACTTACTTGTAAGATGTATTCTCATCTTGTATCACTCTTTGCGCGTGTTCTCTCCCAAAGAAAGACATGAGGTCATCCCTCCGGACCGGAGGGTCGTTGATATCAAACTCAAGCGTGTCCAGAAGCGCATACTTGAGAGCAATCTCCGGCTTGATGATCGATTCGTTTATTATTTCAACCTGGAATAATGATTGAGCATGATATTGTAAACGGTGACGGCAATGCGAAGTTTTTCGAGGTATTTCTCGAAGCGCATCTTGTAAAGCCTGGTCCGTAAGCCATTGGACCATTGGACCGTGAGCCATTGTGGGTCATTGGACAAAATTCTACGTGCTCACGGACCAGGCTTTAGAAATTAGAATCGGGTCCAACTATCGGCCAACTAAAAGTCGGTGATCTGCGCCTAGGCTAAACGGTGACGGTAATACGAAGTTTTTCAAGGTATTTCTCGAAGCGCATCTTGTAGTTATGCTACGTGCCTACCTAAAGGTCATAGCACACTTATCAACCAGGAAAGTGATCAACACCACATCACCTTTCGGTGCGGTGCGGATAAGTGTGTGTCGCAGAACGGAGATTCATGCAAAGAGTCAAAGAATACTGACCGCCTCGAGTTGATACGGTTACGATCCGTTTTCGGATTGATAAGTGTGCTTCGTCTTTAAACATTTGGGTGACAGCGGAGCAGTCTTGCGACTATGCAAAAAAGCACCGAAGTATACGCGAATATTTGGTTACACACATTGCGATGGCGCGAATCTTCGGGTTACCGCGACGTGTGTGGCCTAGGGTATAGAAAAAATAAAAATGCCTAAGTTTTTCATGCTTCAATAGATTGAATACCTTGTACTAGTAGTACTATTTGTTTTTAATTACTTTCATTCAGACTTCCTTCCTTCTTTTCTTGTATTTAATTTTATTTCCTTTTCATTCATTAGCAAACAGACAGACAATACCACTCTACATGATGTAAAGATATTTAATTAATTAGATTTAAAGTTACAGAAGTAACACTTAATAAAGTAAATAGAATTTATAATAAATTTTATTTACTCAATGATTATGAATGAGCTCACTTATTATAATAATTTCTTAATAATAGCTGTTATAGCCACTAATGCCTTGATTCATAATTTTGTTAAATTAAAATCACTAAACAATTTAATTTTAACACATTACCGCATCTAGCATTGCAAACAAACCTCAGTGGTTTATGCCAATGCATTTAATTGTAATAATGTTTTAGAACTTCCTTTGTAAAATGATAATAAATGAAAAAAATAAAAAATAACTATGACCAATTCAAATCAAATTTTAAACTGACAAAAAAAATGCATTAAACAACAGTACTATCTTCTTCTATCATCATTCAGGTCTTTTAGTCCCACTACATGAGCACGACCCTCTAATTTACGGGAGGCAAATGGAGGATTTGTCCTACACTCCCCACGCTGGCCAGACGGGTTGGGGAAGACTCCTTTTATCAAAAAGTAATCATTTAAATCGGCATCAGCAAAAATTTTCAGTCAGAATGTAGAAAAAAAGACTGTTTTTAGTAATATTTTTTGATAAACAATACTGGATTCCAGAATTTCATAACTATGATCATAAATAACTGTTACGAACATTTTACAACATGAAGGCCGTTTGAAATTAGGCTAATAAAAAAGGTAACACGATTTCTTATTTCAATGATTGCAAACAACAAACTTGAACCTGTTCTTTCGAGTGAGTCTCTTAAGAGCAAAATGACGATTTGAAGAACTATTTATTAGTCCAAACAAATAAAGAAAATTTTGACTTTGACTTTGACTTTCGTTAACGTGAAAGCAAAATGATTGGTATGACAACAATAATACAACAAAATAGTTAAAAATTAATTCTTTTACGATGAATGATACATTTTTAACGAATCAATTGTCTTGTTTTTAATGTTAATTTTCTTTTACTTTAACTTTAGTTTCATTAATTACAATTTGTAAAAACATTTTTTACTAAAAATAAAAAGTTTAGTAGACAGGCTACATAGAAAAACCTAGCTATGCCTGTGAGTTTTTTTAAGCCCACTCAATTTTGTAATTTTTTATCATTAGATAAAGACATAAACAATCATTAGGCATTATTAACAATTAATCAAATCATTAAATAAAGTAATCTGCTAATATTAGTGATAAAGTTTTGTAATAAATGAAATATTAACATGTAAAATAATGTTTAATAGGTATTCATAAATCTTATTTAAGTATTCTATTACATATACTGCATTGTTTACTTCTATAATGTCTTTATTTGTGTCTAAATGTAATTGAGACATGCGAGATTGTTTTTAATAGAAATGTGTAGTTGTGATTTGAACCAGGAAGGAGGAACTTTGGAACCATTTGGAACAATATCTATTTTTAGAAAGATCGGGATATTAGCTGCTATAGTTTGTGTAATGTATAAAGACACATACCTTTTCTTTTTCAGTTAACGTATCCCACATATTTTCATATGCACTTTTTGCCTCAACAATGTCTTCGTGAATTTTGCTTGCAAGTGGGTTCAACGTACGAAAATACTCTTCCGCTACGGCGGTCAACGCCATTTTCGTCACTCGTACAACAACCACACGATCGCACTGAATATTCTTAGATGTTAAACTATGAAATCAAATGAGATTCGTGAGTAAAATTAATTATTTACACATGACTCACTCGCACGTCTATTTCTATTGAATGGACGACAGAAAATAAATAAATAAATAATGAAAGGAAACGTCAAAAATTTAGTAAATTGATGCAAGCAAATTTAGCACTAATCGCTTACCTAATAGAGTTCTACTTATTAGCAAATGTTACAAGAATTATCTAATGATTAGGCGAGAAGTGTCATGCGCATAGAACACAAAGCAATATAAACTTTATAGTGATAGATATAAGATTTATTTTCGAAAACTAATCAAATGATTGTATATCCGATATTAGCATTTAGCGCCATCTGTATTTTACAAACATAATTTCATGTAATACTTTCCGTTTACCGGTTTTCTTAATCGAAAATAATCTGGGGGCACGGCAGTGCCCCCACCAAGTCGAGCAAAAAAGCGGCACGGCCGTACCATCCTTTTCTCGAAGCAATTCAGGCCATTTTCGACTGCCTCACTGCCTGTAACTTCGTTGTGGATAAAACTAGAAGGCTGAATTTTCATTAGCTATGCAGGCATTGTAAAGACACGGTATATTTAAAATTTCATTCAATTTGAACCAGTAGTTTAGGAATTATAACGGGTCAAAGTTACTTAATTTTGTCACTCACTGACTGACTCACTGACTCACTGACTCACCGATCATCAAAATTCTAAGGCACTTCTAGCAGACCTAGAAGCTTCTAATTTGGAATATAAGTAGTGTTTGGTGTATGAATCAAGGAAAAACTAAAATATTTGGGGGCACGGTAGTGCAACCGCCAAGTCGAGTAAAATTTTTCAATTTCGGTCCAGTTTTCTAGATACATAACTGCTGTCTACAAAATACAAAAAGAAATGAGATCCCATCAAAAACAATACTTGTCAAAAAAAGTTTTACATAAATATATTGACTTGGCCATCGCATGAAAACACGTGTAAATTAAATTATTTAGTGCGATGGCCAAGTCAATATATTTATGTAAAACGTTAAAGATTTCCTGGCCTGGACTTGGTATTACATGGATCTCACAACTTTTTACCGTAGAACAACTGAGTTGCGAGACTTGGTTTTTTTGACAAGTATTGTTTTTGATGGGATTAAAATTTTTAGTTTAACGGCTCAAAACATTTAGAAAATGCACAATCAATTCATAAAATTGTCAACAAAGTTAGCCAAAAACGTATTAATTTCACTAATATTTGTATTTGAATAGTGAATCGAATATTCCATCTGTGTGTAATAAGCTTAATTTGTGGTAAGTTTTTCATCTGTGCAGTTTTTGTAATCGGTTTTTGGGTGAGTGGAAAAATGTCAAAATGGCTATCCTCGCCCTTGTTTATAAACTGAATTTCACTAAAGAAACGTAGTTAAAAATCGAATAACGATTCACAGGGAGTGTTACAGCCAATAATGTTGCACAATACTGGGTCTTACGGGCCTAACGAAGCGCCGGTGAACATGGGAGCGCCTGTAAATGTGTCCCAATTGGGTGCTCCGTTGAATGTTGCCCAAAACTTGAGTAATTTGGGTAAAACGCCACAGCATCCTCCCCAGGCAGCGGGAGGGCACTTCAGCCTACCCAACTACGCATCATACATGGCAGCAAACCCAAACATGGGCTCACAAATGCATACGTTTCCTAACTATCAGTCTTTGGGTCTCCAGTCAAGTTATATGCATCACAACTCGCCTGCGTTGCCAAATATGAGCTGGCAGAATGGTATGTTGCCCATGAACTTCAATTTTCACAACGAGGCTGTTCATAATGTGTCGAATTACACTACAAGTAGCACTAGAGCATCAAGCAGTGTCAATAGCTATAAGGAGCAAATATACACCCCAAAAGTACCCTTAAATGTGCCTCAGGTACCTAATAACTTCTTCCTCAGACATTTCGAGGACGAAAATGACAGACAAACTTTACCAAACCATATCAAACCTGTAGAAAACGATCTAAGCAGCAGTTTCAGCGAAAAACCCTTCGGGTCACTACTTAAAGACAATCCAAGACGAAAGAATCTAGAAAACACGGTAAGATTAATAGAGAATATACTTGTAAATACAACCAAAAATAGAGAAATGCAACTAGAAAGTCAATCAAGTTGCACCAAAAATGTTGAAACAGATAGTAAAAATATGAACACAAAATTAAATAATACTGATACACTATCTAAAGAATTAGAAAAAGAAAAAACTGAGGAGCGTTCAAGAGAATCTAAAACTGACGAGGATTCAAACAGCTCTGATAGAAGTTCACAAAAAGAATGTGACGTTAAAATTGTCGAAAATAAAGAAATAACAAATACGGAAAACCGTCAGGAATTAGAAATAAGTATAAAGCTAGAACCAGAAGACAATGATGACGTAGAGGAAATAAGAGAGGTAGAAGTTAAAATTGAACCGATAACAAGTTGGACGGACACAGAACACACTGCACCGTTCCATAGGGACGTACACGGTGTGTTACAAGAGGATATTGGACGTGAAAATGTCATTGACAGCGAGAATAGTGTGTTAGAAGCTACAAAAATTATTGTAAATAGTAAGTAATGTTACAAAATTGTAAAGATACCTTGCTGGATTGTATCATTTTAAGAGCTACCATATACTGTACAAGCTTTGCTTTGTTTGGGACTTGGTGCAGTGTAAAATGTCCAAGGATATTAATTTATTTATTTACTGTATTTTCACCAATCCATCTGTGACCAGACCAGCTTGGAGAGTGTAGGCCAAATTATCTATATGCCTCTACTACATTAGATACACACATTTATGGAGACTAAATGACCTGATGATGATCAAATGTTTATACTTTTTCAGAGGAGACGTCAGACAACTATTTTGAATGCCCGTACTGTTGTCTGATCTTCAAACATCCGAAGAGGTTCTTAATACACACCAAATGGCATTTGTTCGGTCTCATCAACGAACAGAGGCTCGAGTTAGCCAAAGAGAAGGAATCAAGGTAAAGCCTGGTCCGTGAGCACGTAGAATTTTGTCCAATGACCCCAAGCTACCCATCCTTATCGCTCGCGCGTAATTATGTTGCTGTCGCGCTCGCAATCTCACAGCGGGCGCGCGTCGCACAGTCGCGATAGCAATATTACGCGCGAGCGATAAGGATGGGTAGCCTTGGGTCATTGGACAAAATTCTACGTGCTCACGGACCAGGCTTTAAGTAATATAATTGGTTAAGGAAGCCTTTTGTAATTGGCCAAATGAATAATTGAAGTCATATTAAAGAACTAGTGGCCGCCCGCGACTTCGTACGCGTGGATCCCGTTCCACCCCCTTAAGGGTTGAGTTTCGTAAAATCCTTTCTTAGCGGATGCCTACGTCATAACATCTACCTGCATGCCAAATTTCAGCCCGATCCGTCCAGTGGTTTGGGCTGTGCGTTGATAGATCACTATGTCAGTCAGTCGGTCCGCCCCGGGTGCCAAGCATCAGGGGGTGACAACAGTCGCGCAGATTAGTATTCACTGGCGCATCTACATGATAAGGACGGTCATGATATGTCGGGGGCATTAGACCATTGCCTTAACCCCCTGCTTTAAGTATCGTTCGTTTGTATCAGCCAAATGACGTCCACTGCTGGACAAATTCCTCCCCCAAGGTTTTCTATAATGAACGGTCCTACGCCGCATCCAGGCTCTTCCCGCGACCTTTACCAGATCGTCGGTCCACCTAGTAGGAGGCCTGCTCACGCTACGTCTTCCAGCCCGTGGTCGCCACTCGAGAACTTTCCTGCCCCAAAGGCCATCGTCTCTACGAGCTATGTGCCCCGCCCACTGCCACTTGATGTTAGCAATTCTGCGAGCTATGTCGGTTACTTTGGTTCTACTGCGGATTTTCTCATTTCTGATTCGATCACGCAGGGAAATTCCGAGCATAGCCCGCTCCATCGCCTTTTATGTGACCTTGAGCCTTCTTATGAGGCCCATGAGGCTTTAAGTATACCCAACTTCAATTATAACAGGGGGGAAGTGATTTTTTAAATGTGTTTTTTATGAGTTTATCGTATCGTATTACAGAAGAAACCAACGCAAAGAGACCCGCCAGAAAGGCGCAGGCGCGGCACGCAAGCCGTGGCCTTGCAAGGACTGCGACAAGGTGTTTCACGCGAAAGGAGGCCTCGAGAGCCATCGGAAGAGGTAAGCTTTTCATCATCATCATCATCTCAGCCATAGGACGTCCACTGCTGAACATAGGCCTCCCCCAATGCCTTCCATGTTGTCCGGTTGGCTGTGGCCTGAGTCCAGCGCCTTCCTGCTACCTTCTTTTACTTATCTAATTCAATAATTTATTCAGTAATCCGTGTAAAGTCCGGTTGCCGAGCAGATAGAATTTCGTACAATGACCCCAAGCTACGGCGCACTACGGCCGCCTGTCGCACAGTGGGTCTGCGAGCGCGACAGCAATATAATGAGGGCTATCGTTTTTATACTTAACAGTTGTCACCCCTGGCGATTGACAGGACCTTACTCTATCTTGATGAGTGCAAATGCGATAGTCCTCCTACCACTTTAGCGCTCACCAGTTGGCGCCACTGTCTTCGCTACTAGCAAGTGACAGGACCTTACTCTACAGTGGCGCTAACTGGTGAGCGCTAAAACGATAGCCCTTATTACGCGCGAGCGATAATGATAAGTAGCTTGGGGTCATTGTACGAAATTCTATCTGCTCGGCGACCGGACTTTATGAACACTTGGCTGCCTAGTGCGCGGGGTTGCTTTAGCCCATTCCCGAAGTGATGGTAGGTGGAAAGTTCAGTGATTTGAGCTGTGCGTCAATAGATTAATCAGTCTACAATAGTTGGCTTACAATTATGAAGGCAAGATGACAGGATAACTATGTTTTACACTCTTTTAGCACTCCAAAATTTATTGGATTTTATACAGGAGATTTTTTAAATAAAAGGTTTTTATACAACTGTAAAACCTTATGTTTCCTCATAAACACTAAGCCTAGGCGCCGACCACCGACTTTTAGTTGGCCGATAATTAGGCCCGATTCTAATTTGTATGAAGGATCAGCCGATACCAAATCGGTGTAATGTGCGCGCTTTCATACATTTCCATATTAACTGCCCGACTAAACTATCGGCCGACAAAAAATCGGTGGTCTGGGCCCAGCCTTATTGTTAAGAAGCAGAGATAGGGTTAATGTAATACAGTAAAAAACTCAGTAAACTCAGTAAAACTCATTTATTTCTGTAAGTAGGCTTTAAAAAAGCACTTCTACACGTCCCAGTATTAACCCTACCACTGCTTCAGGACAATAAATGCGCCAGTGCTGAGAAGAAGCAGCGCAAGAAACTCAGACACTATTCAATCACTATTGTCAGCCTCTTTTTCAAAGGTTTACAGGTTCTCAAAATAAAAAATAAACTACATTTATGATTTTACAGGTTCCACTCAAACAGGATACGCGAATGCAAGATGTGTTCCAAGTCCGTCGACGGTTGGACGGCTTGGAAGGCGCATATAGCGACCCATAAGTCGGAACTTGGCTATCAATGTACACACTGCCCGAAACGATTTAAATATTCGCACTCGCTGACGAAACACAAGGACACGCACTTGGTAAGTAGTAGTTATGAAACTTATGAAAATGATTGAATTTGACTGTCATTTACGGTCAAATTGGTCAACAACCAGTCATTAACGGTCAAAAATGGACATTTTCAGTCAGTTTGATTTCAGTAATAGTTTAGTACTTTTTCTTAGATGATTGTTTGGTGGGGACTACATAATATTAGAGTCAATTTGACTGAATTTGACAATAAATGACGGGTCATTTATGGTTTATGACAATCGTGACTGGTCAGATTCAGTCATTTTACATCCCTAATAAGTAGACCCAAAGAGAGAGAAAAAGACTCACATAGCGACCCATAAGTCGGAACTTGGCTATCAATGTACACACTGCCCTAAACGATTTAAATATTCGCACTCGCTGACGAAGCATAAGGACACGCATTTGGTAAGTAGTAGTTATGAAAATGACTGAATTTGACTGTCATTTACGGTCAAATTGGTCAAAAACCAAACATCAACGGTCAAAAATGGTCATTTTCAGTCAGTTTGATTTCAGTAATAGTTTAGTACTTTTTCTTAGATGATTTTTTGGTGGGGACTACATAATATTAGAGTCAAATTGACTGAATTTGACAAGAAATGACGGGTCATTTATGGTTTATGACAATCGTGACTGGTCAGATTCAGTCATTGACATCCCTAATAAGTAGACGCAAAGAGAGAGAAAAAGACTCACATAGCGACCCATAAGTCGGAACTTGGCTATCAGTGTACACACTGCCCGAAACGGTTTAAATATTCCCACTCGCTGACGAAACACAAGGACACGCACTTGGTAAGTAGTAGTTATGAAACTTATGAAAATGATTGAATTTGACTGTCATTTACGGTCAAATTGGTCAACAACCAGTCATTAACGGTCAAAAATGGTCATTTTCAGTCAGTTTGATTTCAGTAATAGTTTAGTAGTTTTTCTTAGATGATTGTTTGGTAGGGGACTACTGAATTACAAATTGACTGAATTTGACAATAAATGACGGGTCATTTATGGTTTATGACAATCGTGACTGGTCAGATTCAGTCATTTTATATCTCTAATAAGTAGACCCAAAGAGAGAGAAAAAGACTCACATAGCGACCCATAAGTCGGAACTTGGCTATCAGTGTACACACTGCCCGAAACGATTTAAATATTCCCACTCGCTGACGAAACACAAGGACACGCACTTGGTAAGTAGTAGTTATGAAACTTATGAAGATGATTGAATTTGACTGTCATTTACGGTCAAATTGGTCAAAAACCAGTCATTAACGGTCAAAAATGGACATTTTCAGTCGGTTTGATTTCAGTAATAGTTTAGTACTTTTTCTTAGATGATTTTTTGGTGGGGACTACATAATATTAGAGTCAATTTGACTGAATTTGACAATAAATGACGGGTCATTTATGGTTTATGACAATCGTGACTGGTCATATTCAGTCATTTTACATCTCTAATAAGTAGACCCAAAGAGAGAGAAAAAGACTCACATAGCGACCCATAAGTCGGAACTTGGCTATCAATGTACACACTGCCCGAAACGGTTTAAATATTCGCACTCGCTGACGAAACACAAGGACACGCACTTGGTAAGTAGTAGTTATGAAACTTATGAAAATGATTGAATTTGACTGTCATTTACGGTCAAATTGGTCAAAAACCAGACATCAACGGTCAAAAATGGACATTTTCAGTCGGTTTGATTTCAGTAATAGTTTAGTAGTTTTTCTTAGATGATTTTTTGGTGGGGACTACATAATATTAGAGTCAATTTGACTGAATTTGACAATAAATGACGGGTCATTTATGGTTTATGACAATCGTGACTGGTCAGATTCAGTCATTTTACATCTCTAATAAGCAGACCCAAAGAGAGAGAAAAAGACTCACATAGCGACCCATAAGTCGGAACTTGGCTATCAGTGTACACACTGCCCTAAACGGTTTAAATATTCCCACTCGCTGACGAAGCATAAGGACACGCACTTGGTAAGTAGATCCATACTCACAATTTCGATACCGCGATGCAGGATTGTAGGCGCCGTGGAGTATGGCATAGTAACTCATGTGTCAGCGCCATCTATTGGATGGGATTTTTTTCCCAACAAATGGTTCTGGTGGAGAATTTTTGGCAATCTTTGAATGCAGTTCTATTTATTAAAAAAAAAAGCTGTTTTCTTTGAGTAATTTTTTCTATCAGTATTAAGAGTAGGTACACTCCCTTTAGGTGGCATTACAAAATTCCACCCTGTGTACGTACAGGGTGCCTTGTATACTTAAAATCAGTGTCTTGACACTTTTTTGCCAATATGTATAAATGTGTCTGTCTTTTTGCTCCAGTTAATCTAAACAGCGGCAACAAATATTGTAATTAATTAATAATGAATAAATTTTAGGTCTGTAAGTCTAAGGATAAATTGTATAGGTGAAAAAAATTTTTTTTTTTGCTGTCAAATAAATTGTTTTTTGTCTAACCAGTGTTTTTTCTTACCCCAGGAAAAAACCCACGCCTGTCCGGACTGCCCGAAGATGTTTGGGTCACCAGCGCTCTTAAAGGTGCACAGTAAATCTCACGAGCGGCTGCAGAAAGGCGCTTCGTTCCACTGCAGTTTTTGCGGGAAGGCTTTCTTCGACAAATTCAATTTGCAGGTGAGGACTTTATGGTATTGTTATAGAGCTTAAATCACCTTGACCAACAGCTGACGAGTAGGCGATTAGATTATTTATTGCCTATTTTTATACAAAATGCTTATAATGTAAATATACTTGATGAAATGGGTTGATTCTACTGCTCAAAAGCCACGATAGCCGAACGGTGAAGGGGTCGGACTGGCCGACTCGAGATCCGAGGAACGCGGGTTCGAATCCCACCGCCGCTCGACTATTGTGGTGAGCCCACTCGTAACACAAGCTTATTTAGCTTACCACGAGGGGCTAACGGGACTATTAGTAATTTGTGCAATAATAATTCTTTAATAAATGCACTAACTTTCCCCAAAGGACAAAAAACCTTTCCTTAAAAGTAGTTGTATTTCAGTAGTAGAATCAATCAACCATTTTTGATTGATCACGTATAAAAAATACACCCTGTATACTTTCCCTTACCTGAAACTCATACGGGCTAAAACGGCCCAAACGATGCTTGTTTAAGTGAAGCAGCAAATCGAACGCACGTTAAATAGAGCTCTGTGATTGGTTCTTGTCCAGATCTGTGAGTTCACGCGCACTGTGAGACCTCATAGTAATTTTATTTATTTAATACTAGCTGACCCGGCGAACTTTGTTCCGCCTTAATGGCAATAAATAAGCAGACTTTTTTTTAATTTCGAAAGGGATAAAAAGTATCCTATGTCCTTCTCCTGGCTCTAAACTACCTCCCTGACAATTTTCAGCTAAATCGGTTCAGCCGTTCTTGAGTTATAAGCGAAGTAACTAATACGACTTTCTTTTATATATACAGGGTGTTAGGTAAATGGGTATATGAGCCGACACTAGCCCATGTTAACATGGTCATATAAATGGTATGGTGAAGTCAGAAAATTGATATCTTCATTTTAATTATTTTTTATTTTCATACAAATCGGATTTTATAAAATTTATTTTGTATGAAAATTAAAAAAAATTAAATGATGATATCAAATTTCTGACATCACCATACCATTTGTATGCCCATGTTAACATGGGTTAGTGTCGGCTCATATACCCATTTACCTAACACCCTGTATAGATAGATGACAACCAACGAATGTTAATGTTTGAGAATACGAGCGTATGGATATTTATTATTTTATCTACTATTTCCAGATTCACGAAAGGACTCACACCAACGAGCGACCTTTTATATGCGAGATTTGCAACGCGTCGTTCGGTTGCAACTCGAATCTCAGTCGGCATATGAAAGTGGTAAGTATAGGTCTGCATTGGTTCAATGAGGGCTATCGTTTTAGCGCTCACCAGTTAGCGCCACTGTAGAGTAAGGTCCTGTCACTTGCTAGTAGCGAAGACAGTGGCACCAACTTGTGAGCGCTGAAGTGGTAGGAGGACTATCGCATTTGCTCTCATCAAGATGGCGCCACTGTAGAGTAAGGTCCTGTCAATCGCCAGGGGTGCCAAGTGTTAAGTATAAAAACGATGGCCCTCATTGGTTCAAGTGTGGGGCACGCCCCCCTTGGGAGGCACAAAGACCTTTAAAGGGGGGTCCATCTGTGTACTTAAGTATAAAAAACCTGCGACCGCTGAGAGAATGCATTCCAGACTGCTCGATACGACCAATAAATTATCTTGACTGGAGGAGGGGGGGGGGGAAACATAGTATAGCCAGGCCTGTTCATCTCCGCGAGTTTACATCGAAAACAAAACACGCACGATGGCCCACCTACAGGATACTATTCGACAAGGCCTCACATACGAGCGAACATTGACTCACGCACGCGTATTCTTGTATATGATGGAGGAAAAAAAAGAAAATGGTGTACTAAATACTGTGCAGTATTTAACTGCCTAAATAATAATAAAAACACAGAATGTACTTTTTTAAGTTGCCTCAAGACACTGAGAGGTAAATAAGTAGTTAATATTATTCATGATAATTCATGCTAAATCATGTATTTCCTCCGCCATTTTCCGCAGTTTGGCACCTCACGTCACATCATTTTACCGAAGTCAGCCCTATAGCTTCGGCGCAGTGCCGATCACTGACGTTTGTCAACAAAATGGTGCTTGACTCTTGAGACAGTCTAAATTACACCATATTGTTAATGACATTGAGCATATTTTTTTTTAAATACCTTCGCGAAGTAAAACTTCTGTACGTAGTACTTATTATTATTCTGTGGTATAGCGCTTAACTGAGTCAGTGCCTGAGGCATGGTAGCGGCACGGGAGGGTGTTTTTGTGACGTCAAACGTCAGCGAGACTTCAGATGTGCTTCAGACTTGTATGCTCGGTCACGTCATATGTCAGTTTCCCCTGCCGATCTCATACCTCAGGCACTGACTCTGTTATCAAATTAAAAAACTATTTCAGACATACTTAATCCTACTAATATTATAAAGGCGAAAGTTTGGATGTCTGGATGTCATGATGTCTGAATGTTTGTTACTCTTTCACGCAAAAATTACTGAACGGATTTTTTTGAAACTTTACAGTATTATTGCTTATAACCCAGTTACCCAGATTAACATATTTTATTATAGGCTATAATTTATGACGATATGTGACAAATAAATTTCAATAAATAAATAAGACGTGTCTAAAAAGAGCCATCTATCGTCATTGGTTAAAATCTACAGCGCTGGACAAACTACTGTTTTTGACGTTCGTAAATATTCATGCGGGGGAAGCCGTGAAACGCCATCTATCAACATTGTATCTAACGGGGGTAAAACGATGTCCACTAGTACCACAGAATAATAATAAGTACTACGTACAGAAGTTTTAGTTCGCGAAGGTATTTAAAAAAATGTATGCTCAATGTCATTAACAATATGGCGTAATTTAGCCTGTCTCAAGAGTCAAGCACTATTTTGTTGACAAACGTCAGTGATCGGCACTGCGCCGAAGCTATAGGGCTGACTTCGGTAAAATGATGTGACGTGAGGTGCCAAACTGCGGAAAATGGCAGAGGAAATACATGATTTAGCATGAATTATCATGAATAATATTTTAACTACTTATTTACCTCTCAGTGTCTTGAGGCAACTTAAAAAATTACATTCTGTGTTTTTATTATTATTTAGGCAGTTAAATACTGCACAGTATTTAGTACACCATTTTCTTCCATCATACACAAGAATACGCGTGCGTGAGTCAATGTTCGCTCGTATGTGAGGCCTTGTCGATTAGTATCCTGTAGGTGGGCCATCGTGCGTGTTTTGTTTTCGATGTAAACTCGCGGAGATGAACAGGCCTGCTAGTACGAAGTCGCGGGCGGCCGCTAGTAAGTCCATATACAATGAGTGCGTTTTGGCGGAAAATTGCACTTGGAAGCGCTTATTACCAAAATGGCGATCGTTAAGCGGTAAGCGGTGTCACTGCTAATAAAATGATTGAAATACGTCCCTGTTGAAGGTAACAAAAGTTAGCCTTTTTCCGACAAACGCACCCAGTGAGTAGAGTGAAAAAAACATGTCAAACTATGACTTTTAACAATTTTACGTCATACTAGCTTTTGCCCGCGGCTTCACCCGCGTGAAATTTAGTTTGTCACAGATCGTCATGAATTATAGCCTATAATTATGTTATTCTGGGTTATAGACAACTAGCTTTCCGCACGCGGCTTTGCCCGCGTGGAATTTTGTGTCACAGAAAAACTTAATCACGCGCGTCCCTGTTTCAAAAACCGGGATAAAAACTGTCCTATGTCCTTTCCCGGGACTCAAACTATCTCTATGCCAAATTTCATCAAAATCGGTTCAGTGGTTTAGGCGTGAAAGCAAGACAGACAGACAGAGTAACTTTCGCATTTATAATATTAATATAAATGTATGTTTTCCCACCAGTCGCACAGTTCTACCAAGCCCTACGAGTGTTCCACTTGCCATCGCTCCTTCACATCCGAAGGCATCCGCGACCGCCACGAGTTAAGGATGCACGGAGACCCGGAGGACTTCAAATACGCGTGCAAGCAGTGCCCTAGCAGGTTGGTAGTCAGATTACAAGGTTACGTGGTCAGATTATAAGGTAACGTAGTCAGATTACAAGGTTACGTGGTCAGATTACAAGGTAATGGAGTTAGATTTTAAGGTGACGTAGTCATTACATTGTAACGTGGTCAGATTACAATGTATCATAGTCAGCAAGTTATGATAGAATACAATGTAACACAGTCAGATAACAATGTAACGTAGGTAGGAGGTTAGTTATAATGTAAGATAGTTAAGTTATAAGGTAACGTAGTCGGATTATACGGTAACGTACTCAGCAAGCCGAGGTAACGTAGTCAGATTACAATGTATCATAGTCAGCAAGTTATGGTAGTTAGAATACAATGTAACTTATTCAGCAAGCTAGGTAGTAAAATACAATGTAACATAGAGTCAGAATACATTTGCCATCGCTCCTTCACATCCGAAGGCATCCGCGACCGCCACGAGTTAAGGATGCATGGAGACCCGGAGGACTTCAAATACGCGTGCAAGCAGTGCCCTAGCAGGTTGGTAGTCAGATTACAAGGTTACGTGGTAAGATTACAAGGTTACGTTGTCAGATTATAAGGTAACGTAATCAGCAAGCCAAGGTAACGTAGTCAGATTACAATGTATCATAGTCAGCAAGTTATGATAGAATACAATGTAACGCAGTCAGATAACAATGTAACGTAGGTAGGAAGTTAGTTATAATGTAAGATAGTTAAGTTATAAGGTAACGTAGTCGGATTATAAGGTAACGTACTCAGCAAGCCAAGGTAACGTAGTCAGATTACAATGTATCATAGTCAGCAAGTTATGATAGAATACAATGTAACGCAGTCAGATAACAATGTAACGTAGGTAGGAGGTTAGTTATAATGTAAAATAGTTAAGTTATAAGGTAACGTAGTCGGATTATAAGGTAACGTACTCAGCAAGCCAAGGTAACGTAGTCAGATTACAATGTATCATAGTCAGCAAGTTATGGTAGTTAGAATACAATGTAACGTATTCAGTAAGTTAGGTAGTTAAAATACAATGTAACGTAGAGTCAGAATATATTTGCCATCGCTCCTTCACATCGGAGGGCATCCGCGACCGCCACGAGTTAAGGATGCATGGAGACCCAGAGGACTTCAAATACGCGTGCAAGCAGTGCCCTAGCAGGTTAGTTATAATAATGTAACGTAGTCAGATTGTTGTAGCGTAGTTAGATTACAATGTAACGTAGTCAGATTATAAGGTAACGTACTCAGCAAGCCAAGGTAACGTAGTCAGATTACAATGTAACATAGTCAGATTACAATGTAACTTATTCAGAATAACACATGTAACTTGCGTTATAGTACTCAAATGTATGAAAATTCATTCGCAGATACATGAAACTCAACGAACTTAAGAAACACACATACAAATGTCACCCAAAGTCGAGAAGTAAGAAGATGGCCGATGATGACGATGAAGATGACGAAGCTAAGTGATTCTGTGCTGATAGGTTTGTTTTACAACTTAATAAAGGCTCCCCAACCCGTCTGGCCAGCGTGGGGAGTGTAAGCCAAGCACATGGTGGACAGACGACCTCGTAAAGGTAGTAGGAAGATGCAGGACGCTAAAGCCCGGTCCGTGAGCACGTAGAATTTTGTCCAATGACCCCAAGCTACTCATCCTTATCGCTCGCGCGTAATTATATTGCTGTCGCGACTGTGCGACGGGCGCCCGCAGTGAGTGTGCGAGCGCGATAGCAACATAATTACGCGCGAGCGATAAGGATGGGTAGCTTGGGGTCATTGGACAAAATTCTACGTGCTCACGGACCAGACTACACCAACCGGGCGATGTGGAAATCATTAGGGACTTATGTTTAGTAGTGGACGTCCTGTGGCTGAAATTATCACGATGAAGAAATAAGTACTACCCGGTCGAATGAGGTTTTTGCGAATGAAAAATCCGTCAGATGGCAATACGTAGATGCGAGGTTCAAATGCTGCATGATTGGTTATTTTTGACATGACATTATTGACAGATATGTCAAAATCCACCAATCACGCAGCAGTCAGACCCCATATCCACGTCCCGCCATCTAGCGTATCTTTCATTCGCGAAAACCCTCATTAACTGCGTACCTCGTGGCCGTGACGTCACATAGACGTTTGAGTACAACCCGGTCGAAATAACTGAGCATTTGGCAGCCGTGACGTCACATCGGCGCTCTGGTACGGACGGGGTGAACGCGGGGAGGTGTCAGGTGCGCAGTTAGCTTAGGGTTGAAGTGACGAAATTCAAATTCAAAATCTTTATTGCTAACTGACAATTTTGTATGGTATAAATTACGTAGACAAAGAAATGGACATTCGCTATAGAATGAGACGGCATGTTTTAGGTGAATATAGTGGTAGTTTCTTAGGTGCGCGTGCGCATATAACAGGATAGGTACTTACTGGGCAGGTATGTTCCACCCATAAAGTTCATATTCCATCGGAATAGAGCAACAACCACGAGCTCTCAAACGAAACCGATTTTAGATGACACTGGATGTTATTTGTGTGTCAGTTGTCAAGATTATTTCACTGTTTTGTACCAATTTAATCACTGAACCAGGGTGACGTTTCTGAAGCACTATTTCATCCACCATTTCACTTACGCAAAATCTGAAAAAAAATTCAGAGCTTATATTTTCAGCGTGCCAATGAGTGCTGTCAATTAGATGCAAAAATGGTTCTGTTTGATGTGACAGCGACTGCATCACGCATCTCTTTTTATCACACAGTGTTGCTGCTAGTGACATCTCGCTCGCTCAGTTCTTTGTTGCTCTATTCCGCTAGGTATAATAACTTTATGGTACCATTTTTAGACAGCATCTCACTTAACATCATGTGCGATTGCGGTGAAATACCTGCTTTGTACTGCATAAAAAAAATTGGTCTACATATCTCACTACGAAAAAGATTTTACTATTTATTTTTATGTATAAAAGGATTAGAACTCTTTTCATAAATTTCAAAATCACGTTTTGAGTTAAAGAATGCTTTGTCACTTTCTTTCAAATGATGATTTTGCTGTGATGAAAAGAGAAGAGACCACAGTTGTTAACCCTTATTTGGACAACATTTTTATTGTTTTTGGACATAAGACAAAGTAATAAAAGTAAAAGGTCATAATATTATAGGTTCTGTGTTAAGGGTCTGTTTTCATATTTATAAATAAGAATTTGTTTTAAAGGTGTATAATTTTATAAATACTGTAAATAAAATTATTGTAAAATGTTAAATGGTTCTCGATTAATATAAATAGTGTTAATTTATTTTAAATATTTTAAAGGATATACGATAATGTGCTCTAAAACATTGTAAATAAAATACAAATCCGATCAGTAGTCCTTCTTCCTTCAGTTCGAGTCACAAGGCACCAAAGGTAGTTGGCACCACTAGTCCAATTGGCATACTTTTTAGGGTTCCGTACCCAAAGGGTAAAAGCGGGACTCTATTACTAAGACTACTGTCCGTCTGTCACCAGGCTGTATCTCATGAACCGCGATAGCTATAGTCTGGTCTGCGAGCACGTAAAATTTTGTCCAATGACCCCAAGCTGACTGCGGGCGCCCGTCGCACAGTCGCGACAGCAATATAATTACGCGCGAGCGATAAGGATGGGTAGCTTGGGGTCATTGGACAAAATTCTACGTGCTCACAGACCGGACTTTAGACAGTTTAAAATTTCACAGATGTATTTCTATTAAATCGCTATTTTAACTGACAACGCCACTATTATGGCGGAGTTTTGGGCTAACACTGTAGGTTTCAATAATTATTGCTTGTCGTCACGACAAGAAGAAGCTATATCAACAAATTGAAAACGATTGTCAAATTATCGGTTAATGGTGTCAACTATCTTTTTTATCCAAATGTTTTTTAAATATGTAAATAAGATATTAAATGTAAATACTATTGTGAATATTTTTATTAAGATTTTTGAAATGTACATTTTAACACTGACAGAGCAATGACGGTCATATTATTAGCTAGCTGTTGTTTTAATAGCTGTTTATAATATCTTATTTGAAATAGCCCTCACTGTGGCGTGGGAAGGGTTAATGGTTTTTTTATGGCGAATTTTGCAATTATTTTTTTAATTTTGTTGTATTTGTAAATGTTTTTAGGCCATTATTGTCATTGTAAAGTTGAAAATTTGTTGGTACTGAGGTATGTTTTGTGTAGTTTTTGGCGAAATGGAGTTTGCACAAATCTAGTTAAAAGGTTAAATAAAAAAGGTATGTTAAAATTAGGAAAACATGTTTGTAATGAGGGCTATCGTTTTTATACTTAACAGTTGGCACCCCTGGCGATTGACAGGACCTTACTCTACAGTGGCGCCATCTTGATGAGTGCAAATGCGATAGTCCTCCTACCACTTTAGCGCTCACCAGTTGGTGCCACTTTCTTCGCTACTAGCAAGTGACAGGACCTTACTCTACAGTGGCGCTAACTGGTGAGCCCTAAAACGATAGCCCTCATTAGGTAAAGAAAGATTGTTTTTCAGGTCTATCTAGGTCACTGTAGCTCTAGCGCTTACCCAGTCAGTGCCTGAGGTATGAAGCGGTACGGAGGGTGTTTTTGTGACGTCAAACGTGAGCGAGACTTCAGATTTGTATGCTCTGTCACGTCATAAAAAGTTCTCCCGCAGCCTCATCAGACTAAACAGGGACAGCATCCGCAAGGTCCTAAGTGTCATAACCGGACACTGTATGCTAAACAAGCACCTATACAACATAGGTGTCACAGACAGCCCACTGTGCAGGGGGTGCATGGAGGCAGAGGAAACACCGCAGCATGTGCTCATGGAGTGCAGTAGCGTGGAAGAACAACGGGCTCAATTTCTTCGATCACCGTCGTCGCTACGGGAGGCCTGCAGCAGCCTAGACGGGCTGCTCGCCTTCTGGGGGGATCTGGGGTGGTTGGAGTAGGAAGATAAACCACAAATCGCGCACAATGGCCCAATCAGGAGGCTAAGTGCGGTATTCGATTGCCCTGCAAAACTAACTAACTAACACGTCATAATATGTAAATGTCACACCTCCCGTGCCGCTCCCATAACTCGGGCACTAACTCACTTATGCGTTGGACCTATAATAATTACGGCAGATGCATAAATCATATCGAATTAGGATTAACTAAATTACATTATATTAATATACCACATTTTTAGCATTTTCAAGTTTATAAATAAGGACCGGTCGCCGAGCAGATATAATTTCGTCCAATGACCCCAAGCTACCCATCCTTGTTGCTCGCGCGGTCGCGACTGTGCGAGCGCGAAAGCAATATGTTTACGCGCGAGCGATAAGGATGGGTAGCTTAGGGTCATTGGACGAAATTCTATGTGCTCGGCGATCGGACTTTACCTGCTCTAAATATGGCTATCCCAACCTCAAGGTGAAAGAAAGTGAGATAATAATGTATAATATTGTGGATTTAACCATTTTTATGCAAAAAATAAATAGGCGATACCACATTTTTTAAAGTTTGAGTCGATATTTTGACATTTGACAACTATCCTACTGTCATTGGTTTTCTATGATTGTGTGGGTGTGGCTCAAATGTCAATTTTCTGACTAATATTGTAGATTGGTAAGAATATATTAAAATATTATTGTTTATACATTGTTTTTGTTAGTTATTGTTTGATTAGTATACATAGTTATTTTCTAGCAATTTTAAATGTAAATAATAGACTTTTCTGTATAATTTATAGAATAAATTATGAGTATTTGGATTTATTTGTATTTATCTACTAAAACCAGTCGTTATTTTAAAAAACTTTAAGGATTTGAAATAAGAGACGGTGAATTAGAATTTAAACTTTATTCTTACTCTAATACTTACATTATCTTATAATTAATACGTAACAAAAAGAAAAGAAAAAACTTTGAGCTTCCAAAGTACGAAACAAATTAACATCAGTATTGGTCAATCTTTAACAAATACTAGAGGAATTTAAGCATTATTTTTACATGTAAACCCGCGTCGTGTTGTCTCGCTCTCTCAGCCCAGAATACTAGCAGAGTAAATACAAATGAGTAGGTCATCTTCATAGAAACGCACCGAGCGCGGTTTGTATGTGAGCGCGCCAATATACAAAATTCGGCGCAACCATGACTGGCTCCCCGCTAATCCCCGCTAAATTTTGTCAGTGTGTGCGTGCGCGCCGCATACGTATTGGCGCGCTCACATACAAACCGCGCCCATGCGTTTCTATGAAGATGACCTACTCATTTGTATTTACTCTGATACTAGTAAGAGAGAAAGAGAGACACTGAGAGAGTCAAATATTAACATTTAAGTTGTTTTTCAATATCTTTTGGTGTATTAAGTTATGAAGAACAGTTTTAAAAACTGGCAAGCGAATAATTAAATTGTACTGTGTAGTAATAAATGAACATTTAGAACACAACTTAAATATTAAAGACATTCACGCCCGTTTTCACCTTCAATCCCTAATTTTTAAGTGACCCCTATGGTAACACAACAGGAATTTTGTTTTCAAAAGGGTCACTTAAAAATTAGGCATTGATGGTGACAATGGCCATTAATAAATGTAGTAAAATTGAAGTGATTTCAAGACAGATGAAATCAAAATGAAAAAGCTACCAAAAAGGTTCATTTTCGCATGGCAATACTAAAGGATGTTACCATTAACAAAATACTTTTAAATGGTAATAATACAATCTGTATTTTCGCCGATTTGACAATCGAAGCATAATATTTTTTTAAAAAAAGCAATGGCATAAAGAAATCAATAAAAAAAAATACTTCACATTGATTGAAACTACCCAAGAAGTGGCATGAAGCGAGGTTAATGGCCGTTTGCACCATCAATCCCTAATTTTTAAGTGACCCCTATGAAAACAAAATGCCTGTTAAGTGTTACAATAGAAGTCACTAAAACTTAGGGATTGATGGTGAAAACGGGCATAAACTTCACCAAGAGTAACGAATTTAGGTATAATTTTGTATGAATACGCCAACATAGCAAACTTAAGACAGCTCACATGAAATTGTACCTTAAATAAATCACACTTAGTTCTATTGTACCACAGAGACGGTGGATCGTATAGTGAAGCATGAATAGCACAATCTATTTACTTAAAAGTCAAAAATTAGTACCCGAGTAGTGCTTTTTTTGTTGAAAAACAAAAATATAAAGTTCTTCAGGAATCAAAATTATTTTAGTTGTTTACAGGAGACGTAGGACATAGCAGAGTTGCAATAACTATAATTATAGAAATATTGGTCACAGAGAAACGTAAGGTGGTAGGAGTAGCTTGTGAGTGAAGTTTCCTTTCTTGGAGTCATTCTATACACATTTTTACGTTAATTTTTATTATTGCATCGACTAAAGCGTCAACCACACCAACGCGTACATAATATCGCCAACGCCGCACGGTGGTCTGAAAATGAAGCTCCCATACCATAGAAACTTAATGTCAGAAATTAATAAATAAAAATATGCATTGTGTTTAGTATACCTCCCTTTGTTTTACTAATATAGTATGAAGGGTATGAGTAGCTCCATGTGTGAGAAAAAAAATATTTTAATTTTTTTTGTATGGAAAAAAACACTTAAAGTGGATTTTTTTTAAACTGAATAGAACTGAAGGGCTGGTACTCACATGAGCTATTGCACCATACACGGCGATCAAGATGACATACAATTCTTGTGCCTTTGGGTGCCGCTTTGCATGTACCAAGCTTTGGAAGTTTTGAATTTTCGGTAGGTGATTTTTCAAGTCTTTGATGTTATTTTATGAAGTTATTAACCGCTTTCAATACGAGAATAGTATGTAAATTAATACTCATATAACTAGGAATATACTAGGGATATTTTTAAATATTTTTTATTTTGAAAATATAAAAAAATAAAACGTTTAATCATTGAATGAAGTAACCAACCAGTTGGTAACTGACATTGTTATTAGTTCATCATTTCAGCCATAGGACGTCCACTGCTGAACATAGGCCTCCCCCAATGCTTTCCATGTTGATCGATTGGCAGCGGCCTGCGTCCAGCGCTTCCCTGCTACCTTTACGATGTCGTCGGTCCACCTTGTAGGTGGACGTCCCACGCTGCGTTTTCCGGTACGCGGTCTCCATTCCAGAACCTTTCTGCCCCATCGGCCGTTAGTTCTGCGTACTATGTGCCCTGCCCATTGCCACTTCAGCTTGCTAATCCGTCGGGCTATGTCAGCGACTTTGATTCGTTTACGGATCTCCTCATTTCTGATTCGATTTCGCAAAGAAACACCAAGCATAGCCCTCTCCATAGCACGCTGTGCAACTTTGAGCTTCTGTATAAGGCCTATAGTGAGAGGCCACGTTTCCGAGCCATAAGTTATCACTGGTAAAACACATTGGTTATACACTCTAGTCTTCAGGCATTGACGTATTTTGGACGAAAAGATGTTGCGTAGTTTCCCGAACGCTGCCCAGCCGAGTTGGATTCGACGATTGACCTCCTTCTCAAATTGGACCTACCTAGCTGGATCGTTTGTCCGAGGTAGACATACTTGTCGACAATCTCGAGAATTGAGCTCCCAACTGAAACTGGGTAAGGCGCAACATGGACATTCGACATAAGCTTCGTTTTGTCCATGTTCATCCTCAGACCTACCTGTTGGGAAACTCGATTAAGGTCTTCGAGCATTGTGCCAAGATCTTCCAACGATTCTGCCATATCCACAATATCGTCGGCAAACCGAAGGTGAGTGATGTACTCGCCATTAATGTTTATGCCGAATCCTTTCCATTCCAGGAGTGTTATTAGTTACTAACCTGCTAATGACGTTTTAATGAAAATAATAGAAATCAATATTGATTAAATAAAGAATTTAAAAAATCGAACTGCCTAATAGGCCAGTAGAATTACATTTGAAATCGGAAATAATTCCTACAAAAGATTTTATTGTTTTAATAGCTTCATTTGTTACCCATTAAGACTATCCTAAATTTTCGACTTCGACGGAGTTGTGCTTAAGTGGTGGGGGCCCCCGAAAGGGGCGTTTTTTCGGTTTTACGGTTATATCGTGTAAAGGACTTACCCTATCGAAAACTAATAAATAATAAATAAATAATAATTCATAATACATATCATATTATGTATTGGACAAACCGTTCTCGTGCTTATCTTCGTAAAAGTACAAAATGTACGTATAATTATTGACCCTCTCTACGTCCAATGACTCGTCACTCGCAGGCTCCCAAGCCTTGTAAAGGGCCGACTCAACCAGTTTAACCCTGTCAAGGCTTAAGAGCTGGATGCACCTATCCTTGTTCGTCCTAGCCGTTCCTTAACTGCGGTTACTGCACCTCTTCCTCGGTTGAGGCGGTCCTTTTCAAAACTTGGAATCCTGCGGGTATCGAGCCATTGGACGTGGAGAGGATCATTAATTATACGTACATTTTGTACTTTTTCGAAGATAAGCACGAGAACAGTTTGTCCAAAACATATGAATTTGGTCTTATTCAATGCAGGATTAAATGCTCTTCATCCGTCATGAAGACCAGTTTTCGATAGGGTAAGTCCTTTACGCGATATAACCGTAAAACCGAAAAACGCCCCTTTCGGGGGCCCCCACCACTTAAGCACAACTCCGTCGAAGTCGAAAATTTAGGATAGTCTTAATGAGTAACAAATGAAGCCATTAAAACAATAAAATCTTTTGTAGGAATTATTTCCGATTTCAAATGTAATTCTACTGGCCTATTAGGCAGTTCGATTTTTTAAGTTGTTTATTTAATCAATATTGATTTCTATTATTTTCTTTAAAAGTCATTAGCAGGTTAGTAACTACTAACAATGTCAGTTACCAACTGGTTGGTTACTTCATTCAATGATTAAACGTTTTATTTTTTTATATTTTCAAAATAAAAAATATTTAAAAATATCCCTAGTATATTCCTAGTTATATGAGTATTAATTTACATACTATTCTCGTATTGAAAGCGGTTAATAACTTCATAAAATAACATCAAAGACTTGAAAAATCACCTACCGAAAATTCAAAATTTCCAAAACTTGGTACATGCAAAGCGGCACCCAAAGGCACAAGAATTGTATGTCATCTTGATCGCCGTGTATGGTGCAATAGCTCATGTGAGTACCAGCCCTTCAGTTCTATTCAGTTTAAAAAAAATCCACTTTAAGTGATTTTTTCCATACAAAAAAAATTAAAATATTTTTTTTCTCACACATGGAGCTACTCATACCCTTCATACTATATTAGTAAAACAAAGGGAGGTATACTAAACACAATACATATTTTTATTTGTTAATTTCTGACATTAAGTTTCTATGGTATGGGAGCTTCATTTTCAGACCACTGTGCGCCGGCGCGATCATACGCCAATGACAGGTCGCGCGGACTGTCATGGGCCTATGATCGCTCCGGCGATGGCGAACTGCACGCGTTGGTGTGGTTGAAGCTTAAATGCCATCAATTCTTTAGTATGGCTACAAACATGTACTGTGATTTAAGTATTCTAGCCTCTATTACAACTGCAACTGCTAGTTTGATCCAGCAATGGGTGACCATACATAGATTTTCTTTTTCCTATCTAAATGTCTAAAGACGTAAACAATCATCCTGTTGTGTCCTACTTCCAGCGTAATAAGGCTCTCCAGATCAAAAAAAGTCAGAAATGGTGTTCTTAAAATAGTTTTTACAATTTGTCATTATCACTGGCACGCATACTGTGAATAGAGGATCTTGGACTAAGTAAGTGAATGTAACGTCAAAATATTTTCTTACATAAAATATCTGGAAGTATTGTAGTAGAGACCATACAAATAGGAGTGCCATTGGGCATAAAATGTAATACAACCAGTAAATTAATTCAAAAACTAAGTTGTAGCAATGTATCCTGTACCTTCAGGTATAATTTACAAAATCTCCCAGTGACCAAAACTTTTCACGACTAAAGAAACGTTTCAAACGTTACCAAACACTTGTTGCCCCCACACAGTATATGTTACCGTAAACTAAAGAACTTACATCTAGTCACTCTGCCCTGCCGCTTGACGTAGCAAAACATATATTTTTTCCTTTATCCAGTCCTTGTTGTATGGTGCGTATGTGTTCGTGGATTTCTGGTATACGAGACAGCTGAGATCCGCAAGCTGGAATTTGGAGATAATACAAGTTTTAATATTATATTTCAGATCATTATTACAACATTTCTTTGTTTGGGCTAAGATGACGCAGTGTAAAATGTCCAAAGATAGGTACTTATTATGCTTCAGCACTTTAAAAAACACCAATGTATATCTTCGAGGACATAAAATGTGTTTACGGGACTACTCCCATCTCTCGTTCCCACTGCTGCAACTCCTGTATAGCCAGGATCTATAGCTTGATTGCCAATAAAAACCCAACCAGAAGGCCAAGTTTGTCCTCAATGAAAGTTAAACTGTCATTGGACCCGCAAGAATTAAGTTATCAAAGCACTAACTGTTAAATAAAATGCTTACACAGTAACACATAAACACACAATGGTTATTTGTGAGCTGTATCAGGTTACATCAATCAGTAGCACTGTGCATGATACTTTTCCATGTAATTTTACATGAAATGTTTGGTATAGACTTCACTATGAAAATTTTGTTCATAACAAATTAAGATTATTTCAGCCAAAAGTGAGTTTATATGTTGCTGCTAAGTTTATATTCCAATGATCACCTAATTACTACATCTTTCGCAGTGTTTCAATGTAAAATTACGGCTATAAATACAATATTTTGGTACCTGATCGACAAAATCAAACAACTGCGAGATGTCGTAGGTGATTGTAGGCGTATTCGGGTTTCGCCTCTTCAGATGCTCCTCATAGATCTTGCAAACGCCTTCCATACAGTCGTTTACACTCTCGTAGTCTGAATAGGTCCTAGTTTCAGGCCTTGGGCCAGGTTGGACCAGCAAAATTGTGTGAGACTGAAAAGCAACATAACCTCAACATTGCCGCCATATTTTTGAAGTGTCGTAATTCAAAGAAGTGTTGAAAGGAATTACTTACCATTTTTGATTGTAAATGAAAATTTTAGACTTTAATCTTAAATTTAGGTTGAAACAAAAGGTAAAACAATTTGTTTCGAGAAATATCGCCGCTCGATCCAATCGTGCTGAAGCTTTTTAAACGTTCTGAAATGTTGACTAACTTGGACTAACTGAATTTTAGTTCTACACAGTCACAGAAGCAATTTTAATCGTTTTATTTTGTACGGGAGAATGTTTTAAAATGGTCAAATTAATAATTATTTTGTATTATTAAGTCAGTCTTATTGAAAATAATGCAACAATGATATTTTAAACTCAATTTGAAATCTTTGATAAACTTCATCACAGATGAGACAGGGACTTCATTGATAGAAATTATTTATTTCTGAACGAAATTAAGTCGGTGTTATTCATTACACGCAAGAAATAATAATTTCAAAATGTTTGTATTACTCCCAAAATTTACAAAAATACTTCTTTAAATAATAAATATACTCTTAATAATATTAAATTATAAATTTCGCCACACTTAAAGAGATTGTTTAATAGAAAATTAATGATTTTTTTAAAATAACAAAATAATGATTTTAGTGTTGGGTTTGAATGCGTGTAATGAAATTGAAAATGTCAATTTGTTGTCAACAAAAGGATACGAAAATAAAAATATTTCGCGCTTTGTATTCTTTACAAAATAGCATAAATTCAATTCACAATTTAATGCTGTGCAAACTACAATTCAACTTGTATAATAACCTAGTGATTTGTTACAAGAAAACCATTTCTTTTTATGTAATCTAACAAACACAAACGCGCATTGAACACTAAGTAAAATTAACGCTATTCTAAAAAGAATGAATGATTCTGCCGATGTTATTAGTGATTTCGAAGAGATCTTGAAGAACAACACCAAGAAGCAACCATTGGCATTATACAGAGACCAAAAAAACAAGGATAGACCAAATACTCAAGGTCATTCTTCTAACTTAATTCAAGATGTGATTTCAAGTGTTTCCCACCAAATCAAAGCCTTTCAACATGCAGACAGTCTTGTTCCCAGTAAACAGAACAGATATAAATTGGATAAGTACAAGAAATCTACATTTTTAACTGTGAATATTTTGTCACAACATTTTGAGGTAAGTTAGCATCATTTTTTAAATTTTGGGATAAATAACCACCATAGAATGTGTATGTCATCATATTATCTACATCTACACTTCTACACTAATATTATATACATAGAGGAAAGATTAGATTATTTGTTTCTTTGTATTGAATAAGATCCAAAATTACTGGACCGATTTGAAAATTTATTTCACCATTAGAATCCTATATTATTTCTTATACGGCGGTACGAAGTTCGCTGGGTCAGCTAGTTAAGGTTTAATATGTACATTTACTGTTAACAACTTGTGCCTTCAATAATTATTTTAGTAGCTATTATTCTTGATAGTGTTTATCAAATTATTAATTTAATAAAACTATTTTTTTCCATGTTTGCACACTGATGATTCAAGTACATACATTTAACTATTAAAATCATCAATGATAATACTAACAATAAGAAAATATTTTAGGAACCACACAAGCCACCCGCAGCCAAATTCGAGACCCAGTTGGTCTCCGACAGTCAACTCATTCATATAATCGACAATGCAGAAGCCCTGGCCAATAATGGTATCACACAAGAATTTGATTGTACATTCTCTCAGACGGATCTACAGAAACATGTTCTAACCGAACACAACGATAGCCACGATAAAGAAATTAACAATAAACTTAACGATGACGGTTCTAGCATTTCTAATAATGATATTGAGATTATTAATAAAGAAGTTGATAGTCCTGTAGTTAAGGATAATAATCAAGAAATGGAAACAGCTGACAATAAATCAACTGTTGGTGATGATGAAATACTTATTTGTAGTAATAAAACACAAAATGATACACAGCTAAATGATAACTGCACAGAAATGCTCAACAAATGTCTAGAAATCGAGACAAATATAAACGAACTAGACACAGATGATAAAGACGATGAAGAAATCCAACTTAGTCTTGTATTTGAAACTAAGAAGTCTAAAACACCATCGCCTTTAGTGTTTGATTTAAGTAAATTTGAAAGTTTCGAAAAAATAGCAGTTCCAATCGTAGAAGAGAGCGCAGACTTTAAATCCGCTAAAAAACTGATAAACTCGCAAATAATAGGAAAGGAACTGTTTATACAGAGTGAAATACCACACGAAGTAAGCTTGAACGAGGAAGTAAGCCCCGTCCTCAAAATCAGTGCAGAAAGGCTTAAAATCACCAAAACTGTGCAAGCTAAATTACATTTTGAAGAACATAGCACCAAAGCTCATAATCCTGTTGAGATTAGTAAAGAATCTGATGATGTGTTCTTAAAGGATGAAATTCTATTTAGCAGTGATGAAGAAAATGAGTATTTACATAAAGAATTCCATGATATACCCCTCACTTGTGCACTAGAGACGTCATTTTACGAACAACCGGATATGCTGGACAAAACAATGTATGTTGGGTTTCAAACAGCCAGCAATAGGTCTATACAAATATCTGCAGAATCTTTTTCGAAAGCAAAAAGTATACTAGACGATGTAGATAAAGAATCTAAAGTAACATTAACTGATTTGGTAGACAGTTTCACAGCAAAACATGATATGACACCACAGTCAAAAATAAACTCTAAAACGAGTGATATAAAATTGAATTTCGATGCAGCAGTTCAAGAAAACAGAAGTGACTTGATTGAAAAAGAAATAGACAATCTGAAGCGACCAGATAAGCGGAAATTCGAAGGTTTTATGACAGCTAATAGGAAAAAAATCAAACTATCAGATATGGCATTAGCTAGATGCAAAAGGGTATTTCAAGATATTGATATTGAAGAAAATTTCGATGTGGAAGATAGTAGCAATGTTTCAGAAAAACAAGACTTGAAAATAGAAGATAAAGTTAATAATGACAAAATAGAGACAAACCCACAGATAGATGATGATATACTGAATGAATTTGCTCATGATATGTCTCTAATTAATGACGAAAACGACGAAGTGATTAAAAAATCTGGTGCTGATGTTAATACAAAGATAAAGTTCTTTGATCGCATCGATTTTAGCGACCGTGTTCTTGAAAGCAAGTTAGAAGATGAAATTGCCACGAAAGAACCTTCATCTTGTAAGGATAAGCATATAAAAGAAGTAGATTCACACACAGTTTTCATGGGATTCAAAACTGCTAGTAACAATGAGATAAATATATCATCAAAAGCCTTGGAAAAGGCCAAAAATCTATTTGAAGATATAAAGGATGATGATAGTGCTGATTTTACTTCAGCTAATATTAAGAAAACTACTACTGCTGCTTTTGAAATGGAAGATCTTAATCAGCCATCTACCAGTAAAGGTTTTGGGGGATTTAAGACAGCAAGCAATAAGAATATCAAAGTATCCAATGAAGCTTTAGTTAGAAGCAAAAGCATTTTTCAAGATATTATTACTGAACCATGTGAATCTGAACTGAGACCTATAGAAATACATAAAAGTCCATCTCTTGGTTTCAAAACTGCCAATAATAAAGCTATTAGAATTTCTAATGAGGCCTATTTAAAAACTAAAGAAATTTTCAAAGTTATTCAATTTGAAAATACTTCTGAAATTCGAGATAATATGAATAGATCAGAGAAAACAAGCACTAAAGATGTCTTTAAAGATATTTACGTCGATAATGCTTCTGACGCACAAGATAATACGAATAGTGAAGAGAAAACAAGCAACAGAAAGTCAGCAATAGATTCAGATCAAATTAAAGATTTCGATGACGAATTCAATGAAGCGTTTGACACTCAGCTGTTAGATCTAGAAAAAGTACATATTCCAGATCTTTGTGGCTTCAAAACTGCCAGCAATAAGCCTGTTAATATTTCTGACAAAGCCTTAGCTCAGAGCAAAAACGTGTTTAAAGATTTGAGACTCGATGATGATTTGAATTTTGATAAGGAAAATGATAGAGATGTCTTTCCGAAACTTCTAAAGAAATCTAAAACTGAAGGTAAAGCAAATACAACACATAGCGACGTTTTAATAGGAAGTAAGAGTTTTGGAAATGCAATGCTAGATACAGAAATTGCTGCGACTGAAACTGAATATAATAATAGTAACAAAACATCTTATGCTGGCTTTCACACAGCAAGTAAAAAACCAATAAATATATCAGCTGAAGCTTTAGCTAAAAGCAAAGCAATTTTTAAAGAAATAGAAGACGAAAATGTTGATATTTCAAACAAAAATGCCGTAAATAGAAACGAAAAAGTTCCTGAATTTAAAGGATTTCAAACAGGCAGTAATAAACCTATAACTATTTCTGCTAACGCATTATCTAAGAGTAAAGAAATATTCAAAGACTTGGATGAGGACTATGTTAGTAAAGATTTAAATGAAAAACCTTTCAAAGGGATTCAGACAGCTAATAATAAGTCAATAGAAGTCTCAGCCAAAGCCTTAGCTCAAACTAAAGAGTTATTCAAAGATATTGATGATAATTGTAGTGTAAAAGATGGTATTATAACATTTCAAGGATTTCAAACGGCAAGTAAGAAGCCTGTTCAAATATCTGCTGAAGCTTTGATTAAAACAAAATATATTTTCAAAGACATTGATGGACTTGAAACGAATGACGTCACTAAGTTTGCAGGATTCCAAACTTCTAGTAAGAAACCTGTTAATGTTTCCGAAAAGGCTTTAGCTAAAAGCAAGCAAATATTTAAAGATATTGACGGCAAAAAAGATCCTAATGAAAATACTGAAAATAGAGGTACTATCGCTTTTAAAGGTTTTCAAACTGCGAGCAATAAAGCTGTTAAAATATCAGCTGAAGCCTTAGCTAAAAGTAAAGACTTATTCAAAGACATAGATAATGAAGACTTTCCTACTAATCCTTTAAAATCAACAACATTAGAATCTGCATCTAAATTCAAAGGTTTCAAAACTGCTAGCAACAAACCTGTACAAATTACAGACACAGCTCTAGCAAGAAGTAAAGAAATATTTAAAGACATTGATGCTACTGAGAGTGGACTAGCAAATAAAGTCAGTGAATCTAAGTTCGAAGGATTCCAAACAGCAAGTAAGAAACCCGTCAAAATCTCATCTGAAGCTTTGGCCAAAAGTAGGGCGATATTCCAAGATATTAACGAAGAGAATCTTGTAGATAGTCCAACAAAAATAGATGATTTACCCACGTTTAGAGGGTTTGAAACTGCCAGCAAGAAACCAGTACAAATATCTAAAGAAGCACTTGCTAAAAGTAAAGCATTATTTAAGGATATTGATAACGATGATTTGAATCAAATAACTACAAAATCAAGTAATTTTCAAGGATTCCAAACGGCTAATAACAAATCTGTGAAGGTCTCAGAAGATGCCTTGGCTAAAAGCAAAAGAATATTCGATGAATTTTACAGAAGTGAAAGTATGGAAAATGTACTCCCATTTAAAGGCTTCGAAACAGCAAATAAGAAGAAAGTCAAAATATCTGAAGAAGCTTTAGCGAAATCGCGAGAAATATTACAAAGCAAACATTTTAGTGATGACGAGTGCAAAGAAAACTTAGATAACGCTATTAAAGATCAAACACACTTAAGAAATGCAGATGCAAGTTCGAAGCTTGGTAAAAATGATGTTAAAGTCTCAGAGAATGCTTTTAAAGACCCACGAAAGCTTCTAACAGATGTAAAAACAGCAAAAATTGAAGAAAAACTAGATCAAAGAGTTACAGACAATTTAGAAAAACTAATAAACACACAAGTGATTAGCAATTTTGATCAGACTCTTTATACAGAAGATTTTTGCAAAGATTCTACGCCAATTAAATCTAAGAGATCGGGCAGTCCTATTCTCTCTTGCCCTAGAGCCAAAAGGCGTAAATTTAACACTCCCTACAGAAATGATAATAAAACAACTACAGTTGATACTAAAGTTACTCCAAAAATAGATGAAAATTTAATATTTAACGAAGACTACAAAAAGAACAAAAGGTACACTCTTAAAGACCTAGCCAATGTTGAAAAGAAAGACAAATTGAATACCGATCCATACATTTTGAATTTTAGTATGGAAACGTTATTGGATTTCGAATTTTCTGGGCTTAGAAATGATATAACCAAAGGCAAATTTTCTATAGAAGATCTAAAAGAATATTTTCTAAAAGCTGTTAACAAGAAATTAATACCTAACGGGTGGTTGGACAATCATTTGAAATTGATATTATGGAAGCTAATATCATACGAAGTGAAATTCACTCAAACATTGAATAGAGTGTGTACAGCGAAAAATGTTCTAGCACAGTTGAAGTATAGATTTGATAAAGAACTGTACAATGTTGAAAGGCCAGTGCTAAGGAAGATTTTGGAGAAAGATGACGTCGCATCCAAAAGCATGGTGTTGTGTGTTGCCGGGATTTTTGTGGATGGTGTCAGTGTTACCAGGTAAGGTTATATTTTATGATTACTTAGGCTATGCGCTCACGGGTTACTTTTTGTCACCGTGACTGTGCCTATATTTTACATTTTTATAAAGAGAAAAAGAGAGACAACGTATAGTCCGGGCGCCGAGCACGTAGAAATTCGTCCAATGACCCCAAGCTACCTATCCTTATCGCTCGCGCGTAATTACATTGCTGTCGCGACTGTGCGACGGGCGGCCGCAGTGAGTGTGTGAGCGCGACAGCAATACTAGGTAGCTTGGGGTCATTGAACGAAATTCTACATGCTCGGCGACCGGGCTTTAGTAGTTATTCTTATTTAAGGAGAGATACTGTCACGGTGAGAAAAGTAACATGTGCGCGCACTGCGCTCGCGCCTTTATTATCATTACTCTGCTCTGTCGGCCGTTCGGTGTAATGGTTCATAATTATCCACTGTCTGGTATCCATAGGGTGCTTAGTTTGGGACTTAATGGCGCAGTGTAAAATGTCCAAAAATGTTTATTTATTTACTTCATATCATCAGCAACTTATTAAAATCTAATATCATCAATTCCAGTGTTGCCAACCCAATATCAAACGTGGAACTGCTCCTCACAGACGGTTGGTACTGCGTAAAGGCGGTCATAGACAAAATGCTGACGAAACTTGTCTATGAAGAGAAAATAACGGTTGGAAGCAAAATTATGACAAATGGAGCCGAGTTAGTGAATTGTGAACAAGGGGTTGCTCCTTGGGAGGTACGTATAGGTAATCTTCATCATCATTTCAGCCTCAGGACGTCCACTGCTGACAATAGGTCTCCCCCAATGAGGCAACCGCCTCTGTGGTCTAGTGGTAAGACCATCTGCTTCAGACGCAGAGGTCCCGGGTTCGATTCCCAGTGGGGACAGATTTTTCTGTTCGGTTTGGTTGGTGGTAGGGCTTGTTCTAAGTCCGCCTGGCTAGATACCACCATCTTACCTAAGTTTGTCGCCATAACAACAATGTTTGAGGTAAGATAGCCAGTTCCTCCGTTGTTGAGGATTCCGGGTGAAGCTCGCTTCCACCTTCGGCCTGATCATCACTTACCATCAGGTGAGATACAGGCCAAGAGCTTCCTCGTTGTGGATATAAAAAAAAAAGATTTCCACATCACCCGGTTGGTAGCAGCCTGCATCCAGCACAGCACAGCGTTGAATAGAGCTCTGTGATTGGTTCGCGTGTCACCCTGTGCGTCCACATGCACTGTGAGACCTCATAGAATACGGGCGTAAGGCCCGGTTTCCACTAAGGCGAAGCATAGCGAAGAAGTGTTTTGTATAACCCAGTCTTTCCCAAAGTGGGCGATAACGCCCCCTTGTGGGCGCTGCAGGCTTAAAGAGGGGCGGTAAGAGACCCAGAAAAAAAATCGGGATGTTGTGTAGAGGCTTGGGAGGCGTCATCTACTAGGAGGACTCTTAGACATCGACTGAGCTCGACTCTTGACTACAAAAATGGGGGGCGCTAAAAAATAATTTATTCTCAAAGTGGGCATTACACTAAATAAGTTTGGGAACCACTGGATAACCAATCAGATTTCAATATTTCCACTTCTCCGCTACGATCCTTACAGCTCCGCTCCACTCCGCTAGATGGAAACCGGGCCTAAATGACCTGATAATGATCTATATCTTAATTTCAGGACACATCATCAGTCCGTCTAAAAATCTTCGGCAACTCCACGCGCCGGGCGCGGTGGGACGCCCGCCTCGGTCTCCATGGCAACGCGGCCATCTTGACCGAGCTGTCATCTGTCAAGCCGGAAGGCGGGAAAGTTTCGAAGCTCCGTCTGTACGTGACAAGGGTGTATCCGATGCTGTATGTTGAGAAGTTTGAAGACGGGAGCACTGGTAAGGGAATAATCCCTACTAATATTATAAATGCGAAAGTAACTCTTTCCGTCTGTCGCGCTTGCACGCCTAAACCACTGAACCGATTTTGATGAAATCTGGCATAGAGATAGTTTGAGTCCCGGGAAAGGACAAAGGTTAGTTTTTATCCCGGTTTTTGAAATAGGAACGCGCGCGATAAAGTTTATCTGTGACAGACAAATTTTCATGCGGGTGAAGCCGCGGGCAATAGCGAGTATATTATTATTATGTATACGTAGTAGTATTAATCGACATAACAATAATAAAAGACTACTTGCCGGATTTAGAACAAGCCCCAACACAAGCAGAAATTTTGCCCTAACTGGGATTCGAACCCGTTACTTCTGGGTCATCATAGAAGCGGTCAAAGACATGTTGCTATGGCAACGCGGCCATCTTATCCTAGCTGTCATTTGTGACGTAATTTCCGGTATCGAGCAGCCGCATCATTTACGAAGTCAGTAAAATCTTTATATTTAATCTGAAATAATATTTTTTCAGTGACCCGTTCAGAACGCTTGGAGAATATACACCAGATCAAATACGAGTCAGACAGGCAGACAGCAATGGAGAAACTGTACGAAGAAGTGGAGAAAGAATTGTCGGATCAGGTGAAATAACTGTGTACTGAAAATAAAAATGTACAACCCGCCCGATAGAGTTCACTGCGCATCTGGCAGCCGTGACGTCACATTGCCGCTCTGGTACGGACGGGGCGAATTGAAGTGAGGTCAGGCCTGGCTCACTCCGCGCGGTACATCCGATATTTACCTACAGCGAAGCGCCCCGCCGGCGGGTATTATATCAGTCGAGTGTCACGCGCGCGCCCCTCAGGACGCTGGCGTGCGTTGTAGTATGATTATAATTCTATGATCGAAGTATTATTTAAAAATGGACATAAAGAGAAATAAATATTGTGCGGCGTTCGGGTGTTAAAATTCGAAAAGAACTCTACCGGATTTATCTTTTTTTTTCGCTTCCCAAAGATGCTGAAAGGTATGTTGGCCATGTAGGTAATCAATAATTCTTAGGATAGTATAGGAACCTAACCTACCATGACTACTGCTCAGAATTCGTTCGTTCGTTTCAGCCAAATGACGTCCACTGCTGGACAAAGGCCTCTCCCAAGGTTTTCCATAATGAATGCATACTTACCTACATACGTACCTCATTACAAATAAGTACCTAGATTAATTATTTTTTTCACTAGACAGCAACCCTAACAGCGTAAGAAGAGTTCAGAGGCACGCGATAGAAAGAGACAAAACTTGTAGGTGAATAAAATTGTAGGTACGTAGTGCTGTGCGAGCTGAATTCCACTGTATCGCGTCGCAGCAAGACTCGCATTTATTTAAATCGTCTTGCGGAGTAATCCTTCTGTACCTGTACTATTACTTATTCTGTGGTGAGGTGCCCAGTTAGCTCGATCGGATTGTACATAATATATTTATGCATAAATGGAAGATTTTTCTAATGAAAAAAATCTTTTTATAGGAATCTCAAGACTCGATTGGATCTCAATTGAAACATCGAAAACTTTCAGCTGAATTTATGGTGAGTACTAGTTTTCGAACTTGATAAACGGGACTATTCCCACCTCTCGTTCCCACCGCTGCAACTTCTGTGTAGCCAGGATTTACAGCTTGACCGCCAACAAAAACCCAACCAGTGAAGGTCAAGTTTGTGAACCTAGTTCAATTTATGGTGGCAGTACATGGGACAGAACCCTCATAAGACTAGTAGTTTTCAATTTATGAAGAACTTTATTAGCACTCATTTAAAAACACTTTGTTGCAGACGGAATCTCAAACCAAATCCTTAGAAGCGAAATCCAGCAAGAAAAGAGAGAAGCTTTTGCAGAACATCCAAGAGAGAGTGAGAAAGAAGCTAGAAGAACGAGGCTTAGATGTCGGCAGGAACGTCGTTGGATTGTTGAAGATACGGGTCGCTGGAGTGGAGAATAGTGGGGTTACTAAAGGTTAGCTTAGAATACCATCACCATCATCATTTCAGCCACAGGACATCTATTGCTGGACATAGGCCTCCCCCAATGACTTCCATATCGCGCGGTTAGAAGATACATTTTCAGTTAAATCGTACAAAATATACATAAAATGAAATGCAGAGTAGCTTTCTATAGACTAAACTTTTTACAATAGAAAAATCAAAAGACAACTTTCTTATATGAATGTTTCTGCCCCAGCGGCCATTAACATTACGAGTTATTGTCCCCGCCCACTGCCACTTGATTTTAGTACTTAATGCTGCGGGCTATATCGGTCACTTTGGTTTTCCTGCTGATCTCGTCATTTCAGATTCGTGGATAGAAATATCCGAGCATAGCATGTTCAATCGCCCTTTGGGTTACATTGACCCTATTATGGGCCTAATAAGAATGAGGCCCATAGTAATCCCATAGAACATAGTATATTAATTTACTCTTTAATCTTATTTTTTCCAGGTTTCATGTCGATATGGAAACCGAATGTTATGCTGACAGAAATAATCAAAGAGGATTCGTGGATCGAAATTATGAATGTAGTTCCGACTGCTATCAGGTAAGCATCATCATCATTTCAGCCATAGGACGTCCACTGCAGAACATAGGCCTCCTCCAATGATTTCCATAATGACCGGTTGGTAACGGCCTGCATTCAGCGCCTTCTTGCTAGCCTCTATGAGGTCGTCGGTCCACCTCGTGGGTGGACGTCCTACGTCTTAAAATCAATAATTATTTATTTCTGAATTTAAGTACTAGATAAATAATTTTGGCTTAAGTTTTATGTAATAATGACAGTAATATCATTAATATCTTATATTTTCAGGTGCTCAGAAATACACCTGTCAGCCGGACGTCAGTCTATCTTCAGTCAAAGCAAGTACAAAGTGCCCGACAAATTGAAACCACATTTTAAAACGCTGGCCCGAAAGTGCTACCCTGTGAGAGACCTCGCACAAAACCCTTCCATGATGACGGACTTCAATGAAATTGATACTGTTGGTTTCATATTTCAAATCGACGTAGAATGTTCGAAACAATCATTCCAAAATGTGTATCTATCTGACTGTGAGAAGAACATTATTTGCGTCAACTTTTGGGGAGGCCTCAGGAAGTTCGGCTTCCAAAATTTACTAGATACAGGACAAATAATCTCGTGTACGAATCTGCAGAAACGCGCTGGCAACACTAGAAAAAGCATCCCACAGTTCAGGGTTACAGAATTTTCGTTTTTTACCAAAACTCCAAAAAGTTTAGAAGCTAGGAACATGATTATTGAATTTGAGAAGAAAATGTGCGGTGTAGATAGAAAAAAGTTTTGCGAGGAGTGTGTAAATAAGAAAAATAATTACTCCAATAAACATTGTGCAGAAAACGTATCGCCCTATCGATTTCACGAACTGAATTTGACGAAAAACAAAGTTTTTATCGACAGTCCCTTAGCAGCCAAATGTGAAGACAATTTAAACCTTACCGGCCTAGATTTTGAGTCCACATTCCGCCAAGCAGACACGCAAGAACTATCTCCAAAGAGCAAGGAAAGAAAGAGAAAGGTGAACGAAAAGATTTCCAGATTAAAAATGATTGGAGAACCACCTCCTTTGAGTCCGATGAACATTATAAACAAGTCAAAGAACGCGTTCAATTCGTACAAAAGTCCGCTGGCTCAGACCAGTGTTGCCAGTGCGAAAAAATCCACTGAAAATAGTAATAAAAATTATATTCAGTCAAGTCCGATTATTTCAATGAATAGAACTTATGTAAAAAATGTTCACCCTGTTAAGTTAAACTTTTCTAACGTACAAGATAATTCTTTGGAAGAGGAGGACCAATTTGCCGAGGAATTCGATGGCAGCCCACCTTTGAGTTTAGAATAGAGAGATATAATGTAAAAAGTTAATCTACAGCTCGATTAAGCTAACTGCGCACCTCGCTGGAATGCGACTCTTCCTCGCACTCGTTAGCCCCGTTTGTACCAGAGCGTCGATGTGACGTCACGGCCGCCGGGTGCGCAGTTAACTCGTGTTGTACTGATTCTTTTGTTAATATTGTTAGTAGTGGAATATTGTGCCTTTTACAATGACTGTGATGATTTTATCTCGTATTAAAAACTGTAAATTATAATTTTAGATGCTTTTTAAGTTTTTTTATAACAGTAAAATGTGTTAAAATTTACATTTTCTAGAAGTGAAAAACATAAGAAATTTAGTTTTGTATTATGGTTAAGTTTTAATTTGTAATTATGTAAGTATTAATGTTGATTTGATGTAAATTGTTAATACAAAATTTTTACTTATTACTTTGGCTTGTTTTTTATCCCTATCAATAGAAATCAGAGGCTCCTAAACTTGTCTGCTCACCATATTGCTCACTTGCAGGTAGGTAAACTACTATCCGTTCGCTTTAAGTTTGCCGCTGGCGATATGACGTCACTCGAAAGGAAGCGTCTATAACGTTATCAAACTGGATTTAAAATATTTTTTATTTATTATTATTGTAAAATAAGACACATTAATTGCCTTTAATCACTAACTAATTGCGTTTAATCGCGGTTGGGGGAGGGGACGCGCATTCCACGGACCGTCAAACTTAGCGCGAACGGGTAGTATTTTTGTCACTTGTATTAAATGAGTAGATTTATTTTGTCTAGTTTGAACAATAAGCAAGCATGCCCATAAGTCCCTTTAATAAAGCTAGATAATTTTTGGCTAAAAGAAGAAGTTAGAAAGCTTCTCTGTGAAAACGGAATTTGAGAACTTTTTCTCTTATTTAGTAATTCCCGAAATATTACATGGGAATAATATGCCCTAATATGCTACGGAATTAATTCTTGTGTCGGATAAAACTATTATTTCATTTCTGAAATACGAAATGTAAAGTTTTACTAGCTCCGTAAACATCTTTCAAACCAGCTGAGCGAGCTGTCAACTCAAGGTGACCTTCAAAATCGGTCGTGTTTGACGTCTTCTAACCTCCAAACCTATTTCTGTTTGAATTTCCTACCCGCGCAGACATGTATTTTGCGTCGAATGCACGTAAATAACTCGTCAAACCTCACAATCGTGAATAAAACATCGATTTAACACGTGTACTGTGGACATTTCAGTGATAATTCAGTGGTTTTCAACCGCCCGTTCCAGTGCGAAAGTTTCTTTTTTAATTTATTGGTAAGTTATTTTTCATTACTTTTCAATGGCTCACGACGTGTCGCACCATTCATCCGGCGTCGTGGATAAATATAGCTCGCATTACCTAATGTTTGTTGTCGTAAATTCGCATTATCTTCGTAGTGCGAATGTACTATATTTTCGATACAGTTTCGCCGTAACCCAGCCCTGTTTTACTATTTTCCTGTTCCTACAACTGTTGGAATGTCGCGTATTTACTAATTTGAATTTTAAATTGGGACTTAAATTACGACGTTTTTAATATGCCTTCTTAGGACATATTGAAAACTTGTAAGTTAATTTAAAAACAAGAATAAAACTTGGTAAATAGATTTTCTAAAATGTTCTAAAACATCCTTCCTGTTAAATACTCAATATTGTAAAAAGGAAGGAAAAAATTTATTTGAATAAAGTTTACTATTAATTAATGAATTATAATCTTTGTAACTTAAAATTATAAATTAAACTGTTCCTACTTACTACTGGCTTTCATGGAACATTGTAACATTTTTTTATTAGATAGTGTTTCAATGGATAAATGCAAAAGATTTATAAAAAGGTAAAACTAAAAGATAAACCTAAAATATTTTATCAAGATGGGGACCAATGGAGGATTTACTTTAGTTTTAAATTGGTTTAAAGTGTAAACATTTTTATTGCATGCTTCATTCTGAAACTGACCAAAACTTGATTTTTACAATAAAATTCTACTTTCACTTTTGGAATGTGAAATGAAATGAAATTATTTACAGTTACACTTACATAAAATTTATATGAATAAGAGAGTTTCGATTTTTGATAAAAAACTTTTACATACATTTGCTACATACATATTAAATTACAGTAAATTAGAATATCAATAAAGACTGTAAAGAAAGAAAGAAGAAAAATATTTGTGTGGTAGGTACTTCATTTAGGTACTGGTTAAGAATTCAAAACATTGTAAACATTGCAAAAGTTTTTATCAGTTTGTTAATATAAAATCAATTAATATTCTGCTCTGTTTTAAGAACATTATAAATTATCTTTTTTTATGTAAGTTCAACAAATATCATATGGTGTCAATCCCATTTAAATTATTAATACATATAGGTAATTTGAGCAGTTCAATATAATTTTTATCAACCAGAATGATGGGCAAAATAAGCTATACATTGTGATATCTTTAGCAGTTGTAACAAGCATCAATTTGCAATAAAATTGTATAGATTGATGTGCTATTGACTGTTCATGGTAACAGTTATTTCAATTATTAATTAAATTAGCCAAAAATCTTGTTATACTAATGATGGCTGACAAAATTGACTGAGTTTCTTCTGCCACTTCTTCTCAACACCAGCCCATATGTTGTCCTGAAGTGGTGGTAGGGCAAGCTATATTTGGAACGTGTTACATAAGTGGCCTGGAAAGGGCCTATGTACTGAATAAACTATTTGATTTGATACCTATTGCCTAGAAATATGTAACTTATATCCAAACCATAAGATATACTCAGACGTCATCTTAATTTATTAATGAAAAGAAGAGTTATTAAATAACAGTTATTCTTATCAAAGAAGTGTTTGTGAAAGTGAATCGCAAATTAATTGATAAAATACGGACAATTCTTGACGAATCAACCTGATAATCTTAAGACTCAATTATGCCCTCCTTTTCTTATTCGAAAGACGTCCACTGCTGGACAATGGCCTTCCTCAATGATTTCCACAACGGCCGGTTGGTAGCGGCCTGCATCCAGCGCCTTCCCGCTACCTTTATGAGGTCTTCGATCCATCTTGTGGGTGGACGTCGTACACTGCGTTTTCCGGTACGTGGCCTCCACTCCAGAAACTTGCTGCCCCATCGGCCGTCAGTTCTGCGTACTATGTGCCCTGCCCATTGCCACTTCAGCTCGCTAATCCTTGACTTGACTTATGGTCCTATGTCCCCTAGACGGGGCAGAGGGCGTCCACAACAGTCCTCCATCGCGTTCAGTCTTGAGTTACGCGTTTGATCCGCTCCAAGTCTTGCCGATCTTCTTCGCCTCGTCTGTCACAGTGCGCCGCCAAGTTTGCTTGGGGCGACCATGTTTGCGTTTTCCTTGGGGGTTCCAATCCAGAGCCTGCTTGAACCCAGATCCCTTCGGAGAGTGTGACCAATCCAGTTCCACTTGCGGCGCTTGATCTGCTGATCGATCGGAATTTCGGCTTGGTAATCCGATGATGATTATTTATCACGTAGGGAACATGTCAAGACTCGACAGTTCCATGATGGCGTGATGAAGAACTATGATGATCACGTCACTACGCGTGCGTGTTGCGATTGCGTGACAATACGTCCATAACATGCGACTGATAACGCTTATCAGTGGAGTCAAGGAACGTTATTCAATCGGTTGTCAACGGTTTTTATCACAAATAAAAATCCTTTATTCAGTACTAAGCCCTTTCCAGGGTGCTAACATACGTCCCAAATAGCCCTACCACCACTTCGGGACAACATATAGGCTGGTGCTGAGAAGAAGTGACGGAAGAAACTCAGTTAGATATATTCTTTCTTGTATCAACGCAACTGATGAGTACCCAGGATCTATCTACAATTTGACCCTGGGACAAACATGACCTTCACTGGTTGGGTTCTTATTGGCGATCAAGCTGTAGATCCTGGCTACACAGGAGTTGCAGCGGTAGGAACGAGAGGTGGGAATAATAGTCCCGATTTTGCCTAGACTAAGATCCTGGTATTCCTGGTCTAGGCCAATAAAAACCCAACCAGTGAAGGTCAAGTTTGTCCCGGTCTAGGCAGCTAGACTTAAAACCGACTGACTGTTGTGGTACAAAAAAGCAGAACGAATTAGTTATTGTTTATGTACATAATAATTATGTACTTCACTAACCATGTAACTATCTATCGATAATACGGTCTTCTAAATACGATAGTCGACCTTAACCCCCTTAATATTAGGCCATTTTTCCACGGCACAGTAATCTTGAACTCTTACGTTACGCAACGTTTTGATAAGATAATTTATATCACAATACTACTATGATCTCATGTTATACTACTTCGTATTGTTTTCCTGTAAACATGTGGAAATTGTATATCGTTTCATCCACGAAGACGCGCCCCACCATTCTTCCGCTAATGTTTGAGTGTTACCGGACTTACTTACCGGTACACGCTAAATTATCCATGAGTGCACACGAACACCTACAATAATGACGCTTGGATTGCTCGGATCTAACTCCCCGCACCCCGCGATTCCCTCGACCAAAAATTGGTGGGGCGCGTCTTCCTAGATGGCACGATCTATATGATTTTTTGTGAAGGAAGTCGAAATAAAAAAATTACCAACTAGGTAAATCTGCCGCTCCTTAAAATTTTGCCGCCTTAGGCTTTATTTAGCTGCTGATAAATCCGCAACTGCTTCATCTATTGTACGTTTCTTAGCCTAGGCGCAGACCACCGACTTTTAGTTGGCCGATAGTTGACCCGATTTTAATTTCTATGAAGAACCGGCCGATAGCAAATCGGTGTACCTAATGTGCGCACTTTCATACACCTCCATACCGATTAACAGCCCGACCCAACTATCGGCCAACTAAAAATCGGTGGTCTGCGCCTAGGCTAGCTATAATAGTAGTTTTCTCGTCGATGGGACAAGTGCCTACAGCAATCTAAATCAGAATGATCAAGTCAATTGAGACCGTTGTAACTGAAATAGGCATTGAAAGATTCTTTTCATATTTTTGCAACTTATAAGACAAAACAGAATAACAACATGTTGATAATGCTATCAGTTATGGAAATAAATTATTCATTGATCAATTTTTATACCTCTTTAACATAGTACAGTTAGGCTCAGTAGGATAAGTATTACCAAGCCTCGGACGAATGTTTTTTGTTATCCACAACAAGGAAGCTCTTGGCCAGCATATCACCTAATGAAAAGTGACGATCAGGCCGAAGGTGGAAGCAAGCTTCACCCGGAATGCTCAACCACGGAGGAACTGGCTATCCTACCTCCAACTGACGACAGACTTAGGTAAATGGTGGCTAGCCAGGCGGTTATAAAACATGCCTTATGCCCGTTTTCACCATCAATCCCTAATTTTTAAGTGACACTTATGGTAACAAATAATAGGAATTTTGTTTTCATAGGGGCCACATAAAATTTAGGATTGATGGTGAAATCGGGCTTAGTCAACCAAACCGATCAATAAAATCTGTCCACACTGGGAATTGAACCATTCCTACTCTACTGCGTTTCCACCAGAGATGTGCGAGGATGCGTAGCGAGGGATGTGTTTGTAAAGAACCAATAGATTCGCTTCATTTACAGAGGCGCGGTAAAGTTACTGTATCTTTTTTGATGTTACTATGTCAATATCGTTTGTGTAGGCTTATCAAAACAACCAAGTCTCAAGTGGTAGTTTGAATATCTCATTTATTCCAAATATTTGGTTGTTTATCTTGGTTTTATCAAATGTTTGCGTACACATGTTTTGTACGAGTACTATCTTATAGTACGAGTAGGTATATTCAGTGCCGTCTTTACAATAAAGTCCGTACTAGCTGACTAACATACATCTCAAATCAAATCAAAATCAAATAATTTATCTATGCAAGTAGGCTCCCTAAGGCCCAGAACAGACGGTGAAATGCAACTGCAACGAAACTGCAACTTTCTAATGATTCTGATGAATGAAACTGAAACTGAAAGTTTCAAACTGGTCGCGTCATGTGTGGTCTCTCAACGGACGTTATGGCAGAAACTTAGATGCAACTCAAAAGTAACTAGCAGTTGCGTTTCACCGTCTGTTCTGGGCCTAAGAGTATTTTTACACGTCCCAAGCCTACCACTGCTTCGGGACAGTAATATGGACGTGCTGAGAAGAAGCAGCGCAAAAAACTCAGTCATCATCATCATTTCAGCCATAGGACGTCCACTGCTGAACATAGGCCTCCCCCAATGACTTCCACAATGGCCGGTTGGTGGCGGCTTGCATCCAGCGCAGCGTTGCCAGTTTTTTTTTTTCGCCAAGTCGGGACTTTGGTACTTTTTGAGTGAAAATAGCGGGACTCTTCCGTCAGAAGCGGGACATAGTAAAAAAACGTAATACAATCAAAGGTTTTCAAATATTTATCTTTTTATTTGACTTAAAATTACGTTTACGTGACAATATATAGCAAAAGTAGCCATAGAAAATGTATTTTAACAAAAAAATAACATTTTAAATCAGATTTACTCTATCGTTAAATTCGTCTTTAGAATAATATGGCGTTTCAAACAATAGTCTGGTGAAGTGAGTGTCTCTCTCCGAAAAGCGGGACCGAGCCTGTCCCGCGCGGGACATTTAAATTTGATTTAAAAATCGGGACGTCTGGCAACGCTGTTGTAGGTAGTCTAATAGAGTTTATTGCCCGGATAACTAACATTAACCTTTAACTATCTTCTAAGGAGTTCAAAGTGTGTTTAAAATGTTTCCATGACTTCGAAAAATGTCGAATTCGTCTAGCCGTTCACAACTTTTGCTTTTAGCAATTTCATTTATATTTGAATACATTTACATACAAGCAATAGTTCATAGACTCGGTTAAAACCGTAAAAACAAATGAGCATAGCTAATTACTACATAAGTACCTCCACAGTCACGCCTACAATGACGTCAGCGAACGCAATCACACGTAATTGGATCTCATCCAAACTCATTCATACTCTTGCATGGTATTTAAGAATGCCATGTATTTTGGCTCGAAATAAGTCTGTTGTTATTATGTAAATAAGCAAATCAGACTACATATTCAGAAATTATTAGATCTGTAAACGACTAAAGTCGCTGACGTAGCCCGACGGATTAGCAAGCTGAAGTGGCAATGGGCAGGTCACATTGTACGCAGAACTGACGGCCGACGGGGCAGCAAGGTTCTGGAGTGGAGGCCGCGTACCTCATAAAGATAGCAGGAAGGCGCTGGATGCAGGCCGCTACCAACCGAGCGATGTGGAAATCATTGGGGGAGGCCTATGTTCAGCAGTGGACGTCCAGTGGCTGAAACGATGATGATGATGATGAACGACAACACACCAAGCTAAACAAAGTGACGTCTTATCTTGTTGTAATACAGGACAAAATTGTAGTTTTCTTATGTGATGATCTACAAATACGATACATCCGTGTGGTTCCGGCCTCCCCAACCCGTCTGGCCAACGTGCAGCGTGGGGAGTGTAGGCCAAATCCTCCATTTGCCTCTGTTACATTAGAGAGGGTCGTGCTCCTGCAATGGAGACTAAATGTTCTGGTGATGCTGATGATGACACAATGCCTCGGGAGTAGGCATGGGTTTGGTTGAAATTATCCAAACTTAAGATCGCATTTCCTCTTCCTTATAAACGGGAGTATTACCACCTCTCGTTCCCACCGCTGCAACTCCTGTGTAGCCGGGATCTACAACTTGACCGCCAATAACCCAACCAGTAATGGTCAAGTTTGTCCAGGGGGAAAGTTAAACTGTTATTGGACCGGTAACGTTTATCAGATGAACATAGGAGGAGTTCGAAGTTAAGGATCGACTTCACTCCTCTTCCTTAGTCATTCGATGCCAATAAGTATCGTTCTGCTATAGGCCGGTCCCTGAGCACTTAGAATTTTATCCAATGACCCCAAGCTACCCATCCTTATCGTTCGCGCGTAATTATATTGCTGTTGCGCTCGCACACTCTGCTGCCGCCCATCGCACAGTCGTGACAGCAATATAAATACGCGCGAGCGATAAGGATAGGTAGCTTGGGGTCATTGGACTAAATTCTACGTGCTCCGCGACCAGACTTTAGTCAATAGCTAGATGGTCATCTGCACAGCAAATTAAACCCTGTTCTCTCTCCCACAGGGCACAATGTCGCGCGACCGTACCTCCAGGCGGTTCTACCGCTCAGATTCCACTCATGATCTGCTCACCTTCATCTTTACCCATTATCTGTACAGCAGATTGAACCCTATCCTCTCCAGCAGGGAACAATTTCCTCTGTTCCATCTTTAGCTGGCTCTGCCGCAGTCTGCACACTAAATTAAACCCTATTCTCTTTTCTACAGAGCACAACGTCGTGCGACCGCTTATCTAGGCTGTTCAGCTTTAGCCTGTCGAATACCGTCTAATTCTGTACGCCAAATTAAACCATATCTTCTCCCAAATAGGACACAATGTCGCGTGCTCATATCTCCGGGCGATTCTACCGCTCATGCATGAACTGCTGTCCTCCATCTTTAGCTTGCTCTGCACACCAAATTCAACTTTATTCTCTCTCCTACAGACCACAATGTTGCGTGACCGCACCTCCAAGGGGTTCCATTCATGATGATTCCATTTTTTCCTCCATCTTGAACAATATTGAACCTTATTCTCTCTTCCACAGAGCACAATGTCGCGCGACCGTACCTCCAGGCGGTTCTACCGCTCAGATTCCACTCATGATCTGCTCTCCTTCATGGACCGAGGGCAGGCGGCCAGCGATGAGAACAGATGGACTTTTGAAACGGCTTGGGAGGCTGCTAACAAAGGTGAGGCGAACAATCAGTTTTTTTTCTATTACAATTTTTTTATGGGGAAATGTATTAAATTATTATTACCACAAACTGTTGTAGTACTACCCATTCATAAATTCAAAGCACATATTATGAAAAGTACCTTAATGAAAAAGGGCTACTATAAAGTCGATGATTATTTAAAAGATAAAAATGTTTGGATGCGTAACTGTCTAGCTCGCATAAATATTTTTATAACTATGTATTTTTAAAGCCTGTAAACCTTTGAAAAAGAGGCTGACAATTTAGTGACTGAGTTTCTTGCGCTGCTTCTTCTCAGCACTGACCCATTTATTGTCCTGAAGCAGTGGTAGGGTTAATACTGGGACGTGTAAAAGTGCTTTTTTAACGCCTTAAAAAAGCACTTTTACACGTCCTCTTTTAATCGCCATTAGTGTCCTCAATCCGCGCCAAATGGGCATTTTGTAAAGCCTACTCCTCTTTTACTGCTGGACAGAAATAGTTGAAAAAATATATGTTATACAACAGTTCAAGGACTACATTTGTGACGTTTGAATTTTCGCTACGTCTCTTTGTTTTGGATTAAAAAATCAGGAAGTTGGTCTAACTAATTCAGCTTGCAACTAATTCAGCTTGCAAGATTCCACCCGAACAAACATTTATGTAATTACCTACATACATCATAAATTGCAAGCTAAATAAAAGCTTGTAATAAAGTCGGGTTTGTTCAAATTTCGAGAACGACTGAACCGACAAAAGCATTAGAAAATTTACGAAAAATAAAATAAAATTTTATCCCGTACAAAATGTTCATGGATTTTTTTATTTTTATTAGGTAAATACCTTTACGCCTGAGTTAAATGACACCGACATCAAGGTTCATCAATTAAAGTTTAAAATAATAGGCAGTAATGTATGAAGAAAGAGCTTCTATTCTGTATCTACCTATGCCCGTGTATTTTTGATCGGTGTCAAATCGGAGTTTTTGGTGCGGGGTACGCGGGTGTTGCTCGCGGCGTGAAGGTCAAACGCCCAAGGTCATTGAGGACTCTAATCGCCTTAAGCCTATTTACAGAAATAAATGAGTTTTATGAGTTTTTAAGGTTCAGCCAAACCAACGCGATCGCGATCAGCTGGCGTGCAGCAATGGCGATCAATGCATTTTGGTCGCCATCGCTGCACGCCGGCTGATCGTGTTGGTTTGACTGAACCTTTATACATAACAAGGAAGGTATTTGACCACAATCGTACATATAATATTTTAAAGAGGAAATATTTGATTGTTAATAGGCTCCGAAACTACTGGATCGATTTTAATGGTAATAGTCATAGTCATAGTCATAAATGTTTATTGCATCATGTTGGTGCATTTGGATCTTAAATAGATAATAGAGATAGTTTGAGACGAATTATCCCAGTTTTTAAAATCAGAGTTATTGTGTATGGTACACCAGAATAACATATCCCTATTTTATAACGGTCTGTAACAAATTGAATTTCATGCGTACGAAACCGCGGCAAAATGTAGTAAACAATAACTGCGTACTGTCTTATAATCTTTCGCATAACCCAATAAACGTCTAAGACTGCTGTGCACTTGTCTTATTGTTCAAACCGGGCCCATTGTGGGGAGGCACTGACCGTAGGGATCGGGTTACTTGTCTAGACTAGAATGTAGCCATGCGTAGGCGCCTAAGGCTTTAAGATTCTATGTAAGTAACCGATATTTAGCCACTTCGTTCGCTTGAAAATAGTTGAGTATTTTTTTCCGATTTTGCAAGAAAAATCCGATAAATTAATGACTGTACAACACAAACATATTTTTACAATTAGAACCAGAATTTCTTGAGATTAGAACTCACCCGATGTGAACAACGCCTCAATCGAGCGTAACGAATAAGAAGAAGAACTCATACCCTTTTGTTACAAAACGTAAATTAAATGATAAACTAATATTTAACTTGGCCTAAACAGTAACGGGTAACATGGACAGCATTAGGGGAGGCCTATGTTCAGCAGTGGACGTCCTATGGCTGAGATGATGATGATGATGAAACAGTAACTATGGACTGTGGTATAGGGATAGTTTGAGCCCTGGGAAAGGACATAGGATAGTTTGATAGTTTTGGAAACAGGGACACCCGCGCTACAAAGTTTATCTGTGACAGACATTTCACGCTGGTATGTGCTAGTAGTCTATTTGTATGCCAATGAGGGCTATCGTTTTAGCGCTCACCAGTTAGCGCCACTGTAGAGTAAGGTCCTGTCACTTGCTAGTATCGAAGACAGTGGCGGCACCAACTTGTGAGCGCTAAAATGGTAGGAGGACTATCGCATTTGCACTCATAAAGATGGCGCCACTGTAGAGTAAGGTCTTGTCAATCGCCAGGGGTGCCAACTGTTAAGTATAAAAACGATAGCCCTCGTTAACGAAAAGGTATAGAGGGAAATGCTTAGAAAACATTTTTTGACTTCGTAACTTTGTTTGGACTGATTAGGATTGAATATTATATATATTATTATACTGCACTAGAAGTACCGCCAAACAAATTTCTTTTCTGCTCAACCCAAAGGTAAACTGGTCGAGAATGCTTTAGTGCATTAAGTTCGCCTTATGTACAAATTTATTTTGGCATTAAAGTTTAAATCCCAACTAATATTATAAATAAAATAAAATTCATAAAATTCATTTATTTTTGCAAATAGGCTTTAAAAAAGCGCTTTTACACGTCCCAATATTAACCGCGAAATGCGAAAGTAACTCTGTCTGTCTGTCTGTCTGTCTGTTACGCTTTCTCGCTTAAACCTCGCAACCGATTTTGATGAAATTTGGCATAGAGATAGTTTGAGTCCCGGGAAAGAACATAGGATAGTTTTTATACCGGTTTTGGAAACAGGGACCCGCGCTACAAAGTTTATCTGTGACAGACATTTCACGCTGGTAGGTGCTAGTAGTCTATTTGTATGCCAATTAACGAAAAGGTATAGAGAGAAATGCTTAGAACACATTTTTTGACTTCGTAACTTTGTTTGGACTGATTAGGATTGAATATTATCAAGTTTGAAGGTCCCATTTTTCAATTTACCGCTATCACTGAAACTATGCACGGGCATACTTGGAAAGTGCTCTTATAGTGGAGGAGACTAATGCCCGTTTTCACCATCGATCCCTAACGTTAAGTAACCCCTCCGTAAATAAAAATCCTGTTATTTGTTACCATAGGGGTCACTTAAAAATTAGGAATTGATGGTGAGAACACGCATAAATGACCTGGTGATAATGTCCATTACCCACAAGTGAGTAAAGTTATTGTCTTGTTCCAGTTGGTGGAATCTATACGGTGATCAGATCGAAGGCCTATGTGTCCACTGAAGAGATGGGGGACAATTATTGCCTCCTTGGTGAGTATGGCACATTATATTCAGCTGTAACAAGTGTAAGGGCGTATTTAACCTACTAGGGACTTCATCAGATTAAGATATTGGTCCACAATAGCGAAGGATTAAACTTATTTTTCATCCGACTTTGGAAGAGCATTTTTGTCCTTTGAATTTTTTGCTTAAAATCTTTTTTTTTGCTTAGTAATCCAGAACGCAAACTAATCAGCTATTCGACTGTCTAATAGGGATGTTTCCTGGGTCAAAAAGCAAGAGTTTTAATTAGTCCGTCAGTTAAGTTATCAAAAAATACTCTACACGTATTTTTCAAACTAATGAAAATTTAAAGAGATAAAGCGCGCCAAAGTTCATAAGAAGAGGCCCGTGACGTCATTGCTTGCATAAAAGTGCCGCACGTTGTGACGTCGTGCGGAACTTCAACGCACCATAACTATGTAATTATTTGTTAGATTGACAAATAAAAATATATGTGGACTAAAAAAATTTTTTTAGGAAACTAGTCTATTTCAAGAAATGTTGTTATAATATTGTTTTTTAAGCTCTTTTTCCGACAAAATGTTTTATTATTGTTATAAAATAAAATAAAAGGTATTTATTTCAGGCATAGCCCATAAAAGTGTTAGTAACAAAGGTTTTATAAACTATGGTTAGTATGAACATTACATTATGAATTATTATATGAACAGGTCCATACAAGGAGCAACATGCCCGTACAGAGGTTGAGGAGGCAGACTTCCCTCCGAACTCACCGCTTACAACCGCCGTGAATGCCATGAGGAGCAAGGGGTACAAGGTAAGTTCACCATCATCAGGTCATTTAGTCTCCACTGCAGGCCCTCGACCCTCTCTAATTGACCAGAGGCAAGAGGATTTGTCCTACACTCCCCACGCTGGCCAGACGGGTTGGGGAGGCCTGATGTTCGCATATTTGTCCCTTAGTCACACCATGTGAACCAATTTTGATTCAGTTTCCAGACAAGTATTTGTTACATTCTGCATAAGGTTTTGGTCCGCGAAGTCTATTCGTTCGTTCGTTTTAGCGGAAAGACGTCCACTGCTGGACAAAGGCCTCCCCCAAGTATTTCCACAAAGACCGGTCCTGCGCCGCTCGCATCCAGGCACTTCCCGCGACCTTCACCAGATCGTCGGTCCACTTAGTGGGAGGCCTGCCCACGCTACGTCTTCTGGCTCGTGGTCGCCACTCAAGTCTATTAATTTTATCTTTTTTTCACAGCTCCACACTGGAACTTGGCTTGTAGATGGCAACCCTCAAATCATTCTCTTCGACATTGGCTCAGGCGCGTGGCAACTGGACGGGTTCAAGCAGGAACTATGGGATACAACCTCTGTTGGCATCCCACATTTGGACATTGAAGCGAACGACGCGGTCATACTTGGGTTTATGGTGGCGCAGTTCATCACTGAAGTGAGTAGAAAGAGAGAATGAGAGAGAGAGAGAGAAATTTTTTCAAATCTAGCCATAGAGGTATAAACTTTGTGTGCAACATTTATTGGAATGAGGGCTATCGTTTTTATACTTAACAGTTGGCACCCCTGGCGATTGACAGGACCTTACTCTACAGTGGCGCCATCTTGATGAGTGCAAATGCGATAGTCCTCCTACCACTTTAGCGCTCACCAGTTGGCGCCACTGTCTTCGCTACTAGCAAGTGACAGGACCTTACTCTACAGTGGCGCTAACTGGTAAACGCTAAAACGATAGCCCTCATTCGAAATGATTCAGATTGTATTCTGTTGTTGTACCTATAAATAACTAAATAAATAAATAGAGACAAACGACTCGGTGATACTTGGGTTTATGACGCAGTTCATCGCTGTGTGTGTGCGTGTGTGTGAGAGAGTGAGAAGATAGTTTAGAACTCTCTCGACAAAAGTCTAATGGAGGTTTTTTATTTTTAGATAAGTTACAAAGTTGGTAGATTATGTGTTTGCTTTTCACGCAGGAGTTGAAAACGTGAGAGAGTGAATGCTAAATTGACTGTGAAACAGCACACATATACAGCGCCATCTATGATTTTATGTGCGAACTCGCTTGTCCCAAAGTATAGCTAGCATATGAAACCATAGATGGGTCTAAATAACTAAAGTTTATTAATACAGCAATACTATTTAGTAGAATTAAGGTTGCTAAAGCCCGGTCCGTGAGCACGTAGAATTTTGTCCATGACCACAAGCTCCCATCCTTATCGCTCGCGCGTAATTATATTGCTGTCGCGACTGTGCGACGGGCGCCCGCAGTGAGTGTGCGAGCGCGACAGAAACATAATTACGCGCCAGCGATAAGGATGGGTAGCTTGGGGTCATTGGACAAAATTCTACGTGCTCACAGACCAGACTATAATCGTTTTCTTAGCACTATTCTAACTCAACTTTTCTCCCACAGTTCCGCAAAGCGGCGGAGGACTACAGCGATACTCCTCCAAGGGTAGTGGCTCATTTCCACGAGTGGCAGGCCGGCATCGGACTTATTATGCTCAGGTAAACACCGTGGAATCCTTGGGGGAGGCCTTTGTCCAGCAGTGGACGTGTTTCGGCTGAGACGAACGAACGAACGAACGAACGAAACACCGTGGAATGCTATATGTATATCCAAACATGCTGTGGTTACTTAATAAATAAACTTACTTCACTTATTTCACTTACACCACTTACTTCACTTAAGTCACTTACATCACTTATCTCACTTACTTACATCATTTACTAAATGCTCAGATACAAACCGCAGACTCCTTAACTTGACTTCAAAAATACTATACTTAGGTACTTACTTTACTTATCTCACTTACTCCACTTATATAATTTACCTAACTTAATTGACTTCCACCATTTACTTCACTTATCTCACTTACGTTACTTACATTAACTATACTTCTCTGTGATGTCAATCCGCAAACGTCAGCGAGATTTCAGGGAGCTTACGCCCGTATTCACGAACGATGCTTGCTTAAGTGAAGCAGCACAGCGTTGAATAGTGCTATGTGATTGGTCCGTGTGTCACCCTATGCAAGTGAGTAGGTCATCTTCATAGAAACGCACCGAGTGCGGTTTGTATGTGAGCGCGCCAATACGTATGCGGCGCACACGCACACACTGACAAAATTTAGCGGGGATTAGCGGGGAGGTGCGCTGAATTTTGTCAGTGTCGCGCTCACATACAAACCGCGCTCGGGCGTTTGTATGAAGATGACCTACTCATTTGTATTTACTCTGGTTACATCTCACACTGCACAGAATGCACTGTCACATGCACTGACTAAACTAAGCGATGGACCTCTAACTTGAATTTATGTTTCAGAGTCCGCCATGTAGATGTCGCTACGGTCTTCACGACGCACGCCACTCTATTGGGAAGATACCTGTGTGCTGGCAACACAGACTTTTACAACAATTTAGATAAGGTAACACTTAACTTTGAACTCCTCCTAATATGTTCTTCTGATTAATTTCGTTGCGGGTCCAATGACAGTTTAACTTTCCCCCGGGACTAACTTGACCTTCACCGGTTGGGTTGTTGGCGGTCAAGCTGTAGATCCTGGCTACACAGGAGTTGCGGTGGGAACGAGAGGTGGGAATAGGCCCGAAGGATTTTGATTTTTGATTTTGTTATCAAAAAATACTCGACACGGATTTTTTTACTTCTTAAAACTAATGATTTACAGATAAGCTTGTGACGTCAAGGCGTGGTTAAATGTGTAGCACAGTGTGACGTCACGTGGAACTTTAACACCATAGCTTCGCAATCATTTGTTTGACAAATAAAAACAACGTGTCCAATGTTTTTAATAATAATGATATAATAATCGACGAACTAAATGTTTTTTTGAAAGAACCGAGCCTATAGTATCTATTTATCTCTTTCTAGTTCTCAGTGGATGAGGAAGCGGGAAAGAGACAGATATACCACCGGTACTGCATGGAGCGAGCGGCTGCCCATATGACGCACATATTTACCACCGTTTCTGATATTACTGGTGAGTATACAGGGTGTCCCAGAATGGGTGAATCAAACTGATAGGGAAGGTAGCTCTACTAATGTACTATCCCAAAAAATATGAAAAAAATTTTTTGAGCTCGAATTTTATTTTAAATAAAGTGTTCTAAACTCGAAATCTAGACATTATTTTCAAAAGTTTGTTTACAGATAAACGAAGCGATCATGTTAGTGAGAAAAAAGTACAAATAAACTCCAAATGCAGCAATTATAGCCAGATACTTAGGCATAGCTGATTTATTTACACTTTTTCAAAAACATTTTTTTTGTTTCCTTATGCGCTTTATTTTTTTTTCATATTTTTTAGGGATAGTACATTAGTAGAGCTACCTCCCCTATCAGTTTGATTCACCCATTCTGGAACACCCTGTATAATGTTTTTCTTTTATGTGACAGGAGTGTTATCGGTACACGTTATGATCCATGAGTGCACACACACACTACAGTAATGCCTTACGGCTTGCTCGGACCACACTCCCCGCACCCCGCGCGACCGAGACCAAACATTGCTGAGACGCGTCCGAGTGGATGAAACGAACTACACTAGACAGCAAATAAATCGCACCACCTGCGACAAGCACTTTCAAACGTATGCATCCCCACTTCACACCAATATTGGTACCATTCAAAAGCCTAGTTCTAAACTTCATTTCATTATAGGAAAGGTTTTTACCCCAAAAATGTTTCTTTAGAAGGATCTAGAGTCACTTCTTCAAAAAATAGATAGTTACGCTTGAGCCAACTTTTATGGCTATAAAACTGTTAAGTTGGGATTAATCGCTATCCATCTGTTNCCACCCGCGACAAGCACTTTCAAACGTATGCATCCCCACTTCACACCAATATTGGTACCATTCAAAAGCCTAGTTCTAAACTTCATTTCATTATAGGAAAGGTTTTTACCCCAAAAATGTTTCTTTAGAAGGATCTAGAGTCACTTCTTCAAAAAATAGATAGTTACGCTTGAGCCAACTTTTATGGCTATAAAACTGTTAAGTTGGGATTAATCGCTATCCATCTGTTAAAGAGGACACGTGTGATCATTATTTGGTTTTATAACCATAAAATTTGGTCTAATTGATCCCAGAGGTGAGCCCAAAGTGAGGTCTTTTTTCAAGTCACATTTATGGTATATGTTAATCATTTATTAAGAAATTAAATGTGTTTTTCTTTAAGGATATTTATTGGGCTTTCAAATAACACCAATATTGTTGGGGCACCATTATTGTGTCAAAAGAAAATCTTTAAAGTTCGCGTCGCGGGTGGTTCGATTTATTTGCTGTCGAGTGTATAATCTAACTTGACTACGTTATATTATAAACTGATGGAATTTTCACAATTTTACGGTTACATATCTGAAGTCATTTGACGTAAAAAAATGCGCGGAACTATTATAGTATGAAGGCTCTGTCCAGGGCACTTATACACATTCCAAATATAGCTTGCTCTACCACCACTTCGGGACAACATATGGGCTGGTGCTGAAAAGTGGCGGAAGAAACTCACGCCCGTTTTCACCATCAATCCATAATTTTTAAGTGACCCCTATAGTAACACGATAGACATTTTGTTTACTTAGGGGTCACTTAAAAATTAGGGATTGATGGTAAAAACGGGCTTAAGTTAACGTAAAAAAAGATACGGCCGTTTATGCCGCAAAAACATCATGAATGTAGCAGGAAGGCGCTGGATGCAGGCCGCCACCAACCGGCCATTATGGAAAGCATTGGGGGAGGCCTATGTTCAGCAGTGGACGTCCTGTGACTCTACTGATGATGATGACTTTTGAAACTGTATACCTAATCCCTATTTTGTAATACTACCCGTAGGTTACGAAGCAGAGCACCTTCTAAAGAGGAAACCAGACATAATCACACCAAACGGACTGAATGTTAAGAAGTTCTCGGCGCTACACGAATTCCAGAATTTGCACGCTTTGGCCAAAGAAAAGATCAATGAGTTCACTAGAGGACACTTTTACGGGTAAGACGCACTATTTTTACTACCAAAAACTACCATAAAATCCTAAAATTAGTCAAAAACTTGCCTAATTTTAATAAATAGCAGAATCTACTAATGTGTTCCGAAAACTACCAGTAAGATGCATTATTATTTGCTACTAAAACTATCTGAACTGAAAGTTTCAAATAACTACCATAGTCTGTTAAGTGGCAAATCTACCAAATGTACTGAAAGCTACCATTTTAAAGCTTAGTAGTCTGCTAAAATAGTCAAAAACTACCATAGTCTATCTAAAATGGCTACCATCTATACTAATATTATAAAGCTGAAGAGTTTGTTTGTTTGTTTGTTTGTTTGGTTGAACGCGCTAATCTCAGGAACTACTGGACCGATTTGAAAAATTCTTTTTGTGTTGGATAGCCCGTTAGTTCCTGAAGGCTTTAGGCTATTTATCATCACGCTAAGACCAATAGGAGCGGAGCACCAATCAAGAATATTTCAAATCAGTGATTTTTTTCCTTTTGAGAGCTGACGCTGCGTAAACGGTTAAAGTTTCGCAAAAATCATGTATGACAGGATTGTTCCCCTTTAAAAGTTCTTTAAAAAAGTCCGCGGTAGCATATGTCTATCTTTTAAGGTTGGCTCATAGTAACCATTTTTATGCAAAAAAAATCTGTTTTAAAATAATGCATTATTTGCGAAGGTGTTTTTATAAACATGATATTAATCCTTATCCAAATAAATAAATTATTCACCACAAGTATTTAATTTTAAACATTCTTGCCCTTTACACCATTCGATTTCAATAAATATCTTAGGAGATATCGCAGTTTTAAAATCACATCGCAGCAAAATAATGATCAAGTACTACGCGCGCTACTGATGGATCAATGCACAGCCTAAACCGCTGATCGTAAAGACCTGAAACTTGGACGGTGTGTTCTTTGTATGACGTAAGCATCTGATAAGAAAGGATTTTCCAAAATTCTACCCCTAAGGAGGTAAAAAGGAGGGGCAAAGTTTGTATGAAATAACGAGATTCCTTCGTCCAATCTACTTAAAATTTTGCATAAGCATTCTATAACAGAATTAATGGAAGACGTGTTTCGTATTTTAGTGAAATGCACCCCCTAACTATGTTAAAAAGGGGTAGAAAGTTATTTTAGTGGTGATTTGCTTCAAAGTTGATATTAATTACTCATTAGTGCATTTTTTTACAATCATGACGTCATGTTAACGACTACCATACTCTAGGGGCCTCCACTAAACCTCGGAGTACTGCCCGCTGCGTGCGCTCGCCCAACAATGCATAGTAAATGCATGAAAGTCATGCCGCGGGCACCTGCTTGCGCTGTATACATAAACTCATTTTTGCGCGAGTTTTGGCGGAGGCCCTTGAGGTAGTGGGAGTAGTCTTGAGGAAAAGCTCCTTCTCCCACGGCCAGTGGCATGCTGGAAGCTTGGTGATTCTAGCACCCGTAAGAAAATATAAAAAAAAGTTTACCAATAATACTGCGGTAGGTGTAGTTTTCGATTTCGTTGTAAAGAAATAATACCATCGAGTAACTTTCACCGGATCAAAGGCCGAGCTGCATATTCATAAAATATAAGAAAAAAATATTTTCATGTTTATTTAAACTGATTTTTATATTTTAAAAGTATTCAAACATTTAGATAATAACGTTAAAACATTTAAAAATAATCGTATGAGAACGTTTTCGACTTCTCCACCGACGAAGTCGCGGGCAAAAGCTATTTGTAAAATAATTAGACTAAATTATTAAAAGTGCCTACCCAAAGTCATTATTCCACGCGGACGAAGTCGCGGGCACAGCTAGTATTTTCATAAAATCTGCCAAAAATAACAGTGACAAAGACTGCCCATTGCAAAAGTCTTACTTACACCCGTATTCACAAACGATGATTGCTTAAGTGAAGCAGAAACGCTATGCTAAATCGAACGCACAGCGTTGAAAGACCTCTGTGATTGGTTCGTGTGTGTCACTCCGCCACTCAAGTTTTGTTTATGAATACGTTTTTGATACTCTGTGCGTCCACGCGCACTGTGAGACCTCATAGTAATGTTTGTGAATACGGGTGTTAGTTGGTTACTATAGTCTGGTCTGCGAGCACGTAGAATTTTGTCCAATGACCCCAAGCTACCCATCCTTATCGCTCGCGCGTAAATAAATTGCTGTCGCGACTGTGCGACGGGCGCCCGCAGTACAGCTGTGTGACAGCAACATAATCCCTACAAAGTTCCCTACAAATATCCTAGATATCCAATCAAAATCCTGTGTCCGCCCTTCAGAAAAACGGTATCTGGATCCTACTCCCCAATATCTAGACTCTGTAAATTGTATAATGAGTACAGCACTGAACTAGACTTATTTGGCATGTCGATTAATAAAAGACAATGCCGGAAATTGGCGTCTTCTTTTTTTCGCGCGGCCATCGACCAAACCTTGTTTTTTGATTACAAAATAGTGTAATAAACCAAACTTACTATGACATGTATACCTCTAAACTCAGTCTGAACTGAGTTACGAGCATCAGAAGTTTGATGATTTTCATACTAGATTTGCTGTTTGCGCGCAAGTTTTATAAGAAATTGCAACAAAATAATGACATTGTATGTGTAAACAAACAATACCATCCATTAAAGGATCCAGACATCAGTATGCAGCGGAATCAGCGCAATAAAAAAAATAGCGCAATATTTTGTTACAATTTCTTACAAAACTTGCGCGCAAAAAGCAAATCTAGTATGAAAATCATTCAAATTCAAATTCAAACTTCTAATGCTCGTAACTCAGTTCAGACTGAGTTTAGAGGTATACATGCCATAGTAAGTTTGGTTTATTACACTATTTTGTAATCAAAAAACAAAGTATGGTCGATGGCCGCGCGAAAAAAAAAAGACGCCACCTTCCATACAAAACCTGGCATTGCCATTTAGGCGTCAAGCACACTTATTAGATAAGTAGATCAATGTCTACAGTAACACACCTACTATTACCACAGAATAATAATANGTTCACGCATTTGAAGTCGGTTTTATTTTTTTTAAAAGTTATTACCAGCCTTTTACAATATTGACATACTTTTTAACCGAATTTTACATTTTGACATACTTTTTACCAGCCTTTTACAATATTGACATACTTTTCAACCGAATTTTATATCATTGACAAACTTTTTACCAGCCTTTTACAATATTGACATACATTTTAATCGAATTTTACATCATTGACATTTACCAGACTTAAAGAATCTACATTTTACCCGACTCACAATGGAAGTACAACTAATGATGATGATGTTTTTGTATTTCAGTCATCCGGCTCGGAGATGACAGTGGTAGCGTTCCTGATCTTCCCCGCCAAGACGAACAACTTCAACGTGGAGAGTCTGAGAGGCCACGCGGTCACCAAGTCGCTTAGGGACACCATACACGACATACAGCAGAAGGTCGGCGCGAGGATGTGTGACATCTGCCTGAGGTAATTACTAAAACCTACCAAAAACTACTACGTAAAAATTATTGTCGCAAAAAACTACCAAAACTACCTTGTATGATATCTGCCTGAGGTAAGAAACTATCAAAACTACTACAGGAAAAACTAAAACCTACCAAAAACTACCACGTCAAAAAGGATTGTCGCAAAAAACTACCAAAATTGCTAAAAAACTACTAAAATACACCATAAACTACTACATCAAAAATGGCGGTTCCAAAAAAACTACCACAATCTGTCAAAAAAACCACCAAAACTACCATGGTTTAAATTGATGCCCCAGTAAACCACCAAAACTACTACATCAAAAATGGCTGTTCCAAAAAACAACCAAAGTCTATCAAAAAATTACCAAAACTACCATGCTTTAAATTGATGCCCCAAAAAACCACCAAAACTACTATTGACACCTACCAAAAACCACGATGTCATTGGTGTTCCAAAAACTCCTAAAAAGCGACCAACTTGTACCAAAAACTACTAGAATCTACCAAATGAGATGACAGTGGTAGCGTTCCTGATCTTCCCCGCCAAGACGAACAACTTCAACGTGGAGAGTCTGAGAGGCCACGCGGTCACCAAGTCGCTTAGGGACACCATACACGACATACAGCAGAAGGTCGGCGCGAGGATGTGTGACATCTGCCTGAGGTAATTACTAAAACCTACCAAAAACTACCACGTCAAAATGATTGTCGCAAAAAAGTATAAAACTACCATGCATGATATCTGCTCAGGCTACTACAGGAAATTACTAAAACCTACCAAAAACTACCACGTCAAAAAGGATTGTCACAATAAACTACCAAAATTGCTAAAAACTACTAAAATACACCAAAAACTACTACATCTATAATGGATGTTTCAAAAAACAACCAGTCTGCCAAAAAACTACCAAAACTACCATGCTTTAAATTGATGCCCCAATAAACTACCAAAACTACTACATCAAAAATGGCTGTTCCAAAAAACAACCAGTCTGCCAAAAAACTACCAAAAATACCCTAATAAACCACCAAAACTACTACATAAAAAATGGCTGTTCCAAAAAAACTACTACAATCTGCCAAAAAACCCACCAAAACTACCATGCTTTAAATTGATGCCCCAAAAAACCACCAAAACTACTATTGAAACTTACATGTCAAAATGGGTGTTCCAAAAACTCCTAAAAAGCGAGCAACTTCTACCAAAAACTACTAGAATCTACCAAATGAGATGACAGTGGTAGCGTTCCTGATCTTCCCCGCCAAGACGAACAACTTCAACGTGGAGAGTCTGAGAGGCCACGCGGTCACCAAGTCGCTTAGGGACACCATACACGACATACAGCAGAAGGTCGGCGCGAGGATGTGTGACATCTGCCTGAGGTAATTACTAAAACCTACCAAAAACTACCACGTCAAAATGATTGTCGCAAAAAACTACCAAAACTACCATGTGTGATATCTGCCTGAGGTAAGAAACTGCCAAAACTACTACAGGAAATTACTAAAACCTACCATAAACTACCACGTCAAAAAGGATTGTCGCAAAAAACTACCAAAATCTGTCAAATATCTACTAAAGCCCACTAAAAACTACCACATTTAAAATTGATGTTCCTAAAAACAACCAAAAACTACCAAAAAACTACCAAAACTACTATGCTACAAATTGATGCCCCAAAAAACCACCAACACTACTATTGAAACTTACATGTCAAAATGGGTGTTCCAAAAACTCCTAAAAAGCGAGCAACTTGTACCAAAAACTACTAGAATCTACCAAATGAGATGACAGTGGTAGCGTTCCTGATCTTCCCCGCCAAGACGAACAACTTCAACGTGGAGAGTCTGAGAGGCCACGCGGTCACCAAGTCGCTTAGGGACACCATACACGACATACAGCATATTGTCGCAAAAAACTACCAAAACTACCATGTATGATATCTGCCTGAGGTAAGAAACTATCAAAACTACTACAGGAAATTACTAAAACCTACCGAAAACTACCACGTCAAATGGGGTTGTCACAAAAAACTACCAAAATTGCTAAAAAAGTACTAAAATCCACTAAAAACTACCGCATCTAAAATGGCTGTTCCAACTAAAGTCTGCCAAAAAACTACCATGCTTTAAATTGATGCCCCAATAAACCACCAAAACTACTACATCTAAAATGGCTGTTCCAAAAAACAACCAGTCTGCCAAAAAACTACCAAAACTACCATGCTTTAAATTGATGCTCCAATAAACCACCAAAACTACTATTGAATCCTACCAAAAACTACCATATCGAAAATGATTTTTTCAAAAAACTACCAAAACTACCATGCTTTAAATTGATGCCCCAAAAACCACCAAAACTACTATTGAAACTTACATGTCAAAATGGGTGTTCCAAAAACTCCTAAAAAGTGATCAACTTCTACCAAAAACTACTAGAATCTACCAAATGAGATGACAGTGGTAGCGTTCCTGATCTTCCCCGCCAAGACGAACAACTTCAACGTGGAGAGTCTGAGAGGCCACGCGGTCACCAAGTCGCTTAGGGACACCATACACGACATACAGCAGAAGGTCGGCGCGAGGATGTGTGACATCTGCCTGAGGTAATTACTAAAACCTACCAAAAACTACTACGTCAAAAAGGATTGTCTCAAAAAACTACCAAAATCTGCCAAATATCTACTAAAGCCCACCAAAAACTTCCGCATCTATAATGGATGTTCCAAAAAAACTACCAAAAAACTACCAAAACAACCATGCTTTAAATTGATGACCCAGTAAACCACTAAAACTACTATTGAATCCTACCAAAAACTACCATATCGAAAATGACTTTTCCAAAAAACTACCAAAACTACCATTCTAAAAATTGACGAACCAAAAAACTACCAAAAAGGATTGTCGCAAAAAACTACCAAAATTGCTAAAAACTACTAAAACTCCACCAAAAAGTACTACATCAAAAATGGCGGTTCCAAAAAAACTACCACAATCTGCCAAAAAAACCACCAAAACTACCATGCTTTAAATTGATGCCCCAAAAAACCACCAAAACTACTATTGAAACTTACATGTCAAAATGGGTGTTCCAAAAACTCCTAAAAAGCGAGCAACTTCTACCAAAAACTACTAGAATCTACCAAATGAGATGACAGTGGTAGCGTTCCTGATCTTCCCCGCCAAGACGAACAACTTCAACGTGGAGAGTCTGAGAGGCCACGCGGTCACCAAGTCGCTTAGGGACACCATACACGACATACAGCAGAAGGTCGGCGCGAGGATGTGTGACATCTGCCTGAGGTAATTACTAAAACCTACCAAAAACTACCACGTCAAAAAGGATTGTCTCAAAAAACTACCAAAATCTCCCAAAAATCTACTAAAGCCCACCAAAAACTACCACATCTATAATGGATGTTCCAAAAAACTACCAAAACTACCATGCTAAAAATTGATGCCCCAGTAAACTACTAAAACTACTATTGAATCCTACCAAAAACTACCATATCAAAGATGACTGTTCCAAAAAACTACCAAAACTACCATGCTGAAAATTGATTCCCCAAAAAACCACCAAAACTACTGTTGAAACCTACCAAAAACCACGATGTCATTGGTGTTCCAAAAACTCCTAAAAAGCGAGCAACTTCTACCAAAAACTACTAGAATCTACCAAATGAGATGACAGTGGTAGCGTTCCTGATCTTCCCCGCCAAGACGAACAACTTCAACGTGGAGAGTCTGAGAGGCCACGCGGTCACCAAGTCGCTTAGGGACACCATACACGACATACAGCAGAAGGTCGGCGCGAGGATGTGTGACATCTGCCTGAGGTAATTACTAAAACCTACCAAAAACTACCACGTCAAAAAGGATTGTCGCAAAAAACTACCAAAACTACCATGTATGATATCTGCCTGAGGTAAGAAACTATCAAAACTACTACAGGAAATTACTAAAACCTACCAAAAACTACCACGTCAAAAAGAATTGCTGCAAAAAACTACCAAAACTACCATGCTTTAAATTGATGCCCCAAAAAACCACCAAAACTACTACATAAAAAATGGCTGTTCCAAAAAAACTACCACAATCTACCAAAAAACTATCAAATCTAAATTGATGCCCCAAAAAACCACCAAAACTACTAATGAAACCTACATGTCAAAATGGGTGTTCCAAAAACTCCTAAAAAGCGACCATCTTCTACCAAAAACTACTAGAATCTACCAAATGAGATGACAGTGGTAGCGTTCCTGATCTTCCCCGCCAAGACGAACAACTTCAACGTGGAGAGTCTGAGAGGCCACGCGGTCACCAAGTCGCTTAGGGACACCATACACGACATACAGCAGAAGGTCGGCGCGAGGATGTGTGACATCTGCCTGAGGTAATTACTAAAACCTACCAAAAACTACCACGTCAAAAATGGCGGTTCCAAAAAAACTACCACAATCTGCCAAAAAAACTACCAAAACTACCATGCTTTAAATTGATGCTCCAATAAACCACCAAAACTAACACATCAAAAATGGCGGTTCCAAAAAAACTACCACAATCTGCCAAAAAAAACCACCAAAACTACCATGCTAAAAAATGATGCCCCAAAAAACCACCAAAACTACTGTTGAAACCTACCAAAAACCACTATATCAAAATGGGTGTTTCAAAAACTACCAAAACTACCATTCTTAAAATTGATGAACCAAAAAACTACCAAAAAGGATTGTCGCAAAAAACTACCAAAACTACCATGTATGATATCTGCCTGAGGTAAAAAACTATCAAAACTACTACAGGAAGTTACTAAAACCTACCAAAAACTACCACGTCAAAAAGGATTGTCGCAAAAAACTACCAAAATTGCTAAAAACTACTAAAATACACCAAAAACTACTACATCAAAAATGGCGGTTCCAAAAAAACTACCACAATCTGCCAAAAAACTACCAAAACTACTATTGAAACCTACTAAAAACCGCGATGTCATTGGTGTTCCAAAAACTCCCAAAAAGCGAGCAACGTCTACCAAAAACTACTAGAATCTACCAAATGAGATGACAGTGGTAGCGTTCCTGATCTTCCCCGCCAAGACGAACAACTTCAACGTGGAGAGTCTGAGAGGCCACGCGGTCACCAAGTCGCTTAGGGACACCATACACGACATACAGCAGAAGGTCGGCGCGAGGATGTATGACATCTGCCTGAGGTAATTACTAAAACCTACCAAAAACTACCACGTCTAAAAGGATTGTCTCAAAAAACTACCAAAATCTGCCAAAAATCTACTAAAGCCCACCAAAAACTACCGCATCTATAATGGAGGTTCCAAAAAAACTACCATGCTAAAAATTGGTGCCCAAAAAAACCACCAAAACTACTATTGAATCCTACCAAAAACTGACATGTCGAAAATGACTGTTTCAAAAAACTACCAAAACTACCATGCTTTAAATTGATATCCCAAAAAACCACCAAAACTACTATTGAAACCTACCAAAAACCACGATGTCAAAATGAGTGTTCCAAAAACTCCTAAAAAGCGAGCAACTTCTACCAAAAACTACTAGAATCTACCAAATGAGATGACAGTGGTAGCGTTCCTGATCTTCCCCGCCAAGACGAACAACTTCAACGTGGAGAGTCTGAGAGGCCACGCGGTCACCAAGTCGCTTAGGGACACCATACACGACATACAGCAGAAGGTCGGCGCGAGGATGTGTGACATCTGCCTGAGGTAATTACTAAAACCTACCAAAAACTACCACGTCAAAAAGGATTGTCGCAAAAAACTACCAAAATTGCTAAAATCTACTAAAATCCACCAAAAACTACTACATCAAAAATGGCGGTTCCAAAAAAACTACCACAATCTGCCAAAAAAACCACCAAAACTACCATGCTTTAAATTGATGTCCCGATAAACCACTAAAACTACTATTGAATCCTACCAAAAACTAACATGTCGAAAATGACTTTAAAAAAACTACCATGCTGAAAATTGATTCCCCAAAAAACCACCAAAACTACTATTGAAACCTACAAAAAACCGCGATGTCAAAATGGGTGTTCCAAAAACTCCTAAACAGCGAGCAACTTCTACCAAAAACTACTAGAATCTACCAAATGAGATGACAGTGGTAGCGTTCCTGATCTTCCCCGCCAAGACGAACAACTTCAACGTGGAGAGTCTGAGAGGCCACGCGGTCACCAAGTCGCTTAGGGACACCATACACGACATACAGCAGAAGGTCCGTGCGAGGATGTATGATATCTGCTTGAGGTAAGAAACTACCAAAAACTACCACGTCAAAAAGGATTGTCGCAAAAACTACCAAAATTGCTAAAAACTACTAAAATACACCAAAAACTACTACATCAAAAATGGCGGTTCCAAAAAACTACCACAATCTGCCAAAAAAACCACCAAAACTAGCATGCTTTACATTGATGCCCCAAAAAACCACCAAAACTACTATTGAATCCTACCAAAAACTATCTCGTCGAAAATGACTGTTTCAAAAAACTACCAAATCTATCATGCTTTAAATTGATGCCTCAATAAACCACCAAAACGACTATTGACACCTACCAAAAACCGCGATGTCAAAATGGGTGTTCTAAAACAAACAAAGAAAGAAAAATGTATTACGATGAACATCACTTAGTTAAGGACAAATAAGGTATACGGAAAAGGACAGAAATAGCACTTAAATATTACAATTAAATAAAAACCTACCAAAAAACTACTGGAAGTGTTAAAAAACTACTAGAATCTACTATAGTCTGGTCCGGGAGCACGTAGAATTTTCTGCCCAATGACCCCAAGCTACCCATCCTTATCGCTCGCGCGTAATTAATTATGTTGCTGTCGCGACTGTGCGACGGGCGCGCGCAGTGAGTGTGCGAGCGCGACAGCAACATAATGAGGGCTATCGTTTTAGCGCTCACCAGTTAGCGCCACTGTAGAGTAAGGTCCTGTCACTTGCTAGTAGCGAAGACAGTGGCACCAACTGGTGAGCGCTAAAGTGGTAGGAGGACTATCGCATTTGCACTCATCAAGATGGCGCCACTGTAGAGTAAGGTCCTGTCAATCGCCAGGGGTGCCAACTGTTAAGTATAAAAACGATAGCCCTCGTTATGCGCGAGCGATAAGGATGGGTAGCTTGGGGTGATTGGACAAAATTTTACATGCTCGCAGACCAGACTATAGAAGTGTTAAAAAAGCCACTAGAATCTACTAATAGCCATTTGTCTCCACAGAGGCCACTTGCCCGAGGCTTCAGACTTACTCCACAAGGACGATACAGTCCGCCTCAAGCGTTGTATCTACGCGCTACAAAGAGATGGGTTGCCGCCGGTCACCACGCATAACATTGTAAGTAATGGGGATGTTTCCTGGGTCAAAAAGCAAGAGTTTTAATTAGTCCGTCAGTTAACTTATCAAAAAATACTCTACACGTATTTTTCACTTTTTCAAACTAATGAAAATTGAAAGAGATAAAGCGCGCCAAAGTTCATAAGAAGAGGCCCGTGACGTCAATGCGTGCATAAAAGTGGCGCACGTTGTGTGGTCGTGCGGAACTTCAACGCACCATAACTATGTAATTATTTGTTAGATTGACAAATAAAAATATATGTGTCCAATATTTTTTGATATTAAACATTACGGACTAAAAAAATTTTTTTAGGAAACTAGCCTATTCAATAACAGGACAACAACATTGTAAGTGCGGACCAGTATCATCATCAGGTCATTTAGTCTGAATTCACAAACATTACTATGAGGTCTCACAGTGCGCGTGGACGCACAGGTGACACACGAACCAATCACAGATCTCATTCAACGCTGTGCGTTCGATTTGCTGCTTCACTTAAGCAGTTCACTTAGTCGCCTTTGACAATATCCACGGAACAACTGGGGGTGGTACTATGCTAGTATTACTTACGACATCCACAGTAAGAGTGGGGGTGTTTCTATTCTACTCTGCCGGCACTACACGGTTGATCGTTTTAACCAAAGTCTACTGCTGGACAAAGGCCTCCCCCAAGGTTTTCCACAATGAGCGGTCCTGCGCTGCCCGCATCCAGGCTCTTCTCGCGGCCTTCCGCAGATCGTCGGTCCACCTAGTAGGAGGCCTGCCCACGCTACGTCTTCCATCCGGTGGTCATCTGCTCACCAATGTTTTATTTGTTTTTAGGTGGACGATTGGAGCGACCCAGTATTGAATGGCGTCAGAAGATGCCAACTATTCAACACAGTTAACGATAATGTGAAGGTATGTGTTTAGTAGCTGTGTGCGTTACTTATTTATCATCATTTCATCAGCTTCCAACGAAGACGGAGGCACTGGCTTGTAGAAGTCCACTGCTGGACGTAGGCTTGACAGAACAGAACTCACTATCATTAATGTATTTACAGAACATAATGTCAGTATGTTTTTATTGAGCCAATGAGGGTTTTCGCGAATGAAAAATTCGCCAGATGGCAATACGTAGACGCGAGGTCCAAATGCTGCACGATTGGTTATTTTTCACATGACATTGACAGATATGTTAAAATCCACCAATCACGCAGTCAGACCCCACATTCACGTCCCGCCATCTAGCGGATCTTTCATTCGCGAAAACCCTCAATGTTGAGTTAACTGGCTACCTAAGTAAACTAACGACAAACGTTACTTCGACATTACGTTACTTCGAAAGGATATTCGCCTTTTTCTAAGTAGTGTCGTGTCGAAGTAAAGTCATGTCGATATTCAGTAGTGTCGGAGTACCGTAATGTCGAAGTAACGTTTGTCGGAGTAGCATTTTCTAGTATAGCCGAGTTAACTGCGCATTTGGTGACGGTGACGTTACATCGTCGCTCTGGTACTCTGTAAATTTGTTGTGTTTGTAAATTATGCGTTCACTTCCCAGGTAATCTTCCACCCCGAGTTCCTAACCTCCACCAACCCGCTCTTCGGGCTGGACTACGAGGAGTTCGTCCGCGGCTGCCATCTTGGAGTCTTCCCTTCGTACTACGAGCCATGGGGCTACACGCCCGCAGAATGCACGGTCATGGGAATACCTAGTGTTACCACTAACTTATCGGGTGGGTGCTCTCTGTAATCTGTAATCCGTACTATGTATTGTGTACTCTGTGCTCTCTCTGTTCTCAATACTCAGTAATCAGTATTCAATACTTTGTACTCAATACTCCCTAATCAGTATTCAATATTCACTAATTAATATTCAATACTCGCTAATCAATATTCAATACTCGCTAATCAGTATTCAATACTTTGTACTCAATACTCCCTAATCAGTATTCAATACTCACTAATTAATATTCAATACTCGCTAATCAATATTCAATACTCGCTAATCAGTATTCAATACTCTGTACTCAATACTCACTATTTGGTATTCAATACTTTGTACTCAATATTCACTATTCAGTATTCAATACTCACTAATACTCACTAATCAGTATTCAATACTCGATAATGAGTATTCAATATTCAGTATTCAATACTCACTAATCATTATTCAATACTCGCTAATCAGTATTAAATACTCTGTACTCAATACTCACTATTCAGTATTTAATGCACTGTACTCAATACTCACTAATCAGTATTCAATGCTCTGTACTCAATACTCATTAATCAGTGCTTAATACTCTGTACTCAATACTCACTAATCAGTATTTAATACTCTGTAGTCAGTATTCAATTCTCAATACTCAGTATTTGATACTATATCCTACTAAATACCCACTAATCAGTATTCAATACTCTGTACTGAATACTCAATATACTCACTATTCAATACTCTGTGTTGAATACTCAGTATTCACTATTCAATACTCTGTACTCAATACTCAGCAATCAGAATTTATTAATCAGTTGCCAGTCATCAGAATTTAATACTCAATACCCAGCCCTTAAAATGAAAAGCGTAGTTAAAAGTTATTGTGGAAAAAAAACTTATTACGAGTGAAAGGGGAAGATTCTTAAATTCTATGCTTAATTGAAAAACATGATGCTTCATTTCCCCACTAAAATTCTATTTACTTTATAGCTACGTTTGTTTCCAGGTTTCGGCTGCTTCATGCAGGAACACATAGCGGATCCCATGTCTTACGGTATATACGTGGTGGACCGCCGTTACATATCGTTGGAGGGCTCTGTTCAACAACTGGCCCAGTATATGTTCGATTTTACCAAGTAAGTGGACTAAATGGGTATTATGATGTACAGTCAGCTTCAAATAGATCGTGATACCCAAAGTAGGCAAAAGTTCGCAACACGTCTTTGTTACAATGAGGGCTATCGTTTTTATACTTAACAGTTGGCACCCCTGGCGAATGACAGGACCTTACTCTATAGTGGCGCCATCTTGATGAGTGCAAATGCGATAGTCCTCCTACCACTTTAGCGCTCACCAGTTGGTGCCACTGTCTTCGCTACTAGCAAGTGACAGGACCTTACTCTACAGTGGCGCTAACTGGTGAGCGCTAAAACGATAGCCCTCATTGGAATAAGGTTGTATTGTCAACTTTTTGGTCACTTTGGGTGTCACGAACTATTTGAAGCTGACTATACGGGAGAGGTGACGTATGACGTGACTTATGGTCCTATGTCCCCTAGATGGGGCAGAGGGCGTCCACAACAGTCCTCCATCTCGTTCGGTCTTGAGCTTCTCGCTTGATCTCGCTCCGATCGTCTTGCCGATCTTCTTCGCCTCGTCCGCTACAGTGCGCCGCCAAGTTTGCCTGGGTCGACCACGTTTGCGTTTTCCTTGGGGATTCCAACTTGACGTATGACGTAACAGAGCATATAATCTAGAGCACGTCTGAAGTCTCGCTGACATTTGACGTTACAAAAACACATTCCCGCGTCGCTCCCATACCTCAGGCACTCACTGAGTAAGCACTAAATCTTGTAACTCGTATTTCTTTCAGGTTAACGAGAAGGCAGCGTATTATTCAAAGAAACAGAACCGAGAGGTTGTCAGACCTCATGGACTGGAGGAATCTTGGGATTGTAAGTACATTATAACAATAAATATCTTTGGAAAATCTCACACAGCGCCATCTAACCCCAAAGGAAGCAATTAATATGCTTTAACTTCGAACTCCTCCTATGTTCTTCTGATTAAGTTCGTTGCGGGTCCAATGACAGTTTAACTTTCCCCCGGGACAAACTTGACCTTCACTGGTTGGGTTATTGGCGGTCAAGCTGTAGATCCTGGCTACACAGGAGTTGCAGCGGTGGGAACGAGAGGTGGGAATAGTCCCGTGATCACTTTAACTCTTGCTGCGCGACCTATAAAAGCTACGCTTAATTTGTGACTATAGTCTGGTCTGCGCGCACGTAGAATTTCGTCCAATGACCCCAAGCTACCCATCCTAATCGCTCGCGCGTAATTATATTGCTGTCGCGCTCGCACACTCAGCGGGCGCCCTTCGCACAGTCGCGACAGCAATATAATTACGCGCGATAAGGATGGGTAGCTTGGGGACAAAATTCTACGTGCTCACAGACCGGGCTTTAGATGGCGCTGTGTACAATTTCCAAGAATATTTATTTATATATTATTATATTCTATTTATTTATATAACTTTATGTATTACAGTACTACAGGCAAGCCAGAGCGCAAGCGTTGAAGATAGTATACCCAGACTACGTAGACCATATGGACATACAACTGGGCAAGAGATTCAACTACCCCCGGCCCATATCTGAGCCGCCAAGCCCTACGCACTCTAGTAAGTAGTTTTTGTCGTATTTAGTTTGGTTCATCATCATCATTTCAGCCACAGGACGTCCACTGCTGAACATAGGCCTCCCTCAATGACTTCCACATCGCACGGTTGGTTTGGTTGAGACGGCGGAAATACTGTATATACAGGATGTAATTTTTTTACTTGATAAAAAAGGGGTTCATTATACTACTCATTTCATATTGGTCTTGTAGGACAAGTAGTTGTATTTGAGTAGTAGAATCAATGTTGCTTAATTTACCCAATATTGGGAATATTACCATAGGAAATTAATTTCGAGGAAGATTTTGGAATATCCTTTAAGTTGCTGGCAATATTGCTAAAGTTGCCCAAAATTAGTGTTTTTTAGGTGTTATTAGAAATATTAGTAATTTATATCAATAAACTAGGAATATTTTTCCAAATAGTGCGTCGCCACGACCACCCGATGCGTATATCCACCTCATTCATCAAGGAGATACCGAAAGAGACGAAAGATGAGCAGGTCCAAACCATAGAAGAGCATATAGTAGACGTGCAACGCAAAAACATGATCAACGTGCAAAAGTCCCTCGAAATACTTGACATAGACGACGATGAGAACGAGACGGAAGCGGATGTCTCTTTCGAGAAACCGACGTTTACCGAATCGGAGGGCGAGAATTACCGAACGCCGAGCGATTTTCTCGAGCCGCTGAACGAAGCGGTCGCCGAACAAATCGACCAATTGATCGCAAAGTTGAACGATTGTGTTGAAAATGAGAAGGATGAATAGGTTCTGTTTTTGTTTTGTCGCACTTTTTTTGTTTTTTTTTTTGAGTGACACTGTTTTTTTTTGGTTTAGGGTTTTTTCGTACCTTTTTTAGTTTAGTGTTTTTTGATCCGTATAAAGTATCATTTTAGGTTATGGTTATTTTGTGACTTATTTATTAACAACCGTGTATTTTTTTGTCACTTAGCGACCACTGATTTTTTTTAAAAGTTTTTCTTTTTTGTTCCACTAGCACTGTAAGTTCAATAAGTTGTTATTAATATAAATGAGTGTAGAAAATAAAAGATGTAGTTTAAAGTGATTAATTTGCACTTCATTTAGATTCGATTTTGTAGCGTTAGATTTACCAGACTACGTCAAAAGAAGACAAAATGATATCAGCATAAGTATGTAATATAAATGTCAGCCGTGTAACTCCGTCACATAAGACCCACTCTTCCCGTGGATGTCGTAAGAGGCGACTAAGGGACAAATATGCGAACATCAGGCCTCCCCAACCCGTCTGGCCAGCGTGGGGAGTGTAGGACAAATCCTCTTGCCTCTGGTCAATTAGAGGGTCGTGCTCCTGCAGTGGAGACTAAATGACCTATAGCCGTATTCACGTAACAAAAGGACCTGCAAGCGATTTTATCGCTAGAGTCACTTTTCGTATTCACGTGTTAATCGCCCGATTTTGTTTCGATTTCGTATTCAATCGTTGCCTCCGCAGTATTAACCTATTTTGAAGTTTGGTTCAATTATACGTCAAATGACAAATCGCTGAGTTGCGATCCTATCGAGTAATTGTTCTATCGAAATGACACGTAAATACGGATTTAAGACTGTTTTTCAATAGGACGACTTCTAAAAGTCAACGAGATTTTGACTGTGTCAAAATATGTGAATTAAGCCACTGATGATGTATTATAATATTCATTTCGCTCAACAGGAGCGACCACACCGGCAGCGTCAGTCCACGGCTCGGATGACGAAGACGAAGTTGATGAGGAGAAGGAACTCGCCGAATTGAGGATCGCTGACTAAAACCATAGACTATACCGGTACGTTGTCTTTATCTATGAACATCCTTTATAGGTTTTTTTGGAGAAAGCTGGCACGATTTACAAATTGAAGTGTGAATAAGGAGTTGTTATAAAAAACCATAAACTATAAACCTGTAAGTTGTCTATGATTATTCCTTAAATAATGTTTTGTTAGAAATCATTGAGGAGTTGTTATGAAAACTTTAAAAACCATAAAATGTAAATGTTATCTTTGAACATACCTTGTATTTTGTCCCAAACGATTTGGCACGAGTATCACAAATAATAGAATGGCAGCTGTCATTGTGACAGATCTGTCTTGTACTCTAGATATTTTTGAAGCTGTTTGTAAGAAATAAAATTGTTTTTGGCAAACGTGGAAACACTATAGCCATAGAGGAGAAGAAGAAGAAATAATTTTATTTCTTTCGTTTTGTTTTAACATTATGCTGAAGTTTATTATTACATCACATAACAGACTACATCCGAGATTAAATGTGTGAAATTTTATATTTTTAACCAACTTCAACAAAAGGAGGAGGTTCTCAATTCGGTTGGTATATTTTTTTTACTTGTAACACTTTTTTGATTTATATTTTTCCAGCATTCTGTATATTTTATTTCGGTATATCAAAAGTGTGAAATGTTTTCAATAGTGTACTAAAACATAGTATTTGTCTGCACATATTACAATATATACACCCTGTATTTATAATATTTATACTACTGAAGATTCAATTTGGTTCTTCGAATTCCGAAAATCAAAGAAAAAATACTTGATTGATTCATCATTTTATTTATTTAACTTATTGAACTTTAAATCAATCATTTTGTTATACAACATTTTTATTATACTTGTACATATTTTTATATTCAGAATCTTTATAAAACCATCTTGCCTCAGAGGATTTATATTTTTATATAATTTTATTTACTCTGTTCTTAGTTTATCAAAACAGTGTTGATTCATAATGTATTTCGTGTGTCACTTCATTGTTTGGTTTTTATTCCTATTATATTTATGAAATATATAAGTCAAAATGAATTTATATATTATTTACACCCTATATAATATAAGTTAAGTTTAAAAAAATATATAAAATAGAGGGTTATTCTCGAAAAATCTTCATTTTATTTTTTTGGTGTTTAAATACAACAACTATTACTTTGAATATTTTTAGAATAACCTTGTATTTTTACCCGTCTACGGAAAGAAGGGTTCTAAATATAAGATATTTCCTTAAAGTAAATAATTTTAGAGATAGTCAGGGTTTGGTTAAAGTAACATAGTCTGCGCATTTTAAGCTAGGAATTTACTATAAGTATATTTTTATTTGATGTTTTTTTTGTGTTTTCTTGTTAACTAATCGGAAATAATTGAAATTTAGTTATATATAAAATATACTTTTAAAGTAAAACAGGTAAAATATAATGGATTTTATTTTATTGTTATGACCATTAAATTGATTTAAAAAATATTTACCTGTGAAAGTCAATCTTAAACATTTTAGCGCATAGAATACATAGTATATTTATACATATAAATAAGTTTAACTATGCAGTATAATAGTTCAACACGCTTAATAGAATCACACTTATAGAGATCAAAATAGAGGCATAATTTAGTTTAATAAATGGCTGAAAAATAAAAAAAAATATACAAAAAAAAACGTGTCAAAAATGTTCAAGTTACAGTATAAATTATTGCATAAGTATAATAATTTGTCTGTGCGAGTGTTAGCTGTTTTATATAAATTTATAGATCATAACAATCGAAATGAGACGGTAACAATATTAATTTTAATTGTTTTGGTCATTATTATAAGTCGGTGTAGATGTAATATAGTGTAATTAAAGATAATATAGTTATAACTTAAGAGCCTGTCAAATTTTATGTCTTGACCTGGACAGAAATGTGTAATTTCAATAATATTTACATATTGTATGTATAATTTATATATTATAACAAAATATAAATTAAAAATGAATTGTAAGTTGTTATAATTGAAAAAATTACATGTATTATGTATTTTGCATGAATTATATTTCTGTATAGGTTATACTTATACTATTGAAGCTTCTTTACTGCCATTTTATCGAGCGTTGGTGTAGTATCAGATTTTAAAGCCTTATTAGTAAAAAAGGGGGATAAGTAAATCTATACTGATATTATAAATGCGAAAGTAACTCTGTCTGTCTGTCTTGCTTTCACGCCTAAACCACTGAACCGATTTTGATGAAATTTGGCATAGAGATCCCGGGAAAGGACATAGGATAGTTTTTATCCCGGTTTTTAAAACGCGATAAAGTTTTTCTGTGACAGAAAAATTACACGCGGCCGAAGCCGCGGGCGGAAAGCTAGTTCGTAATAATCTTGACGTGATCTACTTCTTAATTGTCACTGATACTATACCAACGCGGTTTTCCAGTCAATATTAACTGTAGTTTAGTTTTAAATCTGTTGAATTCGTCGTCTTTCTGACTATGTCTCGAAAAAGGAAATTATGGACATTTTAAAAAGGCATGACGTTTGGTTGATTGTAAGCCCTCCGCTGCGTTGAGCTATACAAAAATAGTCAGATTTTTGAGAAAAAAATACAATGTGTAAACAACTTTGTCAATCCCTATTACATTTTGTATTGATACGATCTGACCGTGCGGGCACGAGCAAAGAACGGAAACTGACAAGTGCGGGTGGTGCGTTCATTTGAACTGACCGCAGATCGCAGAACGTATCCATTGTGACAAATGCTTTCGAACGCTATATATGCTTGTGTTAGGACCGGGTCTGTCAGTCGGTCTGTCTCGCTTTCACGCCTAAACCACTGAAGCGATTTTGATGAAATTTGGCATAGAGATAGTTTGAGTCCCGGCAAAGGACATAGGATAGTTTTTATCCCGGTTTTTGAAACAGGGACGCGCGCGATAAAGGTTTTCTGTGACATACAAAATTCCGGGCGAAGCCACGGGCGGAAAGCTAATGTATCATAAAACAGTATATTATATTCTGTATATTATAATGCTCAACGCAGCGGTCGGTATATAAATTGTTTTTAAGTGCCATATAATACGGACTTGTTATATAGGTTTAGAAATAAATTGTGTTACTAAATATTGGATCTTTTATTTTAACTAATACATAAATACTAATTTCAATTTGTTATACCTATTAACATTTTTGTTATTATTTTAGTGAAACCATTAAGTTCTCTTTAGTCTTTTTTTGATTCTGTAGAATTATCGTCTTTTTTATTTGTTTCTTGTTTTTCTTCTTTATCTAATTTGTCAGATGGTTTTTCTTTTTCATTTGTTTCTTGTTTTTCTTCTTTTTTTAATTCACCAGATTTATTTTCTTTCTCATCATTCTTACTTTTGTCTTCGGGATCATCTTTGCCTTCCTTTGTCGGGCGTTCAGTAGTCTCAACCTTACTGCTTTCCGTTGTACGTTCATTTTTAGTTGTCTCTGCATCTGGCCGTTTTGTGGTTTCCGTAGTCGTGGATTCTGTAATAGTTGTTGATTTTTCTTCTTTATCTTTAGGAGTTTCAGTAGTACTAGTATCTTTTTCAGGGGCTTTAGTAGTTAAATCGATAGCATCTTTCTTTGCTTCAGTTGGGACTTGAGTTGATTCATCTTTCTTTGGATCTTCATCCTTATTTTTATTTATGTTAAGTTTAATATCAACATTAAGGTCTTCAGAGTCTTTTAATTTAGAAACATCCTTTAAAACCTTATCGGGGTCGTCGTTCGAGTAGAAAATGAATATATTTGTCACTTTCTCTCCTACAGTATTTCCGTACACATTTTTAGCTTCAAAATTTGACACACCGTGTTTTGGTTTGCTTTCTTCTTCTTTATCTTTATTGTTATTTAATTCCTCCACTTTTTTCTTTTCCTCTTGATCGTCTTTTGTTTTTTCATCTAAACTTTCATGTTTTTCTTTTTCTTTAACATCGTCAATTGTTTTATCACTATCTTTTGTTTTAACATCTTTCTTTTCTTTATCATCTTTACTAGTTTTCTTCGAATCGTTGTCTTTGAAAGGTTCTAACCTATCATCTTCTTTAGGTTTTCTGATTTCTTTCTTTAATTCTTCGAATAGTTTTTCTACTTGTTTCTTGACTTTTTCCTCTACGCCTTTAATGGCTCCATTTATGTGCTATAAAAGAAAAAAAAGGGTATTTAAGACATTTTTAATGTAACTTACATACAGAGTGTCACATAATAGTCATCTCTGAAAAGATGATACTTTTTCGAATGCATTTTTTTTCTAGACGGTCATCCATTAGTCATCTTCTTAAGTTTGGCATGGTATTTATGTATATGTGGTAGTCAAGCTATATTGGGACGTGTATACTCATAAGTGCTCCGAAAAGGTCTTTCATACTAATTTAAATACAAAAATTGTGTGATCCTGACAGTAATACAATTCGGTTAAAATACTACACAATCTTAGAAGTTTTTTTATGCAGAACAAAGCAGGTATTCGACTGCCATCGCACCTAGTGTTAAGTGAGATGCAGTCTAGGATGGTACATATCTGCCATGTAAGTGCATTCACTCTCGCCTTGAAGAAGCCCGGATTATAGTGTTCAGTAAAGACAGCTATAGCATGCAATATTAAAGCTTTTGAGACAGTTAAAAATAAGTCTTAATCCGAAGTAATTAGTCTTAAATTAACTAAACTTACATCAGTTAGTAATTCCATGTACACAGAAGTCCATTCAGCGAGCCAGTTCCGAAACTTCTTCTGGAATAAATAAATAAAATACACTGTCATATTTCTCAGTGCAATAGATATTCAAAAGATTAATTAATCATGATTATTAATCTTGATTGAAATAATCACGATTAAAAAAGTAATCATAAACATGATTTAAATAAATAAAATAAATATCCTTGGACATTTTACACTGCACTTCTAGTCCCAAACTAAGCAAAGTTTGTACTAGTCTATGGGTACTAGACAACGGATATAAACATACTTAAATACTTTTGTTTTGTAAATACATACATATTATACATAGAAAACACCCAGTCCAATAAAAAAATAATAATATGTTCATGCACACAAATGTTTGTACCTACTGTGCGGGAATCGAACCCGCAACCTCCGGAATAGTAGTCCGTTTCGAACCACTACACCAAACGGCCGACAATTTGTTTTTAAAATTTAATAAACTTACATTCCCCATTAATTGATCAATTACATCTTCCGCATCATTGTGTTCGTGCCTTTTTCTGCCCTTCTCTTCATTGCTGACATTCTGAAATAAATATAAATTCAGTAACTGATTAATCCCTATGCTTGGACGAATCAACCTCCCTATAATTATGTCATTATGGCGGGTTTTAGAATCGCGTTGACCGCTCGTTGATCGTCTGCGCTGACAGATCAATATGTATGTAATTGAAGGGAACGTTCCTGAGTGACGCTGATCGCTCGGCGCCGACGCTCCATACATTTCGGCTGTCAGCGCTGACGGTCAGCGTGCGTCAGCGTGACTATAACCAGCCTAACTTCGTCTATTGTACAGTCATAGTCAAATAGTTCGTGACACCCAAAGTAGCCAAAAAGTTCGCAACACGTCTTTGTTACTATTGGAATAAGGTTGTGTTGTCGACTTTTTGGCCACTTTGGGTGTCACGTACTATTTGATGCTGACTTGTGCCATAAATCAATGGTTTTGCTATCTATATTCTATACTAATACATATTATAAATGCGAAAGTAACTCTGTCTGTCTGCCTATCTGTCTGTCTAGTCTGTCTGTCTCGCTTTCACGCCTAAACCACTGAACCGATTTTGATGAAATTTGGCATAGAGATAGTTTGAGTCCCGGGAAAGGACATAGGATAGTTTTTATCCCGGTTTTTGAAACAGGGACGCACGCGATAAAGTTTTTCTGTAACAAAACAGACAAAATTTCACGCGGGCGAAGCCGCGGGCGGAAAGCTAGTAAACAATAAATAATTATAGTTACTCACATTTTCTTTAGGTTCCTGTTTATCTTCTTTTTGTTCTTCCACGTCATCTTTCAAAATACTAGCCTGAAAGTAGTTAAAATCAAAATCAAATTAATATCTATTCATTACGGATTTTAAACGTAAGTAAGTAGGTAAGTAAAGATTTAAAATCAATGAGGGTTTTTGCGATTGAAAAATCCGCCAGATGGCAATACGTAGACGGGAGGTCCAAATGCTGCATGATTGGTTATTTTTGACATGACATTGACAGATATGTCAAAATCCACCAATCACGCAGCAGTCAGACCCCACATCCACGTCTCGCCATCTAGCGGATCTTTAATTCGCGAAAACCCTCATTGGAAAGCTTGTGTTGTCAACTTTTTGGCCACTTTGGATGTCACGTACTATTTGATGCTGACAGTGCCATTAATCAAAGGTTTTGCTATAAACAATAAAATATTGTAGTTACTCACATAATCTTCTTTAGGTTCCTGTTTATCATCTTTTTCTTCTTCCACGTCTTCTTTCAAAATTCTAGCCTGAAAGTAGTTAAAATCAAAATCAAATTAATATTTAATCATTACGGAATACGGATTTTAAACGTAAGTAAGTAGGTAAGTAAAGATTTAAAATCAATTGAAGAATTTCGTTATTTCGTGCAAGGGTTGTATTTATCAATCTTGTGTAGGATCTTCTTTTACTTACTTTGTCTTCTTTTTCATGCTTGACATCTTTTTCTTCTGACCTATCATCGGGTATTGTCTGAAAAATATTGAGATAATTAAATCTATTGAAAATCTGGACACTATTTCTGTTGCAAACTACAACCCAATCGTGGTAACTGCGTACCTCGCTGGAATGCGACTTCTTCGCACTCACTGGCACCAGAGTAAATACAAATGAGTAGGTCATCTTCATAGAAACGCACCGTGCGCGGCAAACAAAGCGCCAATACGTATGCGGCGCGCACGCACGCACTGATAAAATTTAGCGGGGAGTTGCGCCGAATTTTGTCAGTGTGTGCGCGCGCGCCGCATACGTATTGGCGCGCGCTCACATCGAACCGCACTCGGTGCGTTTCTATGAAGATGACCTACTCATTTGTATTTACTCTGCTAGCACACCTCCCCGCGTCTCCCCGTCTGTACCAGATCGTTGTGACGTCACGGCCGCCAGATGCGCAGTTAACTCGATCTGGTTGTACAGGATAGTGGATTAAATAGCACTTACCTCTTCTGTTGATTCTGAAGCTTCTACGTTGTAATGGATGCTGGGTTTTGTCAAGTCCTGAAAATAAAAAACAATAGGTAAACTCTTTATGGAGTCTTTAAATTTTGAACTCAATATACACTCGCGAGCAAAACTATGGAATCACTTACATGAAGTTGTTTCCACGCGAACTTGTGTACTAACGAATTTGTTAGTAACAAAAAAAGTGGCACCATTTTAAAGATTAAACTTTTATCTTTAAATTGATACCAAATTCATTTAAATCACACCGGTATTTAAAAAGATATCCCGGCTGATGTGAAGAAGTAACGAGAAAGACATGTATGAACTGTTTGATACGTCGCGAGTTGCGGCCTATTTAGACCCTATAAAAGCACGCGTTTTCGGATTTTTGCTTTCACACGTTGATTCATACACATCTCCGCTTCTTTTGACACTTTACCTGGGATTCTACACCTTCAGAAGCAGCAAAAATCGTTGCACTATTGCAAGAAAGGCTCAGCCAGCGGGCTGTCGCACGTCAGCGCCACATAAGCCAGTCCTGGGTTTCGAAAGTTTCAAGACGCTTTCGGGAGACTAGTGGCTTTATCCCGAGACCAAGTTCTGAACAGCGCCGGTGCACATCGCAGAGGGAAGACCGTTTTTTCATGTCAACCTCTCTATGAAATCGTCATTTGACTGGAATCGATGTCCATCAAGAGCTCAGAAATGTTCGTAAGATAGCTGTTAGCGAGTGGACAGTTCGTCTAAGATATAAGCAATAGAATTTGACTCCAAAAAGGCCTGCCACAGGCTCGAAACTGACGGCAGGTCACCGATAAGCACCCTTTCAATTTGCTCGTACACATCTCGATGGGAAGGCGAGTAATGGAGGCGAGTTCTGTTCTCCGATGAATGCAAACTGTGTTTGCAGGGCAGCAGTCGAAGAGGTCGGGTTTATAGGCGGCCTGAGGAGCGATTTGTGCAGTGCTGGTTCGCTGAAACAGTGGCTTATGGGGGTGGCTTGCTCGACTTAACATCGAGATGTGTACGAGCAAATTGAAAGCGTGCTTATCGGTGACCTGCCGTCAGTTTCGAGCCTGTGGCAGGCCTTTTTGGAGTTAAATGCTATTGCTTATGTCTTAGACAAACTGTCTACTCGCTAACAGCTATCCTTCGAACATTTTTGAGCTCTTACTGGACGTCCATTCCAGTCAAATGATGATTTCATAGAGAGGTTGACATGAAAAACGGTCTTCCCTCTGCGATGTGCGCCGGCGCTGTTCAAAACTTGGTCTCGGGATAAAGCCACCAGTCTCCCGAAAGCGTCTTAAAACTTTCGAAACCCAGGACTGGCTTATGTGGCGCTGACGTGCGACAGCCCGCTGGCTGAGCCCTTCTTGCAATAGTGCAACGATTTGTGCTGCTTCTGAAGGTGTAGAATCCCAGGTAAAGTTTCAAAAGAAGCGGAGATGTGTATGAATCAACGTGTGAAAGCAAAAATCCGAAAACGTGTGCTTTTATAGGGGGTTAATAAGCCGCAACTCGCGACGTATCAAACAGTTCATACGTGTATTTTTCGTTACTTCTTCACATCAGCCGGGATATCTTTTTAAATACCGGTGTGATTTAAATGAATTTGGTATCAATTTAAAGATAAAAGTTTAATCTTTAAAATGGTGCCACTTTTTTTGTTACTAACAAATTCGTTAGTACACAAGTTCGCGTGGAAACAATTTCATGTAAGTGATTCCATACTTTTGCTCGCGAGTGTAGGTGATCAACTTCCTTTATTATAAACACTCTTCAAGTTCGTTTCGTTCGTTCGTTTCAGCCAAATGACGTCCACTGCTGGACAAAGGCCTCCTCCAAGGTTTTAAACAAGTACACACACTCTTCAAGTACCAGCGATCAATTGTCATAAAAATTGTCGCAAATCAATAAAATTGTTACCGCGGTCTCATGCGACCACAGAGTTCCACGAGTTAAATCAAATTTTAATTAATTTGTCCTTTACCCCAAAAGGATTTAATGTATAGGTATTTTGTATACCTATTAATGAATCACAATTTTCAAATCATGATAGCCAAATGGTGATGAGATCGGACTGGCCGACTCATCATCCGAGGGTTCGAACCCCGCTGACGCTCGACTATTTAATGAGGGCTATCGTTTTAGCGCTCACCAGTTAGCGCCACTGTAGAGTAAGGTCCTGTCACTTGCTAGTAGCGAAGACAGTGGCACCAACTGGTGAGCGCGAAAGTGGTAGGAGGACTATCGCATTTGCACTCATCAAGATGGCGCCACTGTAGAGTAAGGTCATGTCAATTGCCAGGGGTGCCAACTGTTAAGTATAAAAACGATAGCCCTCATTGTGGTGAGCCCACTCGTGACCCAATCATATTTAGCTTAACCGCTTGAGTCCCAGACGGCATTAATTAATGTCATAACAATTGATTATCTATTGTGTCGGCCTTGAAGGATTAATACGAGGGGTTAAAGGGGCTATTAGTAATTTGTGCAAAAACAAATTACTAAAATTTTTTTATCCCCAATGCAACGGTGAAGCTCTTGGCCTGTATCTCACCTGATGGTAAGTGATGATCAGGCGAAGGTGGAAGCGAGCTTCATCCGGAATCCTCAACCACAGAGGAACTGGCTATCTTACCTCTAACTGCCGGAACACAACAATGAATTTAAATAATACTCACATTCCACACATATCCACTGTCCTCAGTCAGGTTCATCCCATACGTCCTGGGTTTCATCCCTCGTGGTTTCTCCTCAGAGCTGTCATCAGTCTTCAGCCTGGCCATCATCTTCTCCATGCGACGTATGATGTCATCCAGCATATCCTCTTCATCATCAGGGACGATAGCTTTTCTGGCTTGCTGGAAGTAGAAAGAAGAATCCTCATCATCATCATCATCATCATCATTTCAGCCATAGGACGTCCACTGCTGAACATAGACCTCCCCTCCCCACTTGACATGGGGCACACAGAAAACCAGCGTCGTGGCCTTCCTTACCGGGGGCCACGGCATATGCTGAGTGGGGTCCCATTGCGATGGGCATCGCTGTGCGACAGGGTGGCACTGTTCAGTTTACTTTCTCTTCAATTGTATGTTTTATGTGTTACCTCTGTCTTGTTTGTTTTACCATTTTTGTCTTTTGTGATGTCCATGGCAATAAATGTTTCTTTCTTTCTTTCTAATGATTTGATAATGACTGGTTGGTAGCGGCCTGCATCCAGCGCCTTCCTGCTACTTTTATGAGGTCGTCGGTCCTCTTATACGAAGAAGATAAGAAGTAGAATTTGGTTGGTAATGATAAATTTGTTTATCCATAACGAGGAAGTTCTTGATCATCAATTTCCATCATGTGAAATGTAGAATCTCACCTGGAAAGTGATGATCAGGCTGTAGGTGGAAGCGAGCTTTACCAAAAATCTTCAACCACAGAGGAACTGGCTCTCTTACCTCTAAATGCTGAACACAATGTAACAATGCTGTTAACATTGTTGTTATGGCGACAGACTTAGGTAAGATGGTGCTAGCCAGGCGGACTTAGAACAAGCCCTACCACCAACTAAACCGAGCAGAAAAATCTGCCACTGCTGGGAATCGAACCCGGGACCTGTGGGTCTGAAGTTGGTCTTATCAATATACCATAGTAGCTCTTTTTCGGTAGCAAGTACTTTTAATAATTCTTTGAATTTAAGAATAGGCAGGTACAGTCAGCATCGAATATTTCGTGACACCCAAAGTTGTGGAATTGGAATAAAGTTGTGTTGTCATCATTTTGGCCACTTTGGGTGTAATAATCTGAGGGAGGTAATAACATATTTGAAGAGTAAAACTTACAGGTTCTTCTCTAGAAAGCAGGTTGCGTAGGTATGGAGGTAGACTGTCGTAGTTCAATTCACCAAGTTTAGGTGCTTCTGGGATGTCGTCCTAGAATACATAAACATTTAATTCTGTGCCAATAGAAAGGAAGAAAGAAAGAAAAATATTTATTCAGTATCATCGACAATACATTTACAACAATACTTAAAATTATTTAATGAGTATTATTATTATTATTGGTTTTGGGCCTTCATTTGCGCCATCTCGACCAGGTTTGATCTATTGTGGCAGCCCTTGTCTTTAGAGTTCACTTAGTCCCGTTGAGTCTATAAATTTCCAGATTCTTTGGAGCGTGATATCTGCTATCTCATCCGGGTGCATGATGTGTCGCCCGAGATGGATACTTCTTTTGCTCATAATCGGGCCGCATGAGCAAAGAACATGCATGGCCGCAATTAATGAGTAGGTAATTACAATAATACTGAAAAGTACAGTAAAATTGCTAGTTATAACCCGATCAAGTTAACTGCGTACCTCGCTGGAATGCGACTGTCTATCCCACTCACGCGCACACCACCCGTCGCCCCGTCCGTACCAGAGGGCTGAGTGTGATTTAACATTAAACGTCCTCATTAGTGAGCGCGTCTAAAAAATATTTTACATGAAAATTTTAGTTCTAGAAAGTTTCCGCTAGGGGCGCTGTACAATCCGTCATACATTTTAATGTCACTTTTTTACACGCTCACTGGTGAAGACGTTTAATGTAAACTCGCACTAAGCCGTCAGAGCGTCGATGTGACGTCACGGCTGCCAGGTGCGAAGTTAACTTGACCGTGTTGCAGATACGGGTGTTTTTTTAAACATACAATTACATTACATAAAAATTATGCTCTACTTGGTTGAAGAACTTACCATGCTTATTTCTCTTTTTCTTCGCTCCGATGGTGGGGAACTCTGTAAAAGATAAAAATGTAATATTAGTAAATAAGTAAGTATTCGAAAATGTATATAAAATTGGTTACTAGCATAGCGCTTAACTGAGTCAGTGCCTGTACCTCTAGCATGAACAACTTTCGTCTTCGAATCGTTTGCGTATTCGACAAAATTCGATACTCAACCTTCGAATTAAACGATAACGTGACAATTTTGATTCTCAAAATAAGTTTCGTTCAACCATTTCTCATACTAAGTTCACTTTACGACACGTTCACAAGGGCGCTGTTGTAGTTTTCGTACTAAATCTTTTGATGGCGATTCGAGCACGCAAACGATTTGAACTTGAAAGTTTTTGACAGATCATATAAATCTGAAGGAAATCTGAAGTCTCGCTGACGTTTGACGTTTAAAGAACACCCTCCCGTGCCGCTCCCATACCTCAGGCACTGACTGATTTAAGCGCTAGACCTATAACAAAATGGCAAGGATTTAGAGTAAGTAACATTAAAATACCTGCGTTTCATTCTTTGAATAATATTTCTCTTTTACTCGATCAAATAGTAGTTTTCTCGTAGATTTCGCCTGAAATTATCATAAATTATTTAAGACTATTAATTAAATTATTATCTAATGCCTACATACATACATACCTATGCATAAAGTAACGACGGGACTGTTCCCGCCTCTCGTTCCCACCGCAACTCCTGTGTAGCCAGGATCTACGGCTTGACCGCCAATAACCCAACCAGTGAAGGCCAAGTTTGTCGGGGAAAGTTAAACTGTCATTGGACCCGCAACGAAATTAATCAGAAGAACATAGGAGGAGTTATGAGTTATAACATTGATAAAGTAATAACTTTATAATTATCTCCCTTCACCGGTTGGGTTATTGGCGGTCAAGCTGTAGATCCTGGCTACACAGGAGTTGCAGCGGTGGGAACGAGAGGTGGGAATAGTCCCGTATCATTATCTCGTGTTCTGTGGTTGACTTACCTTCTTTTCAAAGACAGGCTCTGCAGTGACAGTAGTAACCTGTTTAAAGCAAAATTCAGAATAAGATTTAATTACAAAATCACTATCATCATCAGGTCATTTAGTCTCCACTGCAGGAGCACGACTCATCATCATCATCATCTCAGCCATAGGACGTCCACTGCTGAACATAGGCCTCCCCCAATGCATTCCATGTTGCCCGGTTGGTAGCGGCCTGCGTCCAGCGCCTAGCAACCTTTATGATGTCGTCGGTCCACTTTGCCCTGGTTACCCTCTCTTTCTACCAGAGGCAAATGGAGGATTTGGCCTAAACTCCCCACTGGGCAGACGGGTTGGGGAGTCAAATAAATTTTGAACTCACAGGCACTTGCGTCGTTGTTTCTTCGTTTTCTTCTTCAGATATTTTTTGTAGGACTGTTGTTTTGAAAGCATCGAACTTAGTTACTTCCTGAAAAACATCATCATCATTCAGATTGATTCCTTAGACTCATATTACAATGATTTTTAATTAGGGAAAATTTAACTGACCTCCGGGGCATGAGTTGTCGGTATTTCCCTTTCTTCGAATTCAATTGGATTTTTAAAAGCTTCATCCTGAAACATAATTATTCAAGTGATTTCAAACTTACGTAGAAAATGATCATGCTGAAACTTCAATTCACTTCAAAAGTTTCAATTTAGAAACAAATACTTGAGCTGGATTTGGACTTGAGTCTTGATAACTAAATCTTCATATACGCGTTCGCATTATTATATTATACAGTGTGAGTCACGTTAAAGTGTACATATGAAAATAGATGAAACTAGACCTATTTTTATCGACAAAAAAGAGGTCAAAAATTTTTTGAGATTTTTTTTTAATTTTTTATAGAATTTTTTTTCTTCCAATTACTTATTGTAAAGAAAACGTAATAACTTTTAAACTAAGCGGTATATCCTGATAAAATAAAAACAGTAATAATGCTAAATAACAGGAGATACTAAAAAAATACATAGAATACACAAAATATGCCAACAAATAATAAAAAATGATACTTTTTAAAAAAAATCTGCTTTTAAATTCGTGTTTTTTTGGTTATTTGATAAATTTCTCCAAAAAATGCCCCTATAACAGGTGGTTTTTATTACTTTGTATTATTCTCTATCGTATTATCTTTGTAAAACCAAAAATCGCATGTCTCTATCCCTATCACAACATTTGCTATGATCGTTTGAACAAAGGCCTGCCACAACATTATTCTCCGCTACAGGTAGAGACAATTTTAATTTTAACTAAAATGCTTATTTTACTTCGAAATCTTTTGTTTTTATTTGAAATCTAACTTGTCTTTATCAAAATTACAAATCTAGAGCCATTTTCAGTTTCGTTGTTAACGAAGCGTTGAATGGCGCGCCCGGAGAGGCTTAGTTCAAACGATCATTGCAAACGTTGTGATAGGGATAGAGACATGCGATTTTTGGTTTTACGAAGGTAATACGATAGAGAATAATACAAAGTAATAAAAACCACCGGTTATAGGGGCATTTTTTGGAGAAATTTATCAAATAACCAAAAAAACACGAATTTTAAAGCAGATTTTTTTCAAAAAGTATCATTTTTTATTATTTGTTGCCATTTTTTGTGTATTTTATGTATTTTTTAGTATCGCCTGTTATTTAGCATTATTACTGTTTTTATTTTATCAGGATATACCGCTTAGTTTAAAAGTTATTACGTTTTCTTTACAATAAGTAATTGGAAGAAAAAAAATTCTATAAAAAATTAAAAAAAAATCTCAAAAATTTTTTGACCTCTTTTTTGTCGATAAAAATAGGTCTAGTTTCATCTATTTTCATATGTACACTTTAACGTGACTCACACTGTATTATATCAGATATTTTTAAGTTAGATTAGATCGTTTACTTATTACTACTTAGTTAAGAATCACTTACAAAGTGACCGTAGCGCTTGAGACTAGCCTGTAGCTCTGGAGACTAGAGACACTGTAGTTATACTTAGCTAACACAAAAATAATTATGACCAGCTATTTACCTCGTCATAGTAATATATCACTTCCACAGCATCGTCTTCAATTGGTGTTTCATCTACTATCACGTCTTTCATTTCTGTAGAGTCTTCTTTATTAGCGTCCTCAATGACATCTGCTTCCTAGGGTGAAAATAGTGGAAAAAATTAATAAAGTTTATCAATTTATTTCTCATAAGTTTACTCATGCAGCTGCATGCAGGCTGCTACCAACCGGGCGATGTGGAAATCATTGGGCCTTCTATTCAGCAGTGGACGTCCTGTCCTGTGGCTGAAATGATGATGATGATAGACCTTAGACCAGGACTATTTAGTATTTCTTTTCAATGTCGTATGGCTTTTAATGAGATAATATCATAATAGTATGTGAAAAACTCATTAAAAATAGCTGAACTACATATTAAGAGAACTAAGTACTAGTCACTAAGGAAGCAGCGTAACAATGAAAAAAAAAAATAAAAAAAACATTTCAAGAAAACATGGAACACTTGGTAAGGTGGTGTTCTTCTTAAACACCTTTAAGAAGTACCTTTAAAGTGGGTAAATGAAGTGGGAGTTATTAGTAGGTCAAATAAGTAGACTTCAATAGACTTTCTCAATCTGGATGTCATGTATTAGGTTTCCAATGATGATGATGATAAATTTATTATGTTGAATGAAGTTACCTTTTCCACCGACTCCAAAAACGGGAACCCGTGGCTGTTAGTAAAAGGTCTCATTGTGTCATCGAATTCTGGACTTTCCTTGTCCTGAAAATTCATAAATAGAATAAATTATTAATGTAATATAGTTACCCTTGGACACAACACTGTACTGCGCCATTTAAAAGTCCACTCTTAACTCAGAGCCTGAGGTATGGAAGCGTCATGGGAGGGTGTTTTTTTTATCCACAACGAGGAAACTCTTGGCCTGTATCTCACCTGATGGTAAGTGACGATCAGGCCGAAGGTGGAAGCGAGCTTCACCCGGAATCCTCAACAACGGACGAACTGGCTATCTTACCTCTACTGCCGGAACACAATAATGGTGTTAACATTGTTGTTATGGCGACAGACTTAGGTAAGATGGTGGTAGCTAGCCAGGCAGACTTAGAACAAGCCCTACCACCAACCAAACCGAACAGAAAAATCTGCCCCCACTGGGAATCGAACCCGGGACCTCTGCGTCTGAAGCAGGTGGTCTTACCACTAGACCACAGAGGCGGTTAAAAAGTTTTTGTAAAGTCAAACGTCAGCGAGACTTCAAATCTCCTTCAGATCTGGTTCGGCCAAGCCAACGCGATCACACGCGATCAGCCGGCGTGCAGCGGTGGCGATCAATGCATTTAAGTCTGGTCGCCATCGCTGCACGCAAGATGATCGCGTGTGATCACATTGACTTGGTATCATTTGGTCGAACCGTTCTGTCACGTCATAATATTGTCAAGGCACTAGGTTAAGCGCTATAGTCCCAAACTAAACGAAGTTTGTCATACGCGTACTAGACAACGGATATAACCTTATAACAAACATGAGTATAAGCGCTGTAAGCTATAAATGACTGTATTTTATTGAAAAAGAGGCTGACAAAGGTGACTGAGTTTCTTCCGCCGCTTCTCAGCAACAGCCCATATGTTGTCCCGAAGTGGTGGTAGGGCAAGCTATATTTGGGACGTGTATAAGTGCCCTAGAAAGGGCCTATGTACTGTTAATTATGAAAAATCTAAAACGTTAAAATAACGGTATCGTTGTGGCCAATGAGATGCTGTCATAGTTACATTGACAATACGTCAATGTCACACGAGAATCAAACGTCAGAATAGAGGGACGCGCGGAGACGACTCCGCTAAGACGATTTTGTGCTAAGTAATAAATTGGATCTAAAATAAGGCAATACAATGTGAAAGATGAGTATCCAGTGTTTTATTTATGAGAATAGATCTACCGGCCTTTAATAGTAGGTACTGAATAAACTATTTGAATTTGAACAGTTTACCTCTTGTCCATAAGGTCGCTCTATCATGTGGTAGTACACGATCTCCCTGAGCGTTGGCTTCTCAACTTTGGGGTTCGCAAACGTTATGGTGTTGGTTTCTTTATCCTCTTTTATTTCGTAGATATCTCCTTTCGTTTCGTTTTGGATCTGCAATTTATTTTCATTGATTAATTTTTGACCTAAAGCTACTAAGGCCAAATAAAGGCACGACCTAATTTTAACCGTAACTATATCGATAACCAGTGTTTTTGTATGGAGTTTGAAACTGTTTTTACAGTTAAAGTAAGATCGTGCAACTCAGCCGTATTTAAATATGCCAGAAATGATGATGATGATGTTGATGAAAAGTTTTAAATAAAACTGAAATTCTATGATAGGTTGCTTAATCTTCATCCATGAAATAAAATATTCGTAACAAGTAACGAAATTAGAAACCATACCGGAAAACGCAGCGTGGGACGTCCACCTACAAGGTGGACCGACGACATCGTAAAGGTAGCAGGGAAGCGCTGGACGCAGGCCGCTACCAATCGATCAACATGGAAAGCATTGGGGGAGGCCTATGTTCAGCAGTGGACGTGCTATGGCTGAAATGATGATGATGAACGAAATTAGATAAAACTTACCCCCAATTTCATGATTGAATGACCTAGGATGCCTTTCATCCCAATCAGCAGCGCTGATAATATCTGAAACGAAATTATAAACAATTGGTTTATTGATTTGTGCTTCAGAAACCAAACATTAGTATGAGGTTTCACAGTGCAGCTCAGGGTGACACACAAACCAATCACAGAGCACTATTCAACGCTGTGCGGTCGGTTTGCTGCTTCACTTAAGAAAGCAACGTTTGTGAATACGGGCGTAACTTTGCCCGTAACATTGTAAACGTGAAAATTTTTGTAACATTTTTTATTGATCGATGATAATATTCAAAAACAAAATCATCTTTATCTATACTAATATTATAAAGCTAAAGAGTTTGTTTGTTTACTTGAACGCGCTAATCTCCAGAACTACTTATCCGATTTGAAAAATTATTTCAGTGTTAGATAGTCCATTTATCGAGGAAGGCTATAAGCTATTCAACATCACACTGCGATTAACCCTTTTCTTGGCATCGTAACACGGGTGATACATCATAATTTAAAAAATCCTGAGGGCAGCGAAAGCATTATAAATAATTTATTTTATACATAACACGTTCCTGATATATCATAGAATGAGATTAAAAAAAACTATTCTCACAAAAATGCATTTGGCTGTCAGTTATTTTCGAAATTGGATAACCTAAGCATGTTGGCTTCAAACGCGTGGTAAGTTTAATTGTTTATTGGCGATATCACAAAATATTTGTGTTATTTTCTGTATGTAATTTACAGAAAAAGGATTACTCTGTGTTTTTCGTTTAGTTTGGATGGTGTGTATTGCTATTTGCCGATTTTATAACCGTCCATTTGCCTGTGTATCATATATGTTACATTGCCAAGTGCTTCGTGATGTATTTTTAAATCCAAATTTAAGAAAAAATGCGTATTTTTAAAAGATTTTAGTGTTACATTAGTAGGAAATACAGTAATTAGAGTGAACAAGCTTGTGGAGTGCAATTAGTTCATAAAAATCAATTAAACTCCACCCACCCTACCTTCTGATGCCGTCAAGTATGAAAATGTGGGCCTATTTTCGCTTCTTGTGGAAAATATAAAACTAGAAAATTGGGCAGATAAATATAAAATGCACAAAATATAATCAACTTTTATGTGGTAAAAAGTTATTCGATTTTATGACTTTTATCATTATTGGTAGGTATAAAAAGCAAGAGTCTGAGTAATTATTTATTTGCTATAATTTGATTTGGCATATTCTTTTCACTCTGAGTTTCTGTTTTGATAAGGGAGTTTAAAAATTACCTTTTTAAATTATTTATGTATGTTTTTGTTCATTCAAAATTATTTTTTGAATATTTTAGCTTTTTAATTTTTTATACCCTAATCTTGGCAGTGTATCATATATGATACACCTGGTTTCTGAAAAACTGAAAACAATGTATTTTTTTAAACATTTTTATTGGCCTATTATGATAATACTTAACTCATAAATATCAAAAAAATTAAAATCGTAGTGAATTTTTGGTCATGCCAAGATAAGGGTTAATAGGAGCAGAGCAACAATGAAAAATATTGCGAAAACGGGTTTTCACGCGTACGAAGTCGCGGGCAGAGCTAGTTATTTTTATATAAATAGATTGAATTAGCTTACATTAGATTTAAATTAGAAATCTAACATCTAAAGATTACCTTTCTTTTTACTAAATATAAATAACTCACCAATAAACACTTCATTTCAACACAGACACTGTCACTGCACAATAACGGAACAAATTGATCGAAAATTTTATATTTTCCGTTTAAATATAACTGTTAATAGTTATTTTATCGGGACTATCTTGAGGATCTTATCTTACTTAAAGGAAACTCTAACGAGTGGTAACATTAACTTTATCAGTTCTATTATCTGTCTCATCTTCATCTTGCTTAAATGGTTTGGTATGTTGATCATCATCAGGTCATTTAGTCTCCACTGCAGGAGCACGACCCTATCTAATTTACCAGAGAAATGGATTTAGCCTACAATCCACCGCTGGCCAGACGGGTTGGGGAGGCCCGATGTCCACTCCACCATATATCGTGTCTTCACCATACTTTACTCTCAAAATAGATGTCGGAGCGTCGGGCTCTCGGACGGCACCAGAAGGGTCTCTCATTGAATTCATACTATCTACCTATGTGGGCATATAGGGAACACGTGCGAGTGGATACTAACACTAATTGTAATCACTGATTATAAACGACTAACTTTACTAGACTAGAATGTAAAGACTGGTTCGTAATTTAATCAATATTGTCCACAGTTAAATTTAACAGAAAGATCAAAGTTACTGAATTACTTTAACAAAGCTAGAGACGCCTAGACTTAATAAATTGGGAGCGATTGACGAATTTGTGAACCACGCCCAGTCACCACCACGTCCAAAACCCGAATGTGCAATGCCTCTAACAGTGAGTCCCAAAATCTCTACGTTCCAGGGCTCTGTACCTGAAGTTTTTGTAAAGCTATTAATCCATCAATACTGCACTTGAACGGGTCCACAACTACGTCAGGCAACATGGAGATTTATGTCACCTTCGTTCCCAGGCGCGCACTTAACTCTGGCATAAGAGCTTTGGCGCTGCTTAAAATTCCATAGCAATAAACTAGCTAACACATTGAAAGTGTTGTGAGAACTATAACATTAAGTTATTTAATTTATTGCGCCCCGCGCGCCGACATAGATGTAAAAAGTCAGGTTAATACCTGACAATTCATTGAGACAATCCATTGTCTCAATTGGACACAAAGCATTTCTAGTTTCTTTCATAATTATCTTTTCGGGCTTGTTTTTTACAGGATCTTGTTCAGTACCTCTAGCATGAACAACTTTCGTCTTCGAATCGTTTGCGTATTCGATAAAATTCGATACTCAATCTTCGAATTAAACGATAACGTGACAATTTTGACTCTCAAAATAATTTTCGTGCAACCACATCTCATACTAAGTTCACTTTAAGACACGTTCACAAGGGCGCTGTTGTAATTTTCTTACTAAATCTTTTGATGGCGATTCGAGTAAGCAAACGATTTGAACTCAAAAGTTTTTCATGCTAGCCGTACAGTAGTTTAACTACTTACGTGTTTTAATTGAACATTTACACGTGTGCCGTGGGAAGGGGCCCTTATTTTTATCTGGAATTGCGTATACGGGAACCCCACAAGCAAACAATATAAAATTTTTAGCTTTTTAACTGATAATTGAACCCAGTACCCAGTACTTTTGATACTAAATCTTTTAATCACCACACCATCGTTAACGGAATTACGTCATATCAAATATCCGTATCGAGTTCACGTTAATCTGTGGTTTTAATTACTCTGGATTCGGATAGGCAGTTAATTATTAAAACAATTAGGCAAGAGTCACGGAATGCCAAGATGTTTATGAATGACTAGCTGGCGCGGCGAACTTTGTATCGTCCAGTTAATGATGATGGAGTAAATTACCTAATTTATTTTAAAAGCATAACATTATCGTCATGCCATGAAAAGAAGTATTTACCTAAGCACCTAGGTACTTAGGTGCGAAAGTGTAAGATTAAGGTCAAATTGTTCAATTTAAATAACTTCATAATCAATTCGTAACTCATTTATTTACAAAACGTTTTATAAAATGTAACTATCAATACAACTTCTCAGCATCACTTAAACCTTCGGAGTAGTGCTCTTAACTTCAGTTTTGATTTCTTTCTTCACTGGAATAACTTTGAAATCTTCCATTTCGTCAATAAAATATTTGGTTTTATTCTTAGCGTCTACTTTAGTATCTATCCTTGCATCTTTAGATTTTTGATTTAGATGTTTTAGCGAATCTGTGTGGATATGCCCGTGGTAGACTACACTTGCTATAGGTATGTGTTGAGGCTGATTATTCACTGGGTACGGCGATTGGAATGAGTATACGAGTGGTATAGATAGATGTGTCTCATTCTTGCCTTCCAGTGGTGGCTGGTACGGGGCACGTTCATGAAAAGGCTTCCAGTAATTCGGGATATTGTAGTCAAATTTCGCAGGTCGTAGCTCTTCGCTGTTGTGCCTTAAAGGCGCTTTTTCTTTTGACAATTTGTCAGTCAGCTTCTGTAGAAACGTCTGCAGCATTTCGGTGTTTCTGTTTATTTGCTGCAAAATTTCGTGGGTTATATTGTCTTGTTTTGGTGCTGGCGTTGTTGGTTTAGTAGTTGTGGTTCTAGTAGTAGTTGTTACGGTTGTTGAAAATTCGTTTTGAGATTGTAATTGAAATAGAGCTGATGCTAGCAGTTTGGTAACATCGTCATTCGACATGTGCAGTAACGAGTCAGGTTTTAAAGTTGTAACCTCAGATTTTTCTGTAGTATTTTCTTCTAAATTCTTCAAGGCTATCGAGTCTAAATTAACGCGCTCTTTCTTTAAATGTTCCAATTGTTCGTCGATTCTCTTTTTGTGCTGTTTTAGTAGAATGTCCATTCTGGTTTGCTGGTCTTGGATCTTTTGAATGAAAGTTGAAGGCGTAGTGAACTTTGGTACTGTTGTAGGTAGCGTAGAGTTATGAAGCTTCTCTATTTTGGAAATTTCCGAAACGTTAACCAAAGAGGAATACGTTAGTCCATCTTTGTTGAAACTCTTATTGATACTCGCGTGGATTTCCTTGAATCCTGTATTGAGACTGGTCATATTTTTGGGAAGTATCTTCACTGTCAATTTGTAGTTAGGTTTTGGTTCAATAGCGTTGACTATTTCTTCCAATCTTGGTGCAATATCAACGATGGTTGTAGGCTTTTCTGTAGTAACATGTTTATAAACTGGAGTTCTGGTGGTTTTGATTTCAAATTTGTTGTAAAGAAAAGGAGTGTAATCTTCTTTAGATCTGGCGACCTCTTCCATAAATATGTGAGGGTATTTAGACATCAGTTGGTTATGCCTAGATCTGCCATCGAATACATTTGTAGTGTACGGTGGATCTTCATACATAACTGGAACCATATCGTACTGTTCTCCTATTCTTTCATCTACTCCCATTCTTTCATCTAAGTCTACTACGTCTGGCGTTTCAACTTCTCTAATAATAGCTCTATCTGCCAGCAAATCTTCGTCGTTAACTAAAAATATGTTATCTGCTGCATGTCTATTTCTACTAGGTATAGTATCAGAAGCTATAATTCTAATTTTATCTATTTGCCGTTTGCTACGTTTCTTGTTTAAAATGATTTTCTTTCTGCCCACAGCGCGTGTGTTTAGATATTTATTCATTTTCATCTTCTTCTTCAGATTGGTGATTTTGTGCACGTTTAGTGATCTCTTTTTTCTATCCAACATGCTTGCTATATTCAATATATCTGAAGGCTTCAATTTCTTTTGGAATATGTTATTTTTTTCATCCATCAATGCTGGCAATTCTTTGATTTCAATGTTATTTCTAATAATTTCCATGTTATCTAAACCATGGTCAAAGGTGTTAATATTTTCTGTTTGTTTGTTTATCGTTAAAGCCACACTTTTCTTGTTGCCCTCATATATGTCTTGGTAACTATTGTAGGGTAAGAAGTTGCTATCAAAAATGATTTTATATTCGTTTGAATGGTAGTCCTTTTCGTGCATTTCTTTGACCGATCGTCTTATGATTAAATGTTCATTTCTATTACTATGTACGTCTCTTTTAGAGATCTGGTGGTATCTTTCTTCAGATGATTTATCTTTATCTCCAGTGAATAAGGGTGCTTTTTCAGTTGCATCTTTTTGATTGTAAGTTTTAACTAAGTGCTCTATTCCAGTGAACAGTTTGATGGTTTCTGGGTCTGGTGGCTCGTCAGTGTACTGATTAAAACCTATAGACAGTCCAGTACCATCAATGTTTTTGATGAAGAATTTCAGATTGCCCATATCGAAGTACGTATTGCCATTTAGCATTTCCTCACTGATATCAGTGTTCAAAGGTTTCTGTAGTCTCTGCGGAATGCCATTGACTCCCATAATTTTATTGTAGTCAACATCAACTTCTCCCATTTCTGCAGAATTAAGGGATTTTGATACAGTCAAAAACCCAGGGCCGAAGTAAGTCTTTTTCCAATTTTCCCCAGATTTATCCGCTACATACGGCAGCGGGTTCGGCAATGGCACAGTTTTGCTTATAGGATCAGAATGTCTTTGTTCCACTGTATCAAAAGGGAGCATGATTTTGTTTGTAAACAACTTCTTATCTTTCTCCAACGGGTTTTGTATTCTCTTTTTGAATTGTATCCGTTTGTGTTTCTTTTTCTTTCCGTCGTTAAACTTATCGAGATCCGAGTGGATTGCTTTTTGTATTTTTTCGATGATGCTTTTGATTAGTTTCTTCTTTTTATCGCCTTTCATGCCTTTGCTATCAAAATGCGTTTCAATTTCCACGAACAATTCATCATCATCATTTTTATCGCGTGTTTTCGGTGGACTGACAGTTGTTACGTCATCATCTTCGTATCTAATTTTGATGTGTCTCTTAAGCCGTTTGGTTTCCATTTTCTCATTGTATTTATCATCAATATCATCGTCAACTTTCTGTGGATATTTCTTGAAATAATCATCAATGATTTTGTTCAAATAAGCATTTGAGTTTCGTCTTTCTGGCTTTGTTTTTACTGGCTCAGGGGGATCAATATCTTTGATATCATCGTTCTTTTTCTCATCGATGTCTTTGGGAATCGCTTCGTCAAGTAAAACTTGTCTTTCATTAACGTTACGTTCTTTCTTACGTTGATTTTCATCGTCTTCTAGTCTACTGAATTTTACTGATTT